AAATAATTGACAAAATTCAAATGAACAAAAAGACTGTTAAGTCTTTACAGTATATTTTTGTGTTATTAATAGAATTATTACAAAGAATAATGATAATAAATAAGGCATTGTTTGCGACACTTCGTTTATCATCGAGCACCTTTCGAATTCCGTTACCGTATTATCATTTTTCTTATACGAACGTACACCGTACGAGCTGAATACACACTGATCAATTACACCATTATTAAAATTGTTTGTTACTTTGTCCTTTATGCTAGGAAAACGAGACAGCGTTTATCCCATTTATTATTATGCAATTTTCTGGATTTAATTGGAGCTTCATATTATGATTAATCGCGGCAAACGCGACTATAATTAACCTGCATTTAAATATATGTGCAGGGTCATAAACAAATAAGAAAACATATTGTTATTATTATTTAAGATTTTGCAAGTTTACCTCGGACGTAATTACTGAAAAGCGTTACATAAATTAAACGATTTATAATGAAACGATGAGATACCTGGTAGTTTTGTGTTCGTGATGAATTTATGATTAGGATGGAAGTCTCGTAATAAGTGAAGCTAGTTCCATTTTCGTTTTGTTATTGTTAAACGTAATCGAGGTGGCATCAAAACAATTGCGTAAGCCATTAACTTCTTAAATAGTGTGCTCGTCCATAACTGGTAAACAGTTTTATTACTTACAATTATACTGAATGAGTCAACGTAATTATTACCTATTTTGGATACATTAACTACGGTGCACTGATAAAGGTTGTTTTAATACATTTTCTAAGCTATTATATATTATTCAAGGTAAATGCAAAGAACAAAGACGATATTTTTACAGAATATCATAAATATTTTAGAAATACGCATAACTGAAAATCCTTGTGGTTGATAAAGTGCCGCATTGCAGTTGTTGTGTGCTCTAGGAACCAGTTAAGTAGATGACAGGAACTACTTTGAACTGAAGTACTACCTATGGGTCAAAATGACCCAATCAGTAAATAGGCAACTTAAAATACATGATATTTGCAATCACAATTCTAAGATTTGTGGTTGCACTTTGGATCAAGCATATATGGTTCAATTTTTTTACTTGTTTTATCAAATAATGGTGAGGATTCGTATATAACTCTACTGTTGACGTAACCGATATTTAATATACAAAAGATGTATGATATCAGATTGTTCTGTATTTTCATTAAATGTATTAGTGCATATGATGCATAATGGATATCAGAATTACTGATATCCTCCTACTGAAAAGAGCACTAGAATATACTGGAATAGCTAGAAGTTCAACTTCGACAATTAAATTACAAAGCGAATGAATACAAATATCAGACAGGTCACTCTGACCTATCCGTTATACTTAAGGCCTAAATAAAAATATATATTCTAATTCAACTTTTTTCAAAAATTCTGGTTGGCCCTAGACTCTGTGGCAAATGTGTCTAAGAGATAAGACGACTCTGGGTTATTGGTCAATTCAGAAGTAATTTTTCTTAGTGAATCTTTAAATTTGTAAAATTTTATTGAAATCACATTTTACAGAGAAATTCCAATTTTGGTTACAATTACACATCTCAACGAGTATATAGAATTTCAAGAGTTAGAAATCATGAAGTAACTTGTAACAAATGGAACTTGTCAAATATTATCAATGTTTTCAGAAAAAAAAAACACAAATTCTCTTAGTATTTCTATTTGTTAAACATTTACTAAAATTTAATATCAATTTTTCTCAAAATATGTTAAAATTTGTTTTAAGTTATTCACATTTTGTATTAAGAGTTTTTATTTTATTGAATCGTATCTATTGTAGTAGACCAGCATTTTTTAACCTTTTTTTCTTGAACTTGAAATTGAAATATTTTAATTTTGATTTCTAATCTTATTTCAAAAATAATTTAATTAATTTAAAAAAAAAACGCGATACACGCAATTTCTTTTCATGGCATACTTAATATAAATCACATAATATTGATCATCTATCCAATTTCCTACACAAAAAATGTTGCTTAACTTTTTGATTCATCGTGAACGTAGGCATTTTGTTAAATAGTTTTTAAAAGTGAATGTCCTCATTGTTTATCAAAATTCTAAATTCTCATTATAATAGTTATTATCTCATAAACCTCTATAGTAAGCTATTATCTGTATTTCCAAGTAAATCTTCTATTTTTTTTTATACATTTTAGGATATTTAATTGTTTTGAAGAGATACAATTTTATAGTTGGCGGCAACTTGTGAATAGAATAATCTTTATTATAAAACTAGGTTCTCAGACTTGAGACAGATAAGATTAAAAGAGTAATGACTTTTTGATTTACCATCAATCAAAATACAGGACGTAATTATAAATCAGATGTAATTTGTGACCTAATTTTCGCTCCTAAAATGTGTGTATCAATAAGCGAAGCAAAGCAAAGCACAAAAATTGCGCAAAGCCTTTTATCTTGTATCACGTCCGCTTACTCATATTTACGTACGCATTTGTTTGTTTTTGATGTTTCTTTTTCTTCAAAATTTGATTTCATTTGGTATCGTTCCAAAGATTTAGTAACGCCCGATAAATGAATTTGTTGCCGGTTGGCTTCGGTATGTTTGCTGCCATTAATCAAGTTGTCAGCGATGTGTGACCATCAGATAGACGACATAACCAGAGAAACACAAAAAGAGAGATAGAGAAGTACAGAGAGTGCGGAACGGAGAAGATACACATCGGGATTTGGCATTAAAAGCGAATTATCGCAAGTTGTTTTGCGAGGAGCGAATTATATCGATCTTCCTTTCGATGGTTTTGCGATAAAGAATTGGCAAACAACAAAACAAAAACATAACGAATGTACGCGAACACCGACGCATACTCGTTCTCATCATTGAATTATATAAATAAATGGAGGTGCGATAGACATGTAGACTCTCCTGAACGTTGAACACTTATTGTAAATACGTAATATGTTTTCTAAGTTTGGATATGACTAAGTACAAGAACAAAAAGTAATAACGACACAATCTATGTTGTTTCGATAATACTTTCGGATTTCGTATTTCGAAATGGTATTCTTAATTGGTTTTTAGCTCAAATTCTTGTCAAATTCTTGGCCAACTGCATAAAAACCAATTAAATATAACGATCGTGTTACATATTTAATGACTTGTTAAATATACTATAAATTACACAAATTTATGGTAAAAATCTTTTGCAACACTTATTTAATTTAATTTTAGACCTAAATTCTTGTGGTCAATTATGCATAGTTAATTATAACTATCATGTTATCTATATAATGCCTTGTTCTTGTTTAATGTACTATAAATTACACAAATTTACGATTTAATTATTTTGCAACCCACACACTTTCAGATTATATTATTCTTAAATTAGATTAAATTCTTGTGCCAATTGCATTCATTATAATAAACATGTAATCTATTTAAAAGTTAATTTGTGTTAAATTAAAAAAGATGGTTATATTATATAATACAAATATGAGGATTGATATCAAAATTTTATAGAATTTTTAACTTTGAGTCTTACAGTATATACAATTCCACACTTTTATTTTATTGTAAATATTATCCGAACTCAAGACATCTTTAAAGATGAGAAGACTGTAGTAACATCAGTACTTCGAACTGAAACGACTTCAGCATTTGTTGTAAATTTCTTTCCACATATAAACTTAATCAATCTATATATTTCAATTAGATTTTGATAGATTCGCAACAAAGTTTACTTTCAACAAAACAAAATACTGTGGTAAACGTCCTTAATCCGTTCCAGATCCTTGGCCAAGACATATACCAAAGGAATCTTTCCCCTAAGAAATAAAGTGAAAATATTAATATTCCCATGAAAAAAAAACTATTGGGCATATTAAACATTGATGAGGTTTTATAATAAATTAAAATACTACTTGGTACCAAAATGCATAAATACAAAAGCAATTAGATGAAATAAATCAAAATTTAACATACTTTAATTTTCTATTTCTTGTCTGTTTTCCATACTTGGAACATCAAGTTTGACGTTTACTAAAATGGAAGGTAGTAAACCAAACAAGACATATATCAAGTTGGACTTATTCCAAATTGAGAGTATAGCGAGGTATCACTGTGTTTAATTTATTATATTGGTTATTTGAAGAGAAATAATATAAGTACAATTAATAATAACTATCAACTATAATATAAAAACTTACTAATACAATATAAAATATTAAAACTCACGGTTAAATATATAATAGAATTTAAACATTTAAACATTTTTGTTCTAGTTAAACGTTTTCACCTTAGATTAAGGCATATTCATATTGTAAATAAGCATGTAAATTTGTATTAAGTATTGGTAAAGTAATAGTCTCTATTGTTTGTTGAACAGGAAAAGTCTGCTTGTCATAGAAACAGAGTTTGCTTCGTGCAATAGCAACGCACATCTGCGTTTACATCGCTCCGCTCTGTATTTTACATATATCTTAAGTCCCCTGATACAACTAGCTAAGAGTTATCCACCAAAAACGCAGTTTCGTTAATTTCATTCGAAATTGCAACTTTCAAACATGAATTCCCAGAAACTACTACCTCTGATCAAGCAATACCCAGCAATCTACAATTACAACATGAGAACAAAGATCTAATAAACAATCTGTGGTACATGATATCAAACAGATGAAGTCAACAGATTATTTAACACGCAATCGTTTTGTGTATTTTATTTGATTTAACACCCAATGATAAATTGCAGTTGCTGCTTGTCAACATAAATGGAGGATGCTTCAAAGTAGTAGACATTTATTTCTTCGAAAGTCTACTTCCGGATGTAGAAAAACTGAAATCCAAAGCGTTTAACTTTGGATGAACAAATACGCATGGTAATTATTGAGATCAAAATATTTGCTGTGAGATGTTTGCGTTTTTTGTTTCGATTTGAAGCGAAATGCGCGCGTTTCGTCCGAGTTTATGTTACGAGCAACAAAAGTTACCAGTTGCTGTTCGATCTGCGTGCACGGCGCTGCAAAATGTCAGCCTGCGCGACCTGGAACAATGGGAAGATAATTCAATTGCTGAAAGCCTATAGGGAAAAGGAATGCTTGTGGAATCCGAACAGCCCTCAGCACAGATGCCGCAATATGGTGCACGATGCATGGATGGAACTGTCGCTATTTACGGGCGGCGACATCACAGAAATAAAGCGGAAATTAAAGAATCTCGTAGGGCAGTTCTACCGCGAGAACAGGAAGTACATAATGATGAAGAAGTCTGGACTGACGAACAGATTTCCCAAATGGTTCGCCTACAAACACCTGCTCTTCCTGAAAGAAAAACATAGGAAAGTCGAGGTGACCCCTGCAGGCATCAAGGTTGAGGTTAGAACGTAAACACGGTAGTCGCCATGTTCCCAAAACATCCACACAAATGTTGACGCTTGTTGCTTCGAGTAGGTCCTCTCTACCACCTTGGAGCGACACAAGTTGCGGCAGTTTCGGCTACTGTACCAAAGGTTGCCTAAAATTTCCATCAAACCTACATTAATTATTGTAACTTGATTACTATAAATACGCAATGCGTTTTATTATGAAACTTAAATTCTTAATATTAATCAATCCACTACATAAAACATATAAATTAAAAAAGTTACTGAAACAGAATTTTGATCAATGGAAATAATAAACTATTTATTTTATTATTTTCAGCCACTTGAAATTCCAGACGAAGACGACTTCTCAAATGAAAGTGAAGATGCCTTGGATAATGAAGAGGATGAACTCGTAAAAGAAGATGACTGTTATTTAGAAATTTTACCCGATGTCGAACCAACGATAGTGTACCAGAAACAACCCACACCACCACCACTGAAGAATAAACGATCTCAGATAGATGGCATCAAATCATCAGTGGTCCATAAGACTGCACATATAACAGATAATAATGAACGAACCGATCAATTTAATAAAACTTTATATGGATCTGAGCGAGATGAGTACGTGGTGTTCGGCGAGTATGTGACGAAGAAGCTGCAAAAGCTGGACAGTCACTCGCGAGTTATAGCCCAGCATAATATAAACCAGGTGCTTTTCGAGGCAGAATTGGGACGGTACAAGAACACTTTTCGCGAAAAGGATGTGATAAGCACATCTTTGGATGAATCATCGAATCATGACACGGACACCTTGATAATCAATGACCTAGTTAAGGTTGAAACTTATAAATAAAAGAACTGTTTACTGTTATTAGTTTTTCTCCATGATTAACTATTTATTTGAGTAATCATTTTATTACCTACATGGAAATTATTAGGATAATCTAATATATATATTTTCAACAAATTTTCTATATTAAATAAATGTCGTTTTTCTATAATTATAATCTTACATGCATGATACTTATGTATAATGTATTTTTCAACGTTCAATCATGTTTTAACTAAATACTGCCACGATATCATAAAGTGCACTTTTCAATTCTTTGATTTTTCAATTAGCGCAATTTGCATTTCTATTTATTTGATTATTTGGTAATTGATGTTTACGAAATGCAAAGCCTTTAATGTATTTAGCACAATTGGATGGATTGTATTGATGTTTCAGGGAATTTTGTTTTTTTTTACGAATTTATCGCTAATGCGATACACAATGACTGGCATTTACTACTTCTTTTCGAAGCTAAAGAAACATTTTCATGAGTAAAGGAAACATATGTCTGATTTCATTTTTACGCTGTTTTCGTACCAATTTTCTCCAGACAATACAACTAGACTTGAATCACATATAAATATGTTAACTTTAAATCTATTTCATTGTCAATTACGAACTTATTTTAACGATATGTTAAAAAATATATTTCTAGCAAATTGAGTATTTATCAGAGATGATTATGTACTTGTTATATTTCTGTTTAGCGATGTTAGTTCAATTTAACATTTGGAATGAATACTAAGAGAACATAAAGTACGTGCTAAAAGTCACAACTCTACAAGTATTAAAATACAATTCAATCTCTTCTTTGAATTTTATTATACATGTTTATAATCATAAAAAGGAAATCTAATATATATGCTATTTTAAATATAATGTTGACGTTATTAGATCATATTTGATCTGGTTTGTTCAATCAAAAATCGTGATATTACTAGGATTTTTTACTAGATTGCTTTTCTCTCTCATTACTTTACATACAATTGTCCCGAAAATACATTTCAGGAACACCGGGATTTAATATACATATTGCAAGTACTTGTATAAGTTGCCAAGTAAATTAAATGAGCTTTTTCTTAATATTTTTCTCTTGTCTTTTTTAGTAATAATATGATCGAAATGAATGGAAAAATTTCAGATTAAGTACAAATTATTTCGTAGAATATCATCGTATGTCAGGTATATAATGTTGCAGCCGCCTTTAATTCATCTTTCGAGGAATATATTGAAATTACATTATTCCAAATTACGTGTTATCTCATAATGTATCATCATATGTCAAGTACTTGTACAAGTTGTCAACCATATAGAAGCTCTTTCGAGGTTATACTTTAATTACTTATATTATAAAAACACTACTTAAATGTCAAACAACGAAATGTATCATGAAATGCCAAGTACTTTTACAAGTTATCAAGTACATAATATTGTAGCCGCTTTTAGCTATTAATTCAGAGTTATAAATTTATTGATTCTAATAAGATCAATAACATGGTTAGATGTGAATGAAAATACATCAAGTATCTTCTCCAAAGTAGATGTTCCTGATGGATTAAATATAATTCGATAATGGTATCATAGTAGTGTGGGTTCACCTGACTTCAGCAGTGTGTGTTACCATAGCCGGTTATTTTATTTATTCTTTTTTATAGCGGAGGATCACGTGTTGGCGTGCGTGCGCTTGGTGCGCGCTTCGAGCTCCAATCCAGCCCCGTTTTTCCGTGGCCTATTGTGAACCAGTCACGTATGCGATGAACAACTTGAGCTGCAATCCAGTGTTTTAGGTGTTACTTCGTTTTTGTCAAGACGTAACGGCGCAACAGAAAGACTCCAGAACAACGACGGCCAAAAGCAAATTTCGGTTTTCTTTTTTCGTTGCACGCTCTTTTCCTTTCCCGTTTCGCTTCCGACTGATCCGCGCCGATCGTAAGGTTCCGTTGTTGCTATCTGCCAGTTGTTGTTATTGTTGTTTGTTGTTCCTCTTCTGTTGTGCTGCGAGAGTGCGTGCGTGCGACCGACCCGGCAACAACATTTGCACGTAGCAAGAGGAAAGGTTAACTATCCTACACTCATCCATACTAAAGCCAGACACACACAGCATACGCACACTCAGGAAGAGGCTTTCACATTCGAGCTAATCTCTTCGTTTTCACTACAATTTTTCCTTCTGATATTCCTCCGAGTGCAGCGAAGAAGATGCTCGCCTGCGAATGCCTGAATGTGATTATCGAAACGGAATCCACTGACTATGCTGAGGTCAACGCAGATCACCTACGGTTAAGCGAAGACGAAGCTAAAGATATCTTTTTTAAACAGGTACGACCATTTTGTATATCGTTTATCACAGCTTATCAAACATCAATATAACCTCTTTTCCTATCATCCTGCAACCCCCTTCAACTGTCCTTCTCACAATCAAAAGCTGTCCTGTCCTCATAATCCCAAACTTCCTTCGATTTACTTCCACAACTAAATTCATATACTTGTTGGATTTTATTTGTGACTCAATTTGATTACCTCTTTAACACCCTCAAATTGCCATGCAATTATTTATATTAATCATGTACTCGAACAAATAAATCATCATAATTTCAGTTGGATCGGACCACCTTACATAACATTTCCCATATCCCATAGTAATCATCTCATCTATGTACCTTTATCATACTTCAATAGACACATATAATTTTTATTGTTTTCTATATAATCAGCAAATGTATTTATAATCAATCACAAAAGCTTTCTACTAAACAACTATAATTTATATAAAAAAAACTTTGTTTCTCAACAATATTGGATTCAAGCCAATCATCATTAACCAACTCATTTATTATTTAATAACTCATTAATTACACTCAATATTTCTAATCAGATTTACAACTATGAACTCAATAACATAAATTAACAAATAACTTTCTAAAAAGACTAAATACATCAAAAAAAAAGTTACATCTATTTTTAATTTACTTTCCCAAGAAACTAAATCACATATTAGTATCAATGTACTTTCATGATATTGAATTACTTACGTTTCTTTGGTATACAACTATTACTATTTTTAATCAATCATATTTATACATTTACTTAGCAAATTAATTTACTCATATAAATAAATCTTTTTTAAGATTAAAAAATGTATACATTTACTTTTTTATCAAGATAAATCATTTTTTGTTTGTTCTTTAATTGCATTTAATTGGAATCATTAAGATCAAGAAACAAGTAATTTTTAAGTATCATTTTTAACACAATTGTGATATTTATATTTTAAAAATTGTTTACGAAAGTTAAGCAACGCGTGCTGCGAAATCCAATTGGATAGGTGACCATCCTTAAAATACATAGATCAATAACAAAATAAATGTATGTAATTTTCTATTTGCCAATATCTTAATTTGACGTTGCACAAAAGATACAAAGGTTATGGATAAATTTAGTACACTGCAATTAACAAAAGTTAAGCAAATCCAACTGGACTTCCAAAATAAAAAATGTAATTTTCCTTTTTGGCAACAACTTCATCAACGTCAACGTCAAAGGTCAATTATGAGAAGAATAAAAAAAACTCATTACAAAACATTTAAAAATTTATTTAAACTAAAACATTGTTATCATCATGAGTAAACGAATTTATTCCACGTTTAATTAATAAAGTACATTGCTTTAAAACGGCGAACATCCGCAGAATATTAACCACCTCATATTGTTGACAAAGATTATTGTTATTATTCTGCATTACATAATAATTAAATAGTTTTTATTGCATGTAATGCAGCGTTTATCAATTATATTCTAATGGCAACGCATAAATCGGAATAAATCAGCGAGTGTTATTTTTTTTTTCTATATTCGCTTGTTTGTGCAATTTAAATAAATTAATCATTGCACGCTTAAATGAAATACATTTATTTATGATGTGTTAAAAAAATGCGTATAACCTATATTTATTGTTTCAAACGCTTACGGTAGTTAAGCAACGTTTGTATTGGCCTGTATTTAGATGGAATTTGCTATTTGCCAACTCAACTATGAAGTTTATGTTATATTAAAAAAATATAAGTGTAATTAAGAAGCTTGGATTAACGTTTAATTGAAATAATGTTTATTATTGATATTTGTTGTGAAGATTTAACTATGGAATATGATAAAAGTTACTCAATTTTTAACTAAGATGTCCTTGATTAACGTTCAATTGAAAGGTCATAGGTCGTTTTGCGGACTCTCTTTTTTTTTCATGCTAGTTTTATGTGTATCGACTGATTAATGAATAAAGGTCTATTGTCGCGCGTTAACTTCAATAACAGCGGGCGGATAATTAAAATCGTGCACATTTCGATTGGAGATGATGATGATAAATAATAATACGAAAATCTCGAGTGGGCTGAAACATACGTAAACTGCCGTTACGCAGCAATAAAATAATAAGTACACATACAACAACAACAACCTAGATGATCTCAAGCACATGAACGTGTTGTAACTAAACGAAAATCATACATTTATAATCTACAACGTGACTTTAATGCACTCATAAACATATTTCTGTGTACCTAATTCCAAACATATTAAAGGAAATTGAAATCTGTCATCGATACAGCTTTTGTTTACAGCTTCGAGCGGCAGTGGAATTAACCTACTTTACGCTATGATATGTTACTTAGCCGTTTGGTTTGTGTACGAGAGTTTCATGGTCATTTGCATCTCGCGATAATCATTTCATCGCAGAAACTGAAAAATAATGTATTTATTTTTTTTTTACGAATCGAAATCCATCGTCAGCCGACTAAAACATACAAAATTGAATTATTTCAACGTAATTATATAATTTTTTAAGTTGCGATATAATACGAACGCTATCAGAGTGGATAATGATTGTTTCCCAAAACAAAAAGAAAGTAAACAGTGTCATTTAAAAATAAATCGACGCTATCAATCTTTCAGTGGAGAGAGAGAGAGAGAGTTTTATGGAGATTACCAGGACGTTAGATAAAATACAAAAAAAAACAGTAAATATTTATTGCTCAAGATTTGTAACACAATATCTTCATCGTTTCCATCCGGAATCATAGATTGCCATGTCTTTATATAACGTTTCTTGGCACATCTAATGATAGTTTCCTTTGTGTTCCTCGCAAATATTTGCTGGTGTCACCAGAGAGTTTTCGCCTCCACTCCGTGAACGCTTTCGCATGTGTATTTCTCTGCATGAACTGTTAGAGAGTGGTGTATGTGAATCGTTTAATTTAAAAATAACGCCAATGGCCATGAATTATCATCATCATCGAAATACGCGTTTTCGAAAACACCGCGCGGATACGAAAATACTACTACTTTTAATAATACAACAACAACAAAAATCGAAACGCCCTCTCCTTTCATCTCTCTCTCTCTCTTTCTCTCTACATTTCTTGGTCTCTCCCAGATGTTATTCAACTTTGCGCGTAGAAATAAATAACAACGTTTTATTACGACTACGAACGCTCAGCTTTCCAAACCCTCGGATTTATTCTTGCATCTGTATTTACATCTATTCCTAAACTATAATGATGTAAACCTTTCCTAAATCATGCAAAGAACCGAACAGCTGACTGAAGAACTAATTGCATAACACATATATTTCATTGTTAGAATATCAAGTTTCTTACGTAACTACAATTATTCTCTAGATTAAATTCAGTTTTCATCCATATTTCATATCTTTCTTTAATTTAAATTTTTGTTGTTGATTCATATATACAGTGGAACCTCGCTTAATGAGCAAAATGAATTATAAGAAAAATGATGAGAAGAGAAGTTAAGCAACTTTCTATAAAGGACAGTTCTTGAACAAATCATTGTTATACTACAAAGACAGATAGTTAAATTGTACTTGAATTTCTGTTATTAAATTATATAATATATGTTATTTATTCTCTATAAATGAAATGATTTTATTATTTCTGCATGAAATTCGGGTTACAATAATTTACGTCCGAAGTCGCAAATCGAAACACTGTCGTAAATCGAGAAGTTAATATTAATTAATAATTTCGTTTACTTAAATCTGTATTATTTTCAACTTTAACTATTTCTGTTTTCAATGATAGTTGTTATTTTATAATATTAACAATATTTATTACAACAATAATAAGAAAAGTCTAGTTGCTTATTACATAAATTGTTTTCAGTATAATCTAATGTTTTTTTAAGTAATACATTATTAATTCAGATTAAAATATTGTTTGTTAATTTAATATTACTTTCGTTATTTCCAATGCAAAATCTTTCCCTTTTTAATCGTAGTCATTGAATTATAAATATTGATTTGTGTATGAATAATTTCTATATAAAAAAAAACAAGCGATTTCAATCGCAATTCCTTCTTTGTTACTTCATTTTTGTATAAATTTCTTCAATTGCTGAACGTAAAATCATTCACTTTTTAATCGTAATCATCGTTCTATTAATAACAATTTACGTGCGAGCAGATACAAAAAGAAAACACATATATCAAACGATTTCAATTGTTTTCAAACTACTTGATGTCATCGCTTCGCGTTTGTTTTTCAATGCAATCGAAAATATACTTGCTGAATATGTACGTACGCACACGCGAAGTTGAGCATGGGTCAAAAAAAAAGTTGGAAATCATCCCAAACATTATGTTTTGAATTATCATCGTTTTACAGTTCGTTACAACATCATTGGCCGTTCGTTTGTTGTTGTGCTCGACTGCAATTATTGTTTAAACAAACGAATTGCGGAGGGTTAACGACCCGACGTCTTTCTGCCCAATTACGTTGCGCCATTGCATTGCATAAGCTGAGGCGATATTTTCTTATTTGTAATATTGTATAAGTAAAAGTCGAGTCTTGGCAACTGCAATGTTGGAAAAAAGATTTTGAGAATGAATATATATATAAAAACAATACAACAAATCTTGAACCCTACTCAAGGTTGAAATCGGAAACCGCGGAAGATGTGGAACGAAACTGATTACTCATGTTTTATGCAAATGCTGGCGTTTTCTATTAATGTTTCTTTTTTTTTCATGGTGCCAGCATTTTTATTATTGCTTATTATAAACCAGTCTTTATGAAATAAATCAATTTTTATTCAAATTTTTAATGTTCATATCTAAATGCTGTTTAAGGCTATAACCAATCACTGGATTACATTTGTTAATTAAGGATTTAAACCGAAATAATTATTACAATTAAATTAAAGCTAATCTTTATTAAACTTTATACAATTACTTCTAGACTTTCTATAGCATTTCGTTTCACAACTTCTGACTTAAGTTGAATTTCATTTTTTTTTCGTCGTAAGTGCGAGTGGTTGTATGTCGAGAAGGTACTGTATTTAAGTTTGTACAAAGTCGAACTTCAGTAGCTTTATTATTATTTACTGCTAAATTTGCTGACCACAACTATTTACAAATTATGTAACGTTTCCTTCTCTGTCAGTTTACTGAACTCTGATTTATTTATACTTTAATGCCACATAATGAAATATATAATTCATATACAGCACGTTTAAATGATATTTAACGACATTTTTTTTAAACATCTAAACTGAACATCTACTTACAGCAGCTTAAATAGTAAATCTACAAAGATTGAAACAGCATGTTTTTATGACCCTCATGTATTTTGTACATCTATATTGTAACAGAACAGTTTACGGCCCTGTTTATACCATTTAGTTTCATGGATATTAAACAAGTTACAAACTAAATTTAATCTTTAGATTTATAGTTAATTGTGTTTGCTGTTGATCCTCGTAAGTTGTATATGTACTTAAGTTATAATTCAACATTTGAGGAACATAATATTAATTAACAAATAAACAAATTATTTTCATCAATCAAGTTACAACTGCGTATCGCTCAATTATGATGAAAAACAAACAAAAAACTATGAAATTATAAGCACTTTCAATGTGTAGCAAATATAGTAAACAATTTGTTGAATTTTGTAGTAAATACTACGCATTACATGATTATCGACAGTATAAAAACTATGAGGCCAGTTAAAATTTACTCATTTGAATGCAATTTTAGGAGGAATGACGACACGATGATAAAAAAAGCAGTTGTTGATTAAATTCATGAATTTTATAGCAAATACTGCGCATTGCATATCTCTGTTGACAGTGTGAAAACTATTTTTGATAAAACTGTACTTTTTATACTCAATTCTTCACTTGATATCTAGATATTATGAAGTATTTCTTGTAGCACAATATGTTCTGTTTACCAAACTATATTTATCCTCAAATTGAGGTTGATCCATCTATCAATCATGTACAAGAATACATTGAAAATTGCGTAATATTTTGATGAGCGTACTGGGACTTGTTGAAAATGTTTGTTTCGGGTTGTAATGAAATGCATTCAGGAAATGCGTTCGTCGTTCGCTAATGAGACGTTAAATAATTAGCGCGCAAATAAAAACGTAATGCAAATGTGCCGCCGGTGGCGATCCAAGATGAATGTCAACACAAAAATTCGCTTCAAATGGAAATCCTCGAAACGTGTCTGAATAAATTTAGATCCAGCCTCGAGATGCATCCGCAATTCTTGCTTTTAGTCAAATCACCATTTGTTTACTGCAAATTTATTCATTCGAAGCGATTCTCATCTAACCAATTCATCTTCTGTTGCAGAAAATTTTACAAATAGGCAAGCTCACGAAGATCAACAAGGCGCAGGCCTGCCTGATCATCACCAGGGACATTGGGTCCTGGCTAATACACGAATGCATCAACTGCAACACCTGTACGCATGCTGTCCACAGGGAGAAGGGCGCCGGTTTGGTCTTGGTTTCTTCCAAGCTATTGGTAAGCCAACACTTTGTTCATTCATCTATCCATAGAAAACCCCCATCAGAATACAGGTTTTACTTTTGAAAACGACATTGTCGGAGACGAGATTTATGCACGTGTATAAGAATGATATTCACACAATAAACAGCCATAAGTCAGCCAGAAACTGTATTTTGTTGCTTATTCAATTAACTGATGCAGAGACATCGCCGTTCGGGTTGCGCAACTCGCCGGCAATTGTAAACAGGTTATTTTATTTTGTTTACACCTTCGGTCGAAGAAATCATCATCCGGAGGCGGAGGAATGACCAAAAAGCGAGTTTCGGACGAAAAATTGGCGCACGATGTCCTTGACATCATAAAACTAATATTAGAGCCGTATAATTTTTTTTAGAGAAAAAAATAATAGGAACAACGTGTGTCTCGAGTATCTATCTGTGTGTCTATCTTGGCCATAGATTTATATCGCCTTTCTAAACCTTTTCAAATTTACACTTTTAATGAATATAATCTACGGTATTCATATTTCAATTTATTAAATCTTATATCAATCCCATTTTACATTTAAGAAAACAATGACCATTATTAAGAAACTAATACAATTATACCTGTAGTAAAGAGGGACGAAAAAATGTAATATTATATATGTTTTCTTTTAATGGGAGATGGAAATCAGTGAAACCTTATCCTATCTAAGTCTCGTACTAGGAAGTTTTGTTTGCAAAAGATTCGCAAAATTACATTTTTTTTTGTTTTAAAATAGTAGAATTATTTTGGAATTGTAGACGTGATTCAATATCATAAAATGATTACCTTCCAAGTAAGAAATATTAGTAAATACAATGTAGTAATTTAGGAAATATTTGGCAAGTTACTTTTTATTAAAACAAGCTCATTTGACAAGTAGTACTGTTACACAAGTAATTGATAATAAATATATATACATGTGGTTTACAAGTAACTTGGAAAGTATCAAGTAATGAATAACCAGTAGAACATGTGTATTTAACTGGTTGCATAAAATTGAGTTGCTTAGGTAAAATATTGTTAAATATCTGTGGCAAGCATATACATTCTGATATTTAATTTAACATCAATGTCAAATTAATAAACGTTCATTAGTATTAAATTGGAAGACAATTCATGTTTTCATTGAACTTCATAAATAATTATTGATTAACGTCCACTTACAAATAATAATTTGAGTCGGAAACAGACGTTTTATGATTGTGATATAAATATTAGAAAGCAATAAACTATACATTGTTGTCTCGATATAAGAAGATTTTCAGAAACGGACAACATTTCAATTCATTCAATATAAGATAATTATAATTTATTAGATAACCACCATTTTTCCCATAACAAATATGAGAATTGTGTATTTGAAAATTAATCTTTTAATTACTTAAGAATAATTCTTCATATTAAATACTAAATACTTCGAAATAAAAATAACCATCAAAAGATACGAAGATAAGCTTGGATAGTTCAAGTTTCACGTATATGTTGTTGGATAATTAAAATCTACAGTTGTTATGTAGTTAATTAATATTGTCTAATACGTGGAGGAAAATGTTTGCAAACACTTAGATTTATTGGTTTTGCAACGTTTCAATTAATAAATTGTATTCATTTAAGTTTAATAATTTATTGGAAATGCTATATTTCTCTAGATTTCAATAAAAAAATATTATTCAATGATAATATCAATTTCTCTGCAACCAATTTATTACCAACTATACCAGCTTTATATACACACACACAAGAGTATATAAACGAATTGAAATTTGTGTTAAATAAACATTGCGTAACGCGACTTGAATAATAATGTAAAGGATACATTAAAGTCCGAATTCGTTAGAAAATACGGCGCGCGTGTTTGTGTGTGTAGACTGGCGTCTCTCCGGTTGTGAAAGTTTTTTTTTCTAGCTGCCTTTGATTTAAAAGCATTCTTATTAATACCCATTTATGCAAATCGCATACATACATATATTTCTGTCGCTGTTATTTTAGAGAGTCAATATGTTTGTTTCCAGACTTCATAATAAGATTCACAATGGAAACACATAAATCGCTGAAGGGAATCACAAATATTGATTGTGATGTTTTTTGTTCTTGATGCTGTTGCAGGCGACGAGCGTTCTGGACGTGAGGAAGAGCAAACACTTCTCGCCGGTCTTTAACATCGTGGTGAGGACGAACGATGAGGATCTCTCCGCAAGAAGCGACTGTAAGTTGTTGAATCATCAACAATAATATTTTCGTTAGGGTTGTCATATTATTAATGCGTTGTTTGTTTATTTTATTATTATTATTTTTTTAGACGTTTGCAATTAATCTGTCTCTTCCGTAGATCTGTCTAACGACATGGAAATGGTGGTAACCAGTCTTAAGCAGCAGCTGTCTGAATGCATTAACAAGAAAGTGACTGCGACCGATGAGAGTGTCCGCAAATTTACGGACCAACAGTACGCTGCTTTGGATGAATACAAAGAAGTAGCACATAGAGAACATAGAGCTTTAAGAAGGTAAACTATGAATTGACAATCTCAAAGAAATAAGTTTCTAGTTTAATAAAAGATTTTATTATCTTTATACTTTTATGAAATATGGAAAAATATACTTAAAAAAAACTTTGAGAAGGAATTAGATGTTCTTATAACATTACTGCAAGCCCTGATTACAAAGAAACAGCACAAAGACAACATACCTATTATATCGGCAAACTTAATAAACTTTCAATATTTTTATTCACTTCATTATATTGTCTATACTTTTATGAAATATAGAAGCTCATAAATCGAATATATTTTAAAATATCCATAACTTTAATAATGCAGATGAATACAAAGAAGTTGCACAAAAGGAATTCGAAAGGAATAAAGTAACAACTTTAGCAAACTTACTACTGGTTTTGTCAATATATTTATTTACTTTAGTCTTTCATAAAATATGGTAAAACAATTTTTACAATCTTCTACTTTAAGAAAAGTAGACTATAGTGGAACGAGCATTTCGCTTAACGAACAAAAAGACTCGCAAGAAATTTTTGGAACGGATTATGCTCGTTAAGCGAGCTTCCACTATATTTCTAAATTGAAAATGTACAAGAATTTATTGTTTTATAACAATAATATCGATTTATTGGCGCAAAATAAGAAAAAATAAATAATTTACAAATTGATGACAGACAGAGGTATGTTTTTCTACCTATTTTTCGGGGGTCCTTTAATTTTTTTAAGTACGCGGACAAAAAAAGTTTGAGAAACACTGATCTACATAACTGGTGTCTGGTGCCCAAACAGTGTTAGTCTAGTGACCCTAACGTTTCGTTCGGACAAGGAGGCTCACAGATCATGTTTGCGGAAGTAGATCACTGACTTAATGTAGAGTTTTCTGAAGATATACCTAAAGATCTGTTCTTCTTAAGGTAATTACAATTTTCTTTGAAAAAAAATTACAATGACTAAAAATTCTACCATTTGAATGTAAAATTCAATATTTATTTAGATAATTTTATTAATATTGAAATATAAATATCATATGCCTTGATCTATCAATTTGCTGACATTAATTATCAAAATAAAGTACTGTAAAATAAATTGAGGACATAAACAATAAAAAGCTTAATATATTGAAACTATAGAATACGATCGAAGATAGACAGATGGAAAGGCTTTTGACCTATTATAGAAACTTACTTACTGGGCAGGAAGATTCGTTAATGCTTTGTTGCTAATGATGTAAGAGGCGGAGTTGCGCAACTTTAGAAAATCAATGCTCCGACTGGGTAATTATAAAGAGTATTAAATTGAAGTAGGCTAATGTTGTTATGAACAGAGAAGAAGAAAACCAAAAAGAAACAACATATAAATTAAATGGTTGAGTGTCCGATTTCCTCTTGAAAAGAAAATTACCAAGATTATTCCAGTAGTCGCGATCTTTAAATTGTCATTTTTAAACATTGGTAAACATCAATTGTTGTGTATTAAAATTATTTTTTGTTCAAAAACTACAATCATAAAGTATTGCGTTATTTGCGTCCGTTTGATCAATGAAGATTTTCATTGCCTAAAAATTAAAAACATGAGGTTAAGATGATATTAGTCATATCTTAATAATCTATAAAAGTCTATATAATTAACAAAGAGTGAAATGACTATGACTGGTTTGTCTTTTTTTATCATAAGTATTTACATGAGTTATATTAGTCATAATATAAACATTGAGTGAATACATTGAAATGATTACAATAAGGAACAATAAGATGCAAGTAATCTAATAAAAAAAATAAAACAGGAACATTAAATGTCAAATTATGAATGATATATCTTCTATTATATTACTTTAATTGATACTTAAAAATATGTATATAAAATAGCGTTTCTCAAACTTTTTCCTACATGTTTATAAAATTAAAAAATAGAAAGAGCCAATTTATCACTTTGACACATAGTAACAGCTGTCATTTCGCGATATATTAAAAAATTAATGCGTCTCATACGTTGACAAATTCTGTTACAGAAAATACATAATATAACATTTTATATAAATGAATATCGAATTAATTTTATCGGGTACAAATGAGTGGAGAATTGCAATGTGTCGAAAGCAAAATTTGTTAACCTTTTAGACACGTTCAAACAAAATATCAATGAAATTACACAAAAAAAATCTAATGCTTAAAAAGTTTATTTATAGACGGATTGTGTAAACTAATTAACATACATAATAAAAAAAAAGTATATGGACATTTTCTTTATCTTGTAGTTTGTTTCAATTTGTTTAGCATAATTTGCATGATGACGATGACGCAGTCAGAATTAATTCGGAACATTGATTCCTGCGTCGAAACGAGCCCGTTAATTGAATGATCTTTGCATTGCGCTACATCTAAATGGCTCTAAACGGTTTTATGGATGGGAGTACACGTTGTTAGAACTTTAGCAATTTAGAGCGAAATGCTTTTAACAGCGAATCCCCTTTACGGCACTACATTATAAGTTATGGGAGAGCGGTTAAATAAACATACATGAAGTTTAATAATTTGTAAAGTATTAGAGCTAATTCCAAACAGTGACAAGTTAGAAATTATTATTAAAATGAAGATGAAACAACAACTATTTTATTATATTATTACAATTTTAGTTTATTTTATTATAAATACAGTGGAACCTCGCTTAATCCGTTCCAAAATTTCCGGATTTTTACTCTTATAGTGAAATACTCGTTTAGTGAAACATATTCAAAAATACACTACAATACAATACAATAATATCTGTACACAAGTTTTAAAAATTATGTAGCAGGCGCGCAATCCGGGACTTCTTTTCTCATCGCCACTCGTTATGCGAAACGTCGCACGTTAAGCGAGTCATTTTTCTTACAATTCATTTTGCTCGTTAAGCGAAATTCTCGTTATGTGAGGTGCTAGTTAAGCGATGCTCCACTGTAATTAAATTATTTATACTTCAAAGAAACTATAACATAACAAAATATTTATATAACTCGCAACTAGTTATTAGTTTGCAGTTAGTAATTATTTTAGATTACCTAACCAATTTGAGGCATTGTCTATATTTTAAATGAAATAGAAAATCAAGTTATAAACCTCAATATTAATAATCACAATAATGTAATTGAAAATATACGATTGTCATATTATTTTATAAAAGTAATTTTGATTAAAAAAAGTTATTATTATAAAATGTTAAGTTATCTTATGTATACAAATAATAATGACGAACGTAAAATACTATATTTATATAATTGCAAAACTTAATGCAATTAAATGTATTATCTAGTTGACGCACAAAGTGATTTATACGAGAAAAAAAAAACATGAAATTAAATGCTTGGATTATTAAAAGATATGCAGTAAGTTCCTGAATTTACGTCGTATGTAGTTTCTCGTATGTAGTTTGTCAAATTCCTAAATTTCTAGTCCCAAGAAATTTCTAGGCAGCTACGTCAACTGTATCAACATCGGATGGTGTGGCGTATCAAGATTAATGTTTTGATATACCAACCAAATTAAAGGATATTCCTCTTTCCTGGTCATTGGCATGTTCAGAATATGGGACAATGCGTGTCTCACCGCCCCTGTTTGAAACAGTTAAAAACGTAGAGTTGAGAAAGAAAACTAGTTACAAAGTACGTATAGGCAACCTTCGAATAACAATATGATCTCATCTGGATTATAGAATAACACGATTTTTCAATAACATATTAAATATTAAAATAACACGGTTATTATAACAATGGTTTACTATATGTATTTATTGTGAATCAATTCTATTAATAAATACACTATATTTATGGATATAATATATTTATAATATTTTAAATTAAGTAACACGATGTGACAGGTTTTATTTAGTTAAAGCAGGTTCATTTTATCAAGACAAATTTGGAGCCAAATTGTTTTTTTTTATGTCTGACGTAACATACTTTCAACAGATTATCGTTTTATTTTATTTGCAAGTCGTCACTTATTATTTCTAGAAACATTAATGCTTTATTTGAACAATTACACAATAATCTATTACAATACAGAATCAGATAAGTTAATAAGTCAATTAATCCTGTTGCAAAAATTATTTGTATCTGCGCTTTCGATGCGTTTCTGGTTTGGAAGGATGGAAATATCCAGGAGTGCGCTCGCTATTTTTAACGTTCGAAGCGCTCCTTTGTTCCGAATCTTTTGGATCCGGTGACAGAATTAACAGGCCCAAAATTGATCACACGCACACACACCATTTTGGGAATTCCCGAACGATCAGTCACCGTACGGAATCGTATCAGATTAATTTCCGAAATAAGATTGATGGATTAATCACTCCAATTACCTGATGCAACCTGCACAGTCTAATCAAAGCATTATCTTTGCAATCATGACATGAACTATAATTTATATATGTGATTCGTATAAAACATATTATTTTCAGTTGCTATGTTACCATTCATTTTAATAGATTTATCTTCAATCTCATTGTTTAACTCTTTGAGGGACGTTGGGACACGCTTTGTACTCTTTTGAACATGCCTAATGGGGCATTATTATAATTTTCTAGGAAATGTCCAGAAAAGAGGAATTATCCTTTAATTCGGTTGGTATGTCAAAGGATAAATCTTAATAGGCCATACCATCCCATGTTTATCCAGTGTTTCTCAACCTTTGGGTCACGAACCAATATTGGGGCAAATAAAAGTTGAGAAACGTTGCTATGTATAATATAATTAAACTATAAAAATTAGTATAAATATACCAAAAATAAATGATAGAGATTTAGGTAGAAAATAACAGATAGGAAAAAACAATATCAAATCTAGGATAATATAAAGGTAAATAAAGATATACGATATAAGAAAAAAATAACTTTCTCAAATATTAGTTAATTTAAATTAAATCAACTTTACTTTATAAACATTGTATATGTTTATCTTTATTTACTGTAGTAATGCAGATAAAAAAATATGTATTTCCTAGACTTCTCGAGATTTATTTTCTATTTAGTTACCAGAAATTAATTTTAGGTGTTATTTAGTTGTTGTTAGCAAACGGTGAGCATCAATCTTTTTCTCCTTGTGAATCGGACAATTTAGAAAATAAAATGCAAAAATCTTATAACACGTAAGTGAATTATTATTTTTAACGATTTCCTTGATAAAAATTTAATTTCTTTAATGATAATTTGTTTTTCAATATTTTCACGTTAATAAATTACAAAATTAATTGATTTAATTTCATAAAATACAATCAAATAATTACAATTATTTTTAATTTATTTTCTTGAGAATTTGTTTTCAATATTTTCACGTTATTAAAGTACATATTATTACAATTATTTAATTGCTTTAATTAGAAATGATTGCATCTAAAAAAAACATTTCATTTTACTTTAAATGCAAATTCTGTTTAAAGATGTTTCAATTCATAGAAATGTTTCTTTTCACAAATATCATTTTGAAACAATAAAAGAAAAAAGTTTGATTACAAATTCTGTACTTGAAATGTCCCAACTCAACTTTTCACTTAGTGAAACACAATTTTGTTTGTTTTGAAGGCACGAATGAGAATATTTTTGTTTGTTGGTTGGTTACTGAGAGAGGACGAATGAATAAGAGATGTAGCGAGTGAAACAATTTAATGGTTTTGATACAGAAAAAGCAGCCGTAAATGGTCTTTTTTTCGATTGCCAAACGTCTTTTTTGCAAGCAACAAACTTATATTTATTATAGTTATTCTATGAAATAACTGGTTATTATCTATTAGAAATCGTTTAAGTTTGAAATAGTTCTCTTTATTATACTTTATCTATTTATTACATGTAATAAATGCTGCGATCTGTACAAATGTGAAATATTTCCATTGAATAATCTAAATAGTGTTTACATGTTGACTCGTTTTGCATTTACCTGTATAAATAAACTACAATAATAAAATTATTTGAAAAAAAAATACTATAATTAGTTAGATTACATGACAGCTAGTTAAATTAAAGATAAAATAACAATAAAATTTGTTTGCTCGTCTATTCATAGAAATTAATGTATTTGTTTGTATTTGTCATAATAATAATATGGTTGGTTTAATTAGTATATATTTATCTTAGGTAATTTGTTTCAATCTTTAAAGAGTTTCATTTTATACAATAATTAGATAATGTATGGAAAAGCGTTTCTCAATCTATGGGTTGCAAAATGACAGCTGTCATCCTGTGTCAAAGCGAGGAAAAATACTCTCTGCAATTGGTCAGGACTACAAAAAAATGTGTTAGGTTGAGCGCGACAAAAAGGTTGAGATACGCTGATATATAATAACTAGTGAATGTATCAAGTAATGTTACTTAATCCATAAATTAACTGACGAAACTCAGTATTTCATGCAATACCTGAGTTATTACATAGAATACCGAATATATAGTCAAATTCTATTTGAAACTTCGATTTATTCCAGAAACGAACATTCCAGAAAACAACAATTACACTTGAAACAAGCCAAATAATGAATGAAATGAAAACATATATTTATGTTTCTAATAAGCATAAAATATTTTGTTCAATTTTTCAACAAGTATTGTTATTTTGTATAATCACTATATAATGTATAGAATAACTAGTTAAAGTATCGAATAATATTATTCTAAAAATTAACAGCCGATAGTTGATATTTCAAGTAATAACTTTGGAATTATTTCATACAATATCCCGGACTGTTTGAAACCGGACTAGTCTAGGACGTAAAAATCGATAATTTCTGTATAAAAATAATTTTGTATACTCATTTTTTTATAAGTTATTTTTATTTTGTCAATTATAATTGAATTTCTTTTGAAATTTTCAAACCGTACTGATCGAAGCAGCACTATGAATTATTGCATTATATACTTTAAGAGTAACATACCGAGTATTCCAACTTTTCGATTCAATTCAAAAATACAAAACATGTGTTGTGGATGGTCACTCTGAGGACGTCAGAGGCTTCAATTTCGTAATCCGAATCTGAATCGCAATAAAGAAACGCAATTGCACTGATCATTTTTATAATATTAATAGTAGGAGATCCAAAACGAAGGAAAAAATGCTGTCGTGGAAAATGACTCACCACGTGTTCTGCTATACTTGTTGTTTTACTTTCATATATATATACAATAAATATTCCTTACATATTTTGCTCCCTATTCGGAATACGAATAAATACATGTACCACGTATTTATCTGGATATATGTATTATATATATATAGAGAGAGAAAAACACATTCTCCCGTGTCAAGAATTGCGCTGCTTAATTAGCTGACGCAGAGGCTCGAATGAAAACAAACTTCTGCTCCTTCTTCTCTCGTTTTATTTTTATTCGCTATCATCTTTATTTCATTTTTTTTTTGTATTCATACATTTTCCATTAAGATGACTTCACGCAAATTCGATAAATCTTGGCCTCTCACTAATGATATTCAATACTTGGACTTATCGCGACTCTACATGTGTAATTCACGTTTATCACCGATACCGCTGATAACAGATTGTTTTATTATTCAGTTTAGTCGCGTCGGTGTAGTCGAAACATGCTCTCCTCGTTCCTCCACAAAACCGAACAGCAAATACAACCTTCGACAAGTGAGTTAATAAATTTTTCGATCCACAATGTTCTCGAAACCAGAAAAGAGAATTGCTCGATCAATTATAGTGTGTGTTTAATTAGAAAACTAAACAACAAGAAAATTTTCAATCGGCTTCTAGATTAGTTACATAATTCATTTGTGCTTCCGCTCTCAACACTTTATATTCTTTTGTTTCGTGATAAAAATTTTGAAAATTTTCCACTCGTTTCGTCATTCTTTTTTTTAACAGTTCAATTTATTTGCCTTATTCAAGTTATGTGGAGACAATAATTAATTCAGAGGGAATTTGTTTCATTTTCATTCTTACTTAAGCATAGAACATTTTATTATATGTTATATAACATTATTGTTTAAAGCCGGCTTAATAAACAATCGTATAGTACTAGACTATATTTATTTGATTCACAGTTAAAATATATTTGAATGGTGAGACGAATTACAATTACTTTATATCTAACCATCATAATCAATTCATAGACTTTCATTGATTCTTTTCCTATAACTTTATTAATTATTTAGAAATTTCTTAAACGTTGTCAATCTAAACAGAATATTATTACCATGATTACATACTAAAATATAGATGTGAACTCCAACTTTATTTTACTTTACTTTTTTTCGAATTAAATTAGACAGAATTGTTTGAACAAATTAGCTGATTTTCGAAATTTGCGAATTATTATTTGAGAGAATTAATAAACGCACTTAAATTTAATGAAATGTGTAAACATGTTCGTTCAATATTAATTGAACTGTGTTGACCCAGTGTTAGTTGGTATCATTAATAGAATTTGGAGTTTGTTTATATGATTTTGATGCGAATTTGATTATGTTATTTCTTGCGCTGAATTCTTCTTAATAACATACCTATAATGTATTGATTACGTACATAATTAATGATGAAACAAATTTAATTATGATTAAATAATGTGTGTGAAAATATTATGCTCTCTTTTATCAGTGAAATATGAATTTCGCATTATAAACAATAATAATAACATTACGCAATTGGCAGATAGGATAGGTATCGAATAAACTTGAATAATATTCCTTTTGAACTGTATACAAACGCAGCAATACCTCGCAGAGTCCGGGTAATCTGTAATGTAATCGAAACCGGACTATACGAGGACTTTAAATAAAACCGAATAAAAATAAAACGTACATAAAGAGACTTGACTGTACAAAGAAGAAAAAATAATAAAATTTAGTTTGTTTTGAAATTTTCAAACTGTTCTTTAGATCCGTACTGATCGAAACCTAAGGACTATGCGAGATATGGTTGTAGTGTAATGTTCAGTTTTCTCAAATTTACTAAGTAATGTAATGGATTAGTCTATTATATTTATTTAGTTTTTTTTGTTGCTAAGCTGTTCACAATGCGATCCAAATTTAGACTTAGATATACGACTCTGCTGCTGCTAGCAAGCAAGCAATCAACACACGAACGTATGTTTTCGCGAATTTACGAAATGTTTAGTATGTTAACACAGTTACTTTATTGCAAATATTTATGTAAAAATCGTAGATGCGTGGCAGATTATTAATGTAAGTAGGATTGTTGTTATATCATCTTATATAATTGAATATTTGAGTTTTGACGTTGAGCGTAGAAAATGTATGAGAAAAGAGATTTTAAAGTTATTTTGAAATTCAATAGTTGTAAGTTATGAAAACTATGGTAAGCAAATATTAAACAAATTGATCAATTCTACAATAGAATAAAGATCAAAAGTATTCTTAATAATCTCAAATTGTGAGAGTTTTGAAAAATATTTTGAAGGTCAGAAATTCAGTAGAAATGTAATTTAAGAAAATAATCAAAGGAACCCAAGTATTTTTTGAAGAAATAACTGAGAAACGCAAATAATCCATTAAATGTACTGATTTGAGTTGAACAAGTTCAGCTTCTGATAGAGAATCTTAAGTTGGCATTGCAATATTTCGTATTGAATACAAAACAATGAGTGTGTGTTTGCTTCTGTTTCAGGGTGATTTTGAATAGTAAACTTAATAATCCTGTAAGTACAAAAATGGAAACGTCTGCACCGCTCAATGCGACTTCCAAGTCTGCGAAAGTACCTGAAGAAAATAATTTTAATTCGAGGCCCGCGGTTGCCGCCGCCAAATCCCCGCTATCCCCGGGAATAACAGTGAGTTTTTAAGAAGAACCCTTTTCTTTCTTTCTTTCATTCCGTTTTCAGTTCTCTCTTTAGTCGCAATGTAATCACAAAAACTCTTTGCTTGCCGTTTATTTGTTTTTTTTACATTCCCCTTTTTTGACTAATCTATTTTTTCATTTACTCGTAGTAGTAGTTTATTCTGCGTTTTTAGCCTAGAGGCATCATGCAAAGCCCTGAGAAGGTGTCAATCCATCGGCAGATCAGCCAGAAGAACTCGCTGGACGCCGAAGGATTGTTCCCCTTGGAGGACATGGAATATTTGGACGACTACAGCAATTACGATTCGAAGCTCTCCGATAACGAAGGTAATTTAAACTAAGATTTTGTTTACTTATTTGTTTAACTAATGTTCGTTTTCGTTTACAGAAGACGTCGATGAAGGTATACCGATCAAAGCTGGCAAAGCTAACCAATACCAACTGAACCAGGCGAAATCTCTTCCAATGAATATCCCAGTATTTCTATCTCCCGCTAATAACCATTTGCACGATGAGCCCGACGATTTGAGGGTAATTATATAATCTCAAACCACAAAAACCGCAAAATTTCACACAAAAAAATATTGTGTTCGCAGCCCGAGGAATCCATGGATATAGCGGCTAGTATAAAGGCTCTCGCGAAAAGCGTCCACGGTGATACAGTATTCGGTGATCTTCCTAGACCGAGGTGCAGAACAAATATTTAAGAAACAAGAAAACCAAAAGAATATGAAACAGAAAGAAAGAGAAGAAAATAACAAAATACAACCAATACACTCTATTTTTTCCTAGCTCTTCCCCCCCCCCCAAAAAAAACAAACAAACAATCTTCATTTGATTTGCAAAACAATAAGTATTTTTCCCCTCAATTATTTTGTTTACAATTCGCTGAGCTAACTCGATGTGTGTGCGTGTTTTTTTTTTCTACTGATTTTATTATTTTCTATTACGTTTATAATTACCTACTTTTCTTTCCTTCTAATGTGTATCTGTAATGCATAAGATATGTTTCTTTTGATCATGAATTCATATGGTGTATTCATATATAGAAATAGATTATATTTTTATTATGGTTTACGCGCGATAGCAACGAGCGATGATTTTCCGAAAATTTCTTTCTTTCGTTCAATTTGAAGTGATTTTCGTTCTGTTATTATTTTTTATTATGATTATTAGTTTTTTGCCTTTATTGATTAGATGAAGAAACAATATATGATGCATTATACTCGTTTGGGTGTGTACAATTATTGATAATTAAGAGAGCGGAGAGAAGGAGAACAGAGAAAAGATTAAAATAATGTTATAGATGTGATGTTAAGTTTAATACGTGATGGAGGAATAACGTTCTTTTTTTATATTAAAAATAAAAAGATTCCTCTACTATATTTTTGCTATTATGAGATGCAGGCGGTGAATGCTTTCGGTTTACATTTTCTTCATTTATACAACGACTCGAAAATTTTTACATTTTTTGTCTTAAAGTCAGATACCAATAACTCAGTCTTTATATTTTTTTTCTATGGATTACTCAAATATACCAAAGCTACTATTCCTGATTGATAATATAACCAGTTATCTTGCAGCATTCACTACGTTAATAACTATTTTACATATTATATAAGATTTCTAATAAAGCCACACTTTGATTATTCATATATTATTTCTTTTCTTTCGCTTTAATTACTTTTCATTTCTTAGAGTAATAAATGTACAAAAATGGAAGCATTTAGAATAAAATATATATTATATATACATACATAAAAGTATATCAATGTTAATATACGTCCATCTATTAATGTTAGCAAATAAAAACGATACATTTGAAAAATAAATTCTAAAAAAATAATCAGTATTTCATTTTTTTTTAATTATTCATTAAATTGCATGTATAAACAATATTTTAATGTCATATTAAATATTAGAATTACATAAATGTATACAACAAGCATGTATACTTGCTTAGTTCATTGCATTGAAAATAATTTATTGTTTTGATGTCTTTGGGTGAAAATTCTTTCAAAACTAAAACAGTAATTGAAGTCTTATCCTAGAGTTTTCCAAACATTGTTTATAGTTGAACTAAATAATGCATCTAGATAAATAGAAAACTTCATCTGCAGATTATTTCTAACGAAAAAAATCTAAATGCTTGATATTTCTGGTGGATTTCCATAAAGATACTTTGATTCTAATACGTTTGAAACATTTATTCAGAATTGTACATGCATAGTTCATATTAATTGAAATGCATCAAATAAACTTAGATATACGTAAAATGACTTTTACATTTCTTGAAAGATAACTTATGCAACCAATTTCACATATTTGTACTTTATGTTTTCATATAAAAAATATAAATATTTATCCAGAAAAACCGTGGTCCATAAATTATTTTATGTTTTTTGTCCAGAAAAACCGTAGGTATATGTATGCATTTGTACATTAAAATATTATTAACTATTGTTTTAAGTGAAAAGTACTTTGTAATAGTTTTTGATTAATTATCATCGTGCATTGATTTTATATTTGTATACTTTTGTATTATGTATAACTATTACAATAAACATTAAATTTACTACGAAACAGCAATAGTTTATGTTATTAGCAACAAATTAAATCAACATAGAATTATTTCAAATAACCTAGATAACCAAATGCAGAACTTGTGAAAGTCGAATTATCTACATATAATAAGTACTGTATGCTTTAATCCAATCTTTGTTTACTCTTACACTGAAAAACATACTGCTTGTTAAGAGTTTCTTACAGTGTAATTAAAAATTAAATTTCTGTATTTGAAAATATATGTATATGCCACGAAATCAATTTTGTATACATATAGATGATTGTATGGGTAATAATAATTAAATTTATCAATACAAGTGTTATTGAACATTGACTATTGTGAAATTACAAGAACAAAGTGCATAATCATACTTGCTATAACCTATATTTAATAATAAATTTACATCATGAAAAAGAACATCTTAAATATAGTTAAAAAATCCTTTTCAACAAATACATCTATAAAATCTAAGGTGTGTGTTGTTGGTGCTGGCCCAGCAGGTTTCTATGCAGCTCAGGTGCTGTCCAGAAAGTTACCAGAGGCACAGATTGATATCTATGAAAGGCTTCCAGTGCCTTTTGGTTTAGTAAGGTAATGCATCATGAAAAAGAGTTGCTAATTATATTGAAATTTTCCCTTTTAGATTTGGAGTGGCACCTGATCATCCGGAAGTGAAAAATGTTGTGCACACCTTTACAAAGACTGCTGAGCAGCAGAATGTTAGATTCTTGGGTAATGTTGATGTTGGGAAAGATATTGATCTGAAGGATTTGAAAGAAGCATACCATTCTGTATTATTGGTAAATAATGTTTGATATTTTATAGGTAATAGTTGAAATATCATTGTTTTTCTTGTGTAGGCTTATGGAGCTGATGAGAGCAAATATTTGAATATACCTGGAGAAAAATTGAAAAACGTCTTGTCTGCAAGAAACTTGGTTGGCTGGTACAATGGTACACCATGGGATAAAGATCTGCCAGTGGATTTGAGTAATCCAAATGTGGCTATCTTTGGTCAAGGAAATGTCGCCATAGACATTGCTAGGATTCTATTGACACCAATTGATATTCTTAAGAAAACTGATATTACTGAGGTAGCTTTAAACCACCTTGCCTCATCAAAGGTGAAGACTGTTTATCTGGTTGGAAGGAGGGGTCCATTGCAAGCAGCTTTCACTATTAAAGAGCTCAGAGAGATGACGAAACTTGAGAACTGCAAGTCAGTTTGGAACGAAAACGATTTCGTCGGTGTTGAGGAAATAATTCCAGAGTTGCAGAGGCCCAGGAAACGTTTAACTGAACTAATGTTGAAATCTATGAGAGAGAACAAGGCGGGAGAAAAAGCATTTATACCCAAATTCTTTAGGTCTCCATTGGAATTCCAAGGTGCAGAAGCTGTTGAAAAAGTGAAATTGGGTGTTAATAAGATGGAAGGTTCCGATTTCAGAACACAAAGAGCGTCGTTGACTGATGAGGTCGAGTACTTGGATTGTGGTATGGCTGTAACCAGTATAGGTTACAAATCTGTTTCTATTGACGCTGCTATTCCGTTCGATGACAAAAAGGGTACTGTTGAGCAGAAGAATTTTAAGGTGTCCGATGGTCTTTACGCTTGTGGCTGGTTGGCTACTGGACCTACCGGTGTCATTTTGACCACGATGAACAACGCTTTTAATGCTGCTGGTTTGATGATTGAAGAAGTCAATGATTTGTTAACTATTCCTAAGCCAGGCTTCGAAAGTATAGGTACTAAATTGAAGGAGAATAACGTTCAAGTGGTGGAATGGAAAGATTGGCTGAAGATAGACCAGTACGAGGAAGAAAATGGAAAATCGTTGGGGAAACCAAGGGAGAAAATCGTGGATGTACAGAAAATGTTGGAAATCGCTCATTGATCCTTATTATTTATAGGGAACTTTCCATGTATATTATTTGTTTTAATCGTTGGGGAAACCAAGGGAAGAAAATTGTGCACGTACAAAAAATGTTGGAAATCGCTCATTGATCTTTATTACTTATAGGGAACTTTCCATGTATATTATTTGTTTTAATGATTGTTAATTGCAATTTGATTATGATTTTATACAATAAAAAGGGCTGTAAGACTTTTGTCATTAAGAAATACTGATTGGATTTCGAACTCACAAATCCAAGGCTATTCAAATATGTACTTCTCATCATTGTTGTTGTTAATGGAAATAAATTTTACTTAACGTTGATCTAAATTACTGAATTTTATTTTGCAGAATTGAAATAAATATTCGACTTATTTATTAGATGATGAAACTAAAAACAAAATTAATTATATATTTCACATTAATGTACAAGAATCAACTATAAACTAGTTTAAATTTATATAAACTTTTTCGAATTGTATGAAGAAACTATATAATATTTTGAAACAAAATTAGTCATTTATCTTATATACGAAATTCTATTACAAGAAGTCATGTTATATGAAATGAAATTATGAAGATTTGTTAAACAAGAACGTTGACGTTTATTTATACGTGTGGCTAATAAACATTAAAGAAAACAATATTATTTATTATCACAGTATTATTTATTATCAAAATATAAAACAAGGATGGAAACATATTTATAATGTTCTTTTGCTAAGATTACTGTAACCAATTCCGAGACACGTTAACATAACTTTGTTAGATTCCTCGTCTTCGTCGTTTTCGCTGTTATAATTTTCCAATTTAAATGTGACGCCAAAAAATTCGTAGAGGTGCTGCAGGAAACCGACCGTGTACTCGCTGAGTGGTCCAGAAACCATCTTTGAGACATCTTTTGGACCCAAAGCCATGCACAAAATTGCTAAAGATTGAGATGTGGAATCGGTGTACCCGCCCAAGTAAACCTCTTGTAACAACCTGTTAGCAGCGTCAACGCCAACATCTTCAGGCACTGATGGTTCTTCTCCATTGGCTACGTCGTTCGAGATGCTCTCCGCCGAGTAAAATATACCGTTCGTCGTCTCCGTGTGCAGATGAATTCCGAAACCAGGACTCTTCCCCGACGCCTTTCCTTTCGACATATCCGTGTTTATATACACATCTGGGATGTAATTTAGCAGAACACCTTTAGCCTTCTCAACCATTCTGTTTGACATAGCTGGTGATACTCTCAGAGCAAACGCTATTCCTCTAATTCTCTTGATCATACCAATATCCATTAACTGGACAGGCCTAAGTTGCCTGCGGACAGGACACCTCAGTACTACTTCACCACCACCCAATGGCTGCATCCCTCTTTTCTTTATTGTCAAATTTAGATCTTCATCTTCTAAAATAAACTTCTTCAATGTGGATATCATTGATGCCTTTACATGGTCTACAGATGGGTCTATCTTGTTTGTTGTTACACCTTTCAGAGTTGCACAAATGGGTTCCTTGCAGAACAAACCCAACATAAGCAATACCTCCAAGTAGTATCCTAGGGACCTCTGAGTGCTGCACTCATGATCAACTTGACCTCCGTGCAACAGTCCTGGTTGAAAATACACAGCTGTGCCAGTCTCATTCAATTCCACTTTTGTGCCGTTCGTCAGTTTGTCTAATAAACGAATTAAGCTCACCTCAAACTCTTGAAGACCTGGCTCATCAGCCATAGACCTTATTTCTACTATTCTAACTGGTTTTCCACTCAAAACAGATAGCACCAATCTTTGTTTGAAGAAATTACTCCCTTTATACACCAGAGTGTTGTGCACCTTCGCTATCGCCGGCATTTTCACTTAATATAATAACAATCTTCCAGTTCTTCTCTCGAGCCTAACTTCTTTGGTTATGTTGACACATGTGCTTTCTTTTCAGCCAAGTGGTATGGCCACTCTTATACCATAGGCAACTAAAGTTACATATAAATTTAAAAGTCTTCATTACATTAATCCACCACTAGATGTCTCATTAACATTTTTCCTTTAACTTCGAGGAAACCTAAATCCAAAATAAATAATACTGAAGTTCTTGTACGAAGAGTTTATTTTGTAAAGAATTAAAACAATGCCGAGGCCGATTCCTAAATCAACTTTACTCCGTTTTCCTATTGTCTTCGGAGGATTCTTGGTGGCCGGTGGAATTGCTTTTGTATACCGGTAATAAAAGATTCAAATTTGAGGTTAGCAACAATTATAAATTTTCTTTTCAGGGAAAGCTTTTTGGGAAACATTGAAGAGCAACGAAAAGCTTTATACAAAGATGACCAGGAGGGCAGAAAACTGATTGAAGATGTGAAAGAGAGGCATCAGAAGTTTAAGTTCCAGAATTAATCATATTACTCTTTTGTATTTTTAAAAATTATGTAAGGTTTTTCTTCAGATTAATTGTAGAGGAAACATTAGGTTTTATATAAGCTAAAAAATAAAAGTATACCTGAAAATTGAGGTAATTAATTTTAATTTGTAGTCGTGGTAAGACTGTGTAAATGTGTGTAAAGACTATTTATTTCTATTATCAGCAGTTGGTAAGATTGGAATGCAGAGAATAACATGGTGTAAACAGGTGTAGAAACAAATTTGGAATTTGCATTTGCTAATGAAGAGGACTTTGTGTAAAATCTAGATTCAATAATTTTAAAAGTTAAATCTCACAATGTCAGATGGTAAGTGGTAAAAGGAAAATAAAGTAGTTAATGTTGGGTTAATATATATTTTATAAATGCAGAAGAAGTTATTCGTCGTCGCTTATTAATCGACGGAGATGGAACAGGAGATGATAGACGTTTAAACACAATCCTGAAGACCATAATAAAATGGACAAACTCTGACCTTAATGAAGTTGAGAATGATAACACCTATGATCGTTTGCTATGCCAATTGAACCAATGTGAATATTCTACAAAGAGATCTACAGTTTTAGCAAATACAAATAATCTGCAATTGCAGAGGTATAAACAGCTCCAATCTGTGCTTGAAATCAAGATCAATGATGTTAAGGAAGGCATAGAGCATAGTAAAGTGAACCTTGAAGATGCAAAGATATCAAAAAGGAATCGCATGCAATATGACTTATTAGCACAAAGTATTAAAGAGCAACCTGCAAGAAGTGACACAGATAAGAGATTAGCTGCCTTACATGGAGAACTTAATGAGCTGAAGGAAGAGAGCCAAAGCATAGATCAGAAACTGGAGAACAGAAGGAAACAATTCTATGTACTAGTGTCCAGTGCAAATCAACTAAGAACAATGGTAGAGGAGATGAAAAATGAGGATGCAATGAACACCTCTTTGGATGATATCACAAATAGCCCTGGTCCAGAGCCGATGTCTGAATAACAGCGTTTATTTTATTTTTATATTAAATAATGACAACCTCAGTACTTTAGGTACATTACGTATTGTTAATGAAACCCTTGTACCCCTCTCCAATATATCACCCAGTTTGTGTCCAGTGGCATTCAAATTCACACAGCTTTCATCCACAGTATCAACAATTCTTTCCTCTATAGTATGTAGATACTTTTTGTACATATCATCTTTCAAAATAACTAAACTCCTAGGCTCCAATAATAGTTTACAAATGAAATATCTCTCCCCCTCTTCCTCCCTCAAGAATTCCAGCATCGTATGGGATCCACAAGTTATTGTTGTTACTGTAGGAAAGAATATTGGTCCATCCAAATGAGGCATAATTCCTTGTCCAGGCAAATACTCATTAACAAGGCAGTGGTTTGCTCTGCTGGGTTGGAAAACATTTAAATCAGATACCCTATCCATGTATGTTACCAGCCATAAAGGGATCTGTTCTGGGATTATACCATTTCTGTGTGGTATACCTTAGGAGGAGTTATTATTAGTATACGAAATTCGCTTGAATGATTAAGCATATACCTCCATAGTCTTGTAATCTCCTGTTTTTCAAGCAAGTCCATTTTGGCTTTGGAGCACCATAAACTTTACTTGTAATTATTTCTTCATCTTCTGTGGATATGAAGTTCGGAATGTAATAAACGGATTTCGGCGCATCTTCAACTTTAAATTCTTCCAATTTCAATACCATCTCATAAACTGTGTTAGTAAATGTTATCGTTTATTATTATTTTGTTTTTATGCACCCAACTTCACTTTGTACTATATTAAGTTTTAAAATTTGCCAATTCATTATTCACAAAATGTATTTTTAATGGAAGTTTTAATAAATTCTTCAGTCAACTAGTATTATATGCCCTGTAAAATCGATGAATACAAAACTATAATGATAAGTAGGAAGTTATAATATTTCTAACACCCTGTATAAGTCCCGTTTACAAACAACGAATTATTCTGGTTTGTAGTTATTTAGATCTTCTCTAGAAAGTAATAATTCAAAATAGAAGAAACATTTAGGAATTTGGTTATCAATAAATAGTTGCAAGTTTTATTTTTAATATAGAAATTATATATTTTAAATTCGTATCTTGTGAACCTAATCGATCAATTAATACAAAGAAATAATATAACCTCTAACGAATTAAACAATTTTAAATCAATGAATTTTATTTAATTTAGAGTCATGTTATTATCAATAAATGTGGTAACGCGTTGTACAAGTATTAAGCAGTCCTACAAAGTATTATGTAGATGCGCATCAACAAGCAAAGTTAATTGGCAAATAAGGAGTGATGATGGTGGTTCAGTGCATATCTTTGATAGGAACACCAAATCCCTGCAAAGGGAAAGGGCGGCGGTGGCCAAAGATGTTAATCTGTATGACTACTTGAAGGATGAGATTGGATACAGACTTGCAGACAGGGTCTATGATATCAAGAGGAAATTTAAACTTGCTGCAGATATCGGTCAGTTTCTCAGATGACTTTCATGTACTAATGTTCTTATTAATAAGGAATTGCACAGGTTGTAGTAGAGGGTACATATCGAAGCACATTTCACCAGATTCTATTGAGGAGTTGATACTCTGTGACACAAGCCAAGCCAACTTGGATTCAGTAATCGTCGCGGACGGCGTTAAAATACGTAAAAAAGTCTTGGATGAAGAAAACATTGAGGTAACTTTATCGTGAATTGGATTGGCGTTGATGATAACGAATGTTTTTATTTCAGTTTGAACCAAACAGTCTTGATCTGGTCATTTCCAGTCTTAATTTGCATTGGGTGAATGATCTACCAAAAGCATTTAAAAAAATATTAGAAGGTCTTAAGCAGGATGGTGTCTTCATGGCTTCTGTGTTTGGAGGAGACACTTTGTATGAGTTGAGATCGTCTTTGCAATTGGCGGAATTGGAGAGAAGAGGTGGTATTTCACCTCATATCTCTCCATTTACCGAAGTTAGAGATATTGGTAGTCTCTTGACGCGAGCCGGATTCACGATGCTAACTATAGATACGGACGAAGTTGTTGTTAATTATCCAACCATGTTTGAACTGATGTGGGATCTGAAAGGTAACTCTTTGGGGTTTAGAGTTGTATTGATATTTTATAATATTATTTAGGAATGGCGGAGAGCAACGCCGCATTGAACAGAAGCTTACATTTGCATAGGGACACGCAATTTGCTGCTGCCGCTATTTACCAGCAACTCTATGGGAAGTATGATCAAGATACTGCAGAAAATAGTGTTCCAGCTACATTTCAGGTAAACACATACAATATTCTCAATTACTGTTCTGTTTCACAATTAATGTTAAGTTACTGTAAGTATTTTTGATTTATTGATTATCTTGGATACTCAATATTCCAATAAGACAAGAAAATAAGTGTTTTGATGTATTTGTTTAGCAAGTAGATACATTCCACAAATATCTGAAAATGATTATGTAAACATGAAATATTTTATTTATAGATCATAAATATGTTGGGATGGAAACCGCATCCAAAGCAACCGAAACCAATCGAACGCGGAACGGGCGAAGTCTCTCTAAAAGATTTGTATAAACTGGATGAAATCATAAAAGAAGTGAAAACCACGAAGAATGATGGTCAGAAGGAATAATTCTTCTACACCGAAAGGCAAACTCTTACTAATTGCATCAACAAAGTATGGACATTGGGTAATGCCTTGAAGTTATACTAAATGGATTGAGTTAAATATGTATATATTTTATTAAAATGTTTCAAAATACTAGTTTTCTCTCATTTCCCTTTTACATAAAAACAATAACAAGAAAGCTTGTAATAAGATTCCAAAGAGTACAATTTTAAACTGTACACATTTTTTCACTTAAAATATCAATAATGTTGATCCTATCTGGACTAGCTTGAAGATCATCAAGGTTAACAATTCTGCTGAATTTCAAGTTTGTGATAACCCAAGTTCAAATTGCTTCTGGCATTTGCCACCTTAATGAACACTTCATTGATAGATTGATCTAATGAGGCTTAGGAGTATGACCATCTACATAAAAGTTTCTTGTTGCCTTTGGTAATTCCAATTCTAAACCATCCAGATCTTTGTTTAAGATAATTTGGCATCCTAGTCGAGAGTTTTCTTTGAGGAATGGCGCCATGTCCAGTAGATCATCTTCCTGCTCTGTGGGGTCCGGTAATTTGTCGTTAAAGTTTTTCAGAATGTATACGTGGCATGTGGTGCACGCCAACGATGCCTCACATGCACCCTCCATGGGTATTTCATGTCTATGGGCCAAATACAGAACATTGTCTCCAACTTTCCCTCTCACAGCCACCCGCTCGCCAGTTTTAGTTATATATGTTATATTCACTCTAAAACAATTCCTTTAATATTAAGCAAAATAATGATTTTTTTTGGTGGTTGTTACACTTCATCCTCCGATTTGGGATCTTGCCATTCAAACTCCCCATGATTCAACACTGAAATATTTAAATTTATGATCTATTTTGCACATTTATTCTCTCAATACCTTTTGTTGCATGCAGGTATTGCTTGTTCTGTAACTTAATATAGTTGATTGCTTGGTTCGTGCAATTTCTGTTTCTAAAACACGTTTTAATTAAACTACCAGCCATTGTTTATTATATCATATAAATATGCAACCATACGCATTTATCAAAAGATTTTCAAATAAAAAATAAGGTTAAGTTCATCCAAAAGTGACGTTCAGTTTAGCCAAATTTTAAGTATGAGATATCCCAAAACCAGTATAATTATTTTGAATTAAAACAAGCAAAATTTTATTTATATAATAAAAATGAAAATGCAATTTGGTTTCAATTATTGGTGTATCTTTTTAGAGTAGTTTTAGGACAAGTAAAGTAAAAATCTTTATTTTATATTGAGCAGTTGTACCAACTTGTCCCAGTTTTTTTGAATGGGTTTATTGAATTTATCATACTTAATTTAGATATAAATGGGATTAGAACATATATAAAATCTGAAGTTGCGAATGTTTCACGTAGTTGCGGTTTAATCGGTTTCTTAGGTTCATTGAGATTGCTCCGATTTACTTTGCTATTACAATATATTACACGTCATTGTGCATTTAATGAAACGAGTCACAAGTGTTGTATCTCATGGTCACAGTCACAAGAGTGTGGTGCTGTAGTAACAGTAGGATTGGTGGTGGGCTGCGAAGTATTTAAAATGTGCCGCGATCAATTATAAAATGCATTTGGTCCGAAGTTATAGAAATGAACGGAAAGATGCACCAAAGGAATTTTGTTTACAAGCTGCTTTGGCACCTCGTCCACACAGTATTCACCATTTTCAAATGCATTCATGATATCTACCTGCAGCTTGAATGTAAGCTAATTGAATGGAGACTGGGAAATCGCTGCGAGGCGCAGATCCTGGACAATCTGCAGAAAGCCACTGCCAAATTGAAGAAGATGCCTAAACACCTCACAATTCTGCTTGGCACGGAGGAGCCATCACACAATGACCTGGCCAAACTGGTGCTGTGGTCATTAACAGCAGGCATCTCATTCATCAGCTTCTATGATGTGCAAGGTAAGATTTAATATTGATATTAATAATTAAGTGAAAATTGTAAATAAATTCATCCATAGGTAAACTTAAAATGAATGAGGAAGAGTTGAAGGAGAGTGTGAAGAGGATATTACCAAAAACTGCCAATGTGATTTGGCATAACCCAGAGTGCTCTTATAAAAATGGATTCTCAGGACCCAAGATCCATGTACAGGTTTTAACTCAGAAAGATGGCCACAAGGCTTTGGTGGAGACTTGCAAGAACTTATCCAAAAGTAACTTGGAGATCAGCATTCAGGCTGTTGATGAGGATTTGAGGAAACAGTACAAATTCCCTGATCCTGATCTGGGCATTTACTTTGGTGATTACTTCAACCTGTGCGGCTACCCCCCATGGCAGATAAGATTAACAGAGTTTCTGAACATTCCCAGCCATCACAACCTGAAGGACTACAAACTGATAAACGTCCTTCGGAGGTACAACAAATGCGAGCAGCGAGTCGGGAAATGATTACTCTTTTCATTCATATATTTTTTTTTAATGTTAATTTATCTTATTGTGAAGGTATCAGAGATGATTTTGTAAATATTTTTAAGTACAATCAATGGAGTGTAACTAGAGCAAATATTGATTAAACATACACTTAGTTTTAAAGCTATGTTTTTTTTATTATTTATCATGAAGATAAGTCTCGTAACGCTAGGTGATAATTATTTAAAAAGAAAGGCTGTAAACTGCGTTACACGGCGACATCGCAAAACATTTTTTCGCACATTGCGCAACGTTTTCGAAATTGCATAATAAATGATATTAATATTAGATGCTCGTTTCTGTTTTCTATCTATCTTGATTGAACGACCCGACACTCTGATTTCTTATCAGCATAATTATCAGCCGGATATTTAGGCTCCAATACAAAGTTTAACATAGTAAGCATTCAAGATAAAGTGCTTGAAAAGTCCTACAAATCGTAAGCAAACTAATTGTCAGAAAATTGGGTACAAACTCCATGAATTTAAGAATAAATTGCTCCAAATACAACAAAAAAAAAGATTTTTAAAGGAAAAAGTAACGATTTTTTTTTTAACCAAAGGCGTCGCTAGGACCGGTCAATCGGGCGAATACCCCGGGCAACACGAATTAAAGTTCATATTTATGCCCGTGGTCTCAAAATCCAAAGGACGTTCAATTATTAAAGACATTGCGATGTACAATAAATTAAAAAAAGTACTTGAATAATTTGCTATTTTAAATAATTGGGTAATTTATATGAAATTTGCACAATTTAGCAATATTCTCCATACAAATTAGAACTGTTTTTTTGCCGTTGACCTTCTGTTCGAAACAGTAGCATTGAAACAGGATTATTTTTCTGTACAGGTTGAAGAATAATTACTTGTTTAATGCAGTACAAAGTATCAGGGAAACACACATACTGAATAATCATCAAATACGCACAGCAACTTCGCTTCTTCAGTTTAATAGAGATTTACAGACAGTGTAAGAGGTACAAATAAAATGAAATGATTATGTAATTTGTATTTTATATCAGCAGCAGTCGATACATGGTAATATTAAATAGGTGAAGTATTGCACATGAATAAAATAAAAAGTTATATAGTAAAAAAAAAACAAACAAACATAATTGCGTTCTGTTCATCATTCCTTAGCGCCAAAAACAAAAAATAATAAGGAAGACGTTTATATAAAGGTTTCCTTCTCATTTTAATACGTGCTTAAAAGGTGCAGTAACAAATGTTTGGTATTGAACAAATCGATGTTTTTTTTAGTATCAATCAAAAAAAAAAAATCCGTGCAATGATTTTTATATACTTCATATGAATTTTCAAATATATCTGATCATTTAAACCTAATCCATTAATTAATATAACTGATTAACAATTGCAGCAAATTCTCCGTCTGGCTATGATATATATATATAGGTTTCAATTTTGACTAGCAAAATTCGTAATACGAAATAGGAAAGTAAGAAGTAGCCTAAAACTAGTTCTATACATTTTTGTATATAACTTATATAAAAAATCGATAATTAAATTTTATATATTTATACATATGTATATATATATATATAGAAATCCTAAATAAACGGATTCGCTTCTATAATTTACAAACTTAATTCAATTCCGTTTATTGGTTGTAAATCACAGCCACTCAATTAATTTACAATCATATCATATACACGTGACTATAGGATAAAAAGCAATGTAGACCCCAAAAGAAGTGTGGGGAAATATGACGAATTAATCATTATCGTACGTAACATATCTACGTATTACTTTAAATACATTTTTTATTCTTGTCACTAAACCGTCATTTACACAGAACCAGTTTTAAGCTTTTCCGACTTTATTTTTTTTTGTGCAAGGAGAGTTAGAGGAAAATATACGTTTAGCTCAGTATTTAATTTTGCTTGTCTTTTTTTGTTTTCGTCATAGTTTCTTAGAACAAAATACTATGTTAATATTTAAATAAATATCGCAGTGAATTTTTGCGGCCTCGCTTAAATCGTTGCAAGAAATCCTAAAGGAAAATAATAATTAGTATAATTGATGTCATACAGTGCGATCGTAGATAATAGTCCCACACATCACTGACATTTGGTACAATTAAACTGTCTTCATATATCTTATCAATGGATTCAAGAAATATCTTTTCCACGTATTAGATTTTATTATTATCAATTAATTTGTATTATTAGAATATTTTTTTATAAAAAAATGCTTCTGCATCAAAAAAATATAAATATTAATATCAACATTTGTTAATGAAAAACATTACAAAGTTTTATAGAATTGGATCATTTTGCTTTTGAGATAATACGTGGATTTGTTGTATTATCTACAGCTATAAGATATTATAAACAAATGAGAAAAATATAGCTTTTTAAATTATATACTAAGATTGTGACGTGTTAATTGGAAGTATTCTCTTCATAACAAATCATAAATTAAAAAGTATACCATACATTGACAGATTTATAATTATTGCAACGACGAGTTATTGTACGTTGAGTCTAAAAACAAATTAAATTGAAGAAATTTTAATTAGAATTATCTTTGTACTGAGAAACAATTAAGGAGTGCAATACGTTTCTAATAGATTGTTTAAGGCATACACAGTCCAATAAAATAATGAATGTTATTAACGATAATTTCATAAATTATTCAGATTTTTTTTAAATTATTACATGTTAAATCAAATATAATTGCTACATTATAAACTTATTATTCGTTTTTATATCTAATATATTAAAGGTAAAGACACAAATTATTAAAACAGCATTATATAACATTACTTCATTTATTATGCCCCACTTTTGAATTACTTGCTGTATCTTTGATTTTGTCCAAAATATATCAATTATTGAAAAAATAAATTGATAAAATTGATCATATAGTTTTTAAACTTTTTAATAATATAAAAAACAACTTAAATATTGTATTCTCAGATTTGCAGTATATTGAAAAACACATGATCTTTAATTTTCCACCATATTTTTTGATTTCATTGCTATATGCTATATGGTTGATCAATTAAAATTTAGATCTTTAGTCAATAATATATTAACAATGTATAATTATATCAATTGGAATGGAAAGATTATGGCTCATTATATATGCAATAAATTTCTCATATATCAATTAGAATAATAATATAAAAAAAAGAGATAATTCTTTTAAAACTTCTAGTTCATTCATTAATATATTGAGATTTGTAGATAATGTAATTTCAATACAGATAAATCTAGTCCATTTAACGCATTGACTGCCACGGATTTTTTTCAAGATTCCGGTCTAAAGAGCCAATTTACACAAAACATAAAAATGTATTTGCTTGTATAAACTTTGTATAATTGTATTTTTTGTCCATTTAAGCAAAACCAGATTATTTATTCTCTTTCTTGAGGCCATCTATTCATATTTACACTGTTATGCTACGAGCTTCCTCGTATCTGTACAAATATAACAACTCGTAGTAGGCGTCCTGGGCAAATAAACAACTTACGAGATATCTTGTAGTTGGTAGTCAGGGGTGTGTTTAACATTTTCAAGATGATTATTTTATTAGTCAAAAATCGGCTATAGAATTTTTGCTGCGCAAATATTTGCCGAGTAATATTTACTTAACATCAAAATGAGACCACCGGATTATGGACAAGTAATAAAATACTAGACACATAAATTGTAGCTTTTTAAGTATGGTTTATGAGAATGTTATTTTATAGCTAACCAATAAATGTTATCATCGTGTAATTGGTTTATTTCATAGCAATCTTCTATTTCTTGTCAATTAGTTCTCTTCCCCTTTTACTAGAGTGCAGACATCAATTATTTATTTATTTACAAGCAGTGAGTATGTATATTCTACCAAAAATAGGACTTTATTCTTATTAAAAATATTACTTTTATCTATTTAAAAATCTTCATTGAAGTGTTTCTGTCTAATATTCGAGTTTTGTTTTGATATTAAAATATACGCAGTGTCATTATTGCAATTATAGACGCAATTATAACTTTATTATTGAGTCTGATTTATTCATAATTGTATAAAGCATATATCATTTGTAATTAATAAATTGATCAAGACGTAAATGCAATCAATTATTGCAAAATGTAAATATATTATAATTATTTATAGTGATATATTACATAAAAAATGTCTTGTGATAGGTGGTCAAGTATTTGGGATCGCACTGTACTATAAAACTTACTTGAATTAGAACTGTAAATATTTTCAAAAAATACAACCTGCAGTATCTTGAGGGGGAGATAGAGAGAGTGAGAGAGACTGGATTGGGCCGTTTTGCTCAATGCCTATTCGACCTCTTACCCCGTCCGCTGCTGTACGACCTCGACCTTGATCTGCGGTACCGACGACTGCTGCGGGACCTGGATCTGCTGTCGGATCGGGAGCGTCTGCGGCGACGGTATGATCGGGACCTGGACCGCGAATACCGGGACCTTCGATCCCGACGACGTGAATCACCCCTGCGCCTCGAGGATGACCTCGATCGCCTCTGGGCCTTGTGTCTTTTGGACTTGGGGGTGCGAGAACGGGAACGTCGCGACGACCGTTTCCCGCACTCGCTCGACGGCGACCGCTTGTCGCGACGCTCGCGCTTTCGATCTACGCTCGAATCGCTCGAGTTCGACGACTGCCGTTTCCTCGAGTTCTTCGAGGAGAAGTTTAGGGTCTTTGATTGCGGGGGCGGCGGCGTGCCTTCTCCACCGTCCTCCGATGTCCGCCTCGATCTACGATCTAGAAACAATTGTTGTAGCGACTTTCGAATATGAATCATTTCTCATAAATGCATCAACAGGGTCTCGTTTTCATATAAATGTATACATCTTAGTCCCATTGCATTTTTCAAAATTGATTAATTAAATCTTAATATTGAGGAACAAAATTCACAAAGCCTAATTTAAAAATGAACAATTATACTGACCTAATGTCTTCGCGACTACCTGACTTTCACTGTCCGGAGTCGTCGCTCTACTATCATTATCCCCACCTTTCCTATCAGCATCAGCCAAGCGATCTTCAATGTCTCTTTCAATTTTCAAAAACTCCTCTTTCCTTCTCCTTATAGTGTCCTGCAATATCAAAACCATTACAATCGTTATCTTAAGCTGAGCAACATTTCAAGACGTACCCGCAGATCCGAATCGGAATCGTGGCTCCCGTGATTATTTGACTCCTCATCGCTGTCGCCGCTGCTGTCCCCAGATTCCTCGTACGCTCCAAGACCTGTTATCATTAATGATCAAATTAAATCACATCCAGAGGACGGGAGAGATTATTAACGGAAATGCAAGAACAGGAATGTAAAATCCAGGTTCGGCATTTCAATTCAAAGTAAATAAGTGTTTCATTGCTTCTCGATAAACAATTTGTCAAATCAAAGATGTTAGCCAAAAAGAACAAAAGAACGAAATTACTAAACTAAGTCTAGTTGTTAGAGAAAAAAAAAGTCTCTGAATCCTTTGGAAAGGATGTTCGTTTTATAAATAAAATCAGTATTAGCAGATATATAAATATATGTTAGAAAGTACACATTCGGACAGAGTTAATGAAAACCCTGAATGCACTATATATTTGCTAGATGCTGAGAAAAGGCACTATGTAACTTACCGAGTTTGTTACTAAGGTTCGCACCGGTGGGTGCAGATACACGTTGGTCTGAGGCTGAAGTTTACATAAACACACATATTAGATCCTTTCACCCTGCCAACAGTCTCACAAACAGTGACAACTTTTGTATAAAATTATAAAATAATAACTAAACTGTGACAAACAAATATATAAATAAATAAGTATATATAAATATGAGTTAATATATCATAGGCCAATTGTATAAATTGCACATTAATTTCAGTCTTTATTTCCAACATCACAATACCTTGCATCTTTCTTATGTGTCGCTGCAGCTCTTCCCTACATATGATTTGTATTTCACGATTTGTTACCTTTAATAAAATTTCTGTCATCGTTCTCCTAACCTTCAACATCTGAAAAACAATATAATTTATTAATATTTAATTATTACTTACTAAAATATACACACCATTTCCTCATAAGTTAATGGTGTTGGAGATCTTGGTGGGGAATTTACTGGTGTATCATCAGATTCATCATTCTCAACAAATGCACTCTAAAATATAAACAAAGAATGCAATAAGCAATAATAATGATTGTACATTTCTTTCATATTACATTTTTGGTGGATTCTACTTCTTTGACAGTGCTCTTCAATATTTCCAAAGCATTCTCCCTTAATCTAGCCTTTTCCTCAATTTCATCCTTATCCAATTTCTCTCTATCTCTGTCCAATTGTTTGATTTTGTCACGTTCCATCTTTTCTAAACCATCCCTGATCCATGCTGGTAATTGCTTGCGTTTAGCTGCATCCAATGTTATGGGAGCTTTGGCAGGAGGCAATGGTAGGTTGACTTTGCTGTACCTTTTGTTGTGCGGTTTCACACCTGCCTTTGAACTAGCCCCAGATGAAGTCCAATATCCAGGTGAACCCACAGAGTTGAAACTAAAGAATTAATGCATGAAGTCATTCTAAACATTTCAATGTTAATATTACCCATAGGTTGGAGTGTCAGCTGCTGTTGTTACTGGAGGTGTTCCAGTTTCTTTGGGTGGGACAAAATTATTATAGGAAGGTGTTGGAAGCAAAGGTGCTTTTGGTGGTGGAACTGATGGTGGATTTCCAGACCAGGAGTTGTTCCACTCCCACGGCTGCTGGTTCCAATTCAATCCCTCCTCAGGGTCAGACCACTGTGCCGGAAGATCATCCTCATTAACAACATCCATAGGTGCCTCACCACCCTCTGCAATCACTTCCTTCTTAGGTTTGCTGATCACAGGAGGTGGCGGAACTACGATAGGTTCCGGTATTGGAGGCCCAGCCTCCTTCATAATAATCCATTGATGGGCCAATGCAGCCCAATCCACTTGCTCATTGGACACGTTCTGGTAAGTCGACGGATTCAACGCCCACTGGGTGTAGTTTTGTGATTCAGTGGAGTCACTGCCCGAATACATTTTAGTCTTTGCTTTTACACAATTTTTGATATTCCAAACATATCTGACCGGTTAAAAACCGACTGCAATCTATTCCACTCATAAATATTTTCAGACACGCAACTATAACCAACTACAAAATACAAAAATTACTGCAGTATGTTTGGTGCAATCATATGTACCAACATACTAAAATAAATTTTAATTATAAAATAAATGAAAAAAAAAATATTATAAAAGCAACCTGTTTGAATAGAAATATTAAACATGTATTTTAATGTATTTCTTTCATGTGTAACAGTTATTTTTGACAAAATAATATTGAAATACCAATATTTTTTTTTTATTTGCATTAGCAATTTAAAAAAAAAATGATTATTAGCTGATATACAGAAATAATTTCTTAAGTATTAAAATGAAGAATGTTTAATAACGTCAGAAATGTATAAAACATGCGAATGTAGAAGTTAAATGTTCTAATTCTAGGTTAAGGTCATTGCATAAGCAATGTAAGTGAAACTATTTGGTGGTTGCTTTTTAAAATATGTCACTTCCTTGTATAAAACAATAAGATTTCTAATTGTTGAAACATTGTACAACATGTTGTCCACAAGAACAAGTAGACTACTCAAGTATGGCAGTGTGGTGGCCGCCTCAGGCAGTGTTTTATATGCCCTAAATAATAGCAACAACACTTTAGATTCTATTGGTGTAGTGAGATTAGGAAGAGCAGCCTTTACAGTGTTCAAAATAGGTGCAATTTATAAGAGAAATCTGTACAAACATGACCTGGACAAAGAGTCAACTGAGTACAAAGATTTGAAGAGTTACTGCCATCTGCAGGGTGCAGAAAACCTGTTGGATCTTTGCTGTAAGAATAAAGGTGTTTACATTAAAGTTGGGCAGCATGTAGCTGCTTTAGAATATCTATTACCAAAGGAATATGTGCAAACAATGAAGGTACTGCATAGTCATGCACCACCAAACAACATAGATGATGTTTACAAAGTTATTAGAGAAGACTTGAAGGCTGATCCCAAAGAAATATTTGCTGAGTTTGACATAGAACCATTAGGTACAGCATCTCTAGCTCAGGTGCACAAAGCTAAGCTGCATGATGGCACAACAGTGGCTGTTAAAGTGCAGCATCCCTATGTGCAGGGCAATTCCAGGGTGGACATGAAGACCATGGAAATTTTGGTTAAAGTTGTAAGCTGGGTGTTTCCAGAGTTCAAATTCCAATGGTTGGTTGATGAGACCAAGAAAAATATTCCACAAGAGCTTGACTTTGAATTGGAAGGAAGAAATGCGGAGAAAGTTGCGCGCATGTTTTCGCATTTGCCTTGGCTTAAAATACCCAACATCAGGTAAATCACATTACATGTAAATATGTAGGTCATATTTTATGTTATAGTATACATTTTATTATACAGATGGGATTACACAACTTCAAGAGTCCTCACCATGGGCTATGTGGAAGGTGGACAAGTCAATGATTTGAAGTACATCAATGAGAATAAGATTAGTGCATATGAGATTTCTGATAAGTTGGGCAGACTTTACTCCCATATGATTTTCATCAATGGTTTTGTGCACAGTGATCCTCACCCTGGAAACATCCTGGTCAGAAAGAATGAGCAAGGAAACTGTGATATAGTTCTCTTAGACCATGGATTATATGCTGTAATTTCTGATTTTAATATAAGTATCTTTTTTTTAACTATTGTTTTATAGAATTTAAGCCGACACACGATGATTGAATATGCGAATCTCTGGTTGAGTATACTGGACAGAGATAGGAAGGCTATGCGGCAGCATTGCAAGAACTTGGGAGTCGAAGGGAATCTGTACGGGCTTTTCGCTTGCATGATCACGGGAAGAACGTGGGACTCTATTATGTCCGGAATCGAAAAGTCAGAACTTTGTAGTCAACCAAACGTGTTGCGTTTATTAACTCCACTTCCATTTTAGGAAGAAACCGACGTCCGGTGAGAAAGACCTGTTCCAAAAGGAGTTTCCCAACTTGCTACCTGATATATCGGGCGTGCTGGATCGCGTCAATCGTGAATTGCTGCTGATTTTGAAGACTAACGACTTAATGCGTGGCATTGAATATACTTTGAAGACCGGTTCCAGGCAAGGTGCATTCAAAGTGATGTCCCAATGTTGTGTAAAGTCCGTTTACAAGCAACGCATCGACGAGGCGAAAACCAAATTCAACAAGTTTACTAACACCATTGCACAATTCTGGATGTTATTTAAGCTCAATATATATTACAGTTATATAACCTTAAGAAGTTTAGCGCAATCAAATTAAAAATAATATAGTTTTATAATTTATGAACTTTTACGAGGTGGACATTAATAATTTGGGAATCATTAGACTGAGAAATTTGGAAAGGCCAGTGGTGCAGGGTCCGCAAACTATTAGTTGGCGTGCTACTTTGTTCAAGAGTTTGAAAAACTCGTCTTTTAAGCAATATATTACAAATTTTTAATATATTTATAACTGTTGATATTTTTATAAATAAATTTATTTGTTTTATAAATACTATCCAGAAGGGACTATTCTTTTAACGATAGTAATAGTATCGATATCGAATGCAAATCTGAGCAGGTGACCGTGTATATTTAGTTGCATACTATACACATGTATTTCCTTTAAATGATTAATCTTATTTCAATTTAAATTTTTGTAAATAAGTCTTTAATTTTGTAGTGATATATTAATATATGTAATTTACGTAAATTAACAATTTTAAAGTTATTAAGTTAAGTTGGCAGCTTATATTGTAACTTTTGTATGTTGGTTACAAAATTTTGTTGACACTTGTTATGAGTCACTTTGACATATTGTGACTTTTTGTCCCAAATGGTTTAGTTTTGTATCATAATGGATGTTTTCAATAAAATATACTCCCAGGTGAGTAGTTCTGTTAGTAGTACAGTCTCTCAGCTGTCTGGTGTTTTGCCTGGAAATCCGGTGACCAGGGAATTCGACGCAAGCTCACATATAGCTTCTGGAGGACCAGGTAAATGATCTATCACCTGCAACTACCACAAATCATAAATCATTCATTGTAGGGCTACTATGGAAGATTTACAAAGGAACAAAACGTTCTACAAAGCAGGAAGCCTCAATATTTGTGTTTGAGAAAAAGCAATTAGATAGGTATAATAAAAATGATAAGGAAATTGTTCTGGAGGTTTTGAGAAGGGGAGTGCTGCAGTTAACAAAGATTCGTCATCCTCAGATCCTTACAGTGCAGCATCCACTTGAGGAGAGCAGAGAGAGTTTAGCCTTTGCCACAGAACCTGTATTTGCAAGTTTAGCAAACATCCTTGGAGATACATATAACATGCCCCAAGTGAATAGTAGCATGACTGACTACAAATTCTATGATATTGAAATCAAGTATGGTCTGCTCCAAATTGGTGAAGGCCTTGCATTCTTGCATAATGATGTTAAACTGCTGCATAAAAACATCTCACCTGAAAGTATTATGATCAATCAGCAAGGGGCATGGAAGATTTTTGGCTTTGATTTCTGTGTACACAACACTAGCCCCCCAAATGCTGTTCCCTTTTATCCATATGAGGAATACAGCCCTGTTTTACCTCAAGTGGCTCAACCGAATTTAGATTTTATGGCGCCTGAATGTATTCTTACACAAAGTCATGTCAATGGAAGTGATATATTCTCTCTTGGAATGGTTGCATTCATGCTCCATTCACCAAACCATCAACCAATAAGTAAAGTGAAGGATATCCAACAATTTCGCGCTAGAATACAACAAATGAAGCAACTTAGCCCCAATAAGCTGCAGTGTGTACCAGAGGCTTTAAGAGAGTATGTTAAGATGATGTTGAATGTAACACCAGATGTAAGACCAGACGCTCATCAATTTATTAAAGTAATTATTTTCTATAAGTTTTACTATAATTTAATTAATTATGAATATGTTTTAGATACCTTATTTTGAAGATGTTGGTGTCAAGACATTGAACTATTTGGATTCCTTGCTGCAATGGGATAATTTACAGAAGTCGCAATTCTACAAGGGATTGCCGGAAGCCCTTTCGAAATTACCGCACAGGGTTTGTCTGCAAAGGGTATTACCGTGTTTGGTGAGGGATCTTCAGCAACCTGCAATGGTACCTTTTGTTTTACCCAGCATTATGGATATTGCTCAGAATTGCACGCAGCAATCGTATATTAAATGCGTGTTGCCATATTTGAAAGCCGTAATGAAACTGACCGAGCCCGTTCAGATCCTGTTGATCTTCCTGCAGCGAATGGAGTTGCTTCTGAAGCAGACGCCAGCGGAAGATGTGCAGCAACATGTTTTACCTATGTTATATAGAGGTTTGGATTCGGAGACTCCGAAGATACACGAGTTATGTTTGACGGTGTTACCGACGTTCGCTGGGCTCCTGGATCACGCTAATGTTAAAAACAGTTTGCTGCCTAGGATCAAGAAACTATGCTTAGGTACCGGGAACCTTTCAGTGCGTGTTAATTGTTTACTGTGTATAGGGAGGATTTTGGAAAACCTTGACAAGTGGTTGGTTCTTGACGAAATTTTACCATTCCTCCCGCAAATTCCATCGAGAGAACCAGCTGTTCTCATGGGTATATTGGGAATTTACAAGCTGGCGCTGAACCACAAGAAATTAGGTATAAGCAAGGAAATAATAGCTACTCGAATCCTGCCGTTCCTCATGCCGCTGTGCATAGAGAACGGCTTAAGCCTGGCTCAGTTCAATGCGCTTGTTGCGTTGGTTAAGCAGATGTTCCAGATGGTCGAATCCGAGCACAGGGTTAAACTGGAACAGCTGAACACTGTGCAGCAGGAACGTAAAGCGCTGGAGTCAACGATGCCTCAAGTAAATCCGCAAGTTAACATGGATCTGAATCAGGCCTTCAGCGGTTTAGGTTTGGATAATTTCGCCGGCGGTTCGATGAGTTTGCAAGAGAAGAAAAGTTTGGTACAGCAGCAGAACAGCATGAAATTACTGCAAGAGCAGGCGCCTTTGGAACCTAAAATTCCAAAGCCACAACTGCAACAGCAGCAACAACAGAACATCATCAAAGATCTCTCTGCAGATTTACGGATGAGCAACAGTTTCATACCGCAAATAGCCTCTCCGCCTCAGCAGCAGCCCAAACCCATGCAATCTCAGCCGTTCAGTTTAAACACGAGCATGAATGCTATGCCCAAACCAGCAGCGTTCAACAACCAGAATTTCAATAGCAATTCCTTTGGCAGTTTAGGCATGAACATGAGCAACCCGACTGCAACGAATCACAACTGGAACAACAACGCCAACTACACCGGCTGGTCGAATACCAATACCAATAATTCGAACAACAAGAACTGGAGTGCCCTGGATAGTTTAATACCTGCATCGTCGAACAGCAAGACCAGCATGAACCAAATGATGTTGCAGAGTCCGCAGGATTCTAACAAGACGAAGAACGCGCTCTCCCCGGACGAAATCATGGACCTGCTGAGTTGAATCTTCATTTAATGACGACTGATTTTAAATTTATATTTTGTTATTTTATCTTGTAAGCTTAATTATGTGAAGTCACTTTGCATTATTCCTTTTACGATGGTGATAATTTATTAATGTTACAGTGCATTATTTTTTTTTTGTTAATATGTTTTGTTATATATAGTTTGTTTTCAAAATGCTTTTATGAAACGAATTTCTATATTAGGCAGTATTAAATTATTTTACAATTTATTTAGTGCGACTGACGCAGGACGAGAACGATTTGGATAAATTTTAACAAAATAAACAACACTTTATTACAACACTAAATTGTTTCTATTTCAGAAATTTCATAGTTCTTTTATGTCCCAATTTCAAATCGCAACAAACCTGTTTAAGTCTATATTCATTCTTTTAAATTATACTTTATTCATAGTTTTAATATATTTATTATCATTGTTTGTAGTTGTTATAACATTTGATTTTCATTTACCACCAAGCTTTTGATTTCGGTAAAATAATGAAGTATTCAAAAACATTTTATTCCATTACTTGATTCATTAAATAACTAAAAGCATATACATGCGTGTTTAGATATGCTTTAAATCTAAATATCAAGTGTACTTTGTTATGCTATATTTATTACATTACCAAACTTGTAAAAGTAATAAGATTTATTGTATTCAAGATAACGATTAGAGTTGCGATTGCCTCAAGGTCTAAGTATATAATAGATTTAATTCGTTTCCTCGGTTATATTCAATTAACAACTACTCATTAAACGTTATGCTAAAAAGCTAATAAAGAAAACGAAGGAAAAAAAAAACAAGTTTTCTAATAATAGAGTTGCAGTCTAATGTTGGTCTCATTCGGAAATCGTTTGGGCATTCGAAAAATGCAGACTTAAGTCTACTTGGCTGCTAGTGTGATCCTTCTTGGCTAGATAGAGCCACGACACTACTGGCGTGTTGTTATTTGTTTGTTGACCTTTATACGAGTTTTCCTACCCGACTGGACTAAATATCCCATTCCGACCACTGCACGCATCGGATCGAGCGTGCGCGCTTTCGATAAAGACAGAACTACTCTTCGTCGCTGCTGAGGTTCAACTCTTTATTGGTCAGTGTAAAAAAGGGCACTATTATGACTGGCCGAACTTGAAACGGTGCCTTCATTCAACTCGAACGAATCAGAGACAAAGACGGAAACAACAAAGACAAGTAAGTCACAATGGAATCTGCACTTAACTCACTCTACATGATAAATCCATCCAATAGACGATTGATTTGTTCGTGCATGATAAATAATTTCAAATAATCTACAAGGAATAATAATTAAGTGGATCAGTTGTGATGGATAGAAAGCAAAGTGGCGCAAGAAAGTTGATGTGAAATTCAAAGTGAAATTATTTATTAAATCTAAACTACTTATTTACAACGAATTGAAACGATTATTGTGTATTTAATTTAAATTTTCTATTGTTTTGAATTGAATAAATATCTATATTTAAAAAAAAACTACATCGAGTAAAAAAAATATACATTTATGCAGTTGATAGAATACATTTCTACACACTTAAGGATCGTGACCTTAAAGTTCAAATAGCCGATAATTTTTTTTAAACGCTCTATTTTTTATTCAGGAAGTTATATTTTAAAATGTAAAACACGATTTCAATAGTTTTTGTTTTTAATCTAATTATTTCTGTTAACTATATGAATAATATTGAATTAATTTGGATGTAATAATTGATCTAACAGTAATTGATTATTTTTTAATGATTTATTAAATTCGTCGAATCAAAATTAAAGTGGACTTTAGAATAAGTATGATTTTAGAATAAGTACGCCCAGTGAAATATTTCGGACAAATCAATGAAGTGGTTTGTAAATAATTTTGTCAGACTGTTTCGTAGAACAAGTGACTCGTTGGGCGGCCTTTATTAAGCATTATCAACTGAAGTGCATCCAAAACTTCCTGTTTCCTGTCGGCAAACAAATGTTTTGTCTCCAATAATAACCAGAAGTTTTGTCTTTGTCTGCATGAACTGCATTGCTTTCATTTAAAAATATTTATAATTCAAATACGACTGTGGTATATATTGGTAGTTGATCAAAGAAAACATCGCAAATAAACATACATTAACTCATGCTACTTACGACAACTTAAATACATTCAATAAAGAAAGAAAGTTATACAATATGCAACATTCGTCAAAAGTTGCAAAATAATATTGTAGTTATCAATGACCTCGAATTAATAACACACTTTGCACGCTGCATCCTTTTGTAAACAAACTGAATTGAAATCATTATATGAATCAGTATTCAATAGTAAAACTAATTATCATAATATCTATTTGTTTTTTATTCAAATGGTTCTGTCGTCTTTGTTAATGATTTTAAATGATGTGCAAGTTATTTATTAGATTAAGTGAACTTGAACATATGCTCAAATGCAAGTGCAACAAAAGCAGCAGTTCAATGACTTCCGCAATGAACGTTATGTTGTACATGAAACGTGATGCTATGGATTGAATTTCTCTTGAATGATGGTCAAGATGAGAACAGGTTTTGATCTGTAATTATTTATTCATTCTGCATCACTTGCGCTACAAATCTTTACATAATTTAATTCGTACTTCAATCATTTTGTTATTGCGAACGTATCAAAGTATTTATGTGCCCTCATTTACTTGTTAGTATTGCACATAGATGATTGCAAATGTTATTTATTGCTTTTCGAAACGATATTGGTTTCTCATTTAAATTAATTGATTTAATAGGATGCTATATATAGGTTTTAATTATTTAAATGGCTGAGTGTGGATTCAGTTAATGGTAAGAAAAAAATGGAAAAGTAGGAATGAAAATAAGATTTACTGGTCGGAGAAATTGAGGTTGCGCAGTTTTCATATCTAGGTTGCATTTTCTCTTGTAGAAAATGTGTTAATATATGCAAGAAATATTGGAGGAGACTAAAGGAAAGTGTAGGAATATGAATGAAATTTTGAGAAAACTGTATATCTGGGTTACATTTCCTCTTGAAAGAAAGTTTTGATGTAAGCGAATATTATTAGAAGAGATTAAAGATATTCGAAGGAACTTGGATGAATACTGAAAATAACTAAATTAGATTACAGGAAACCATACATGCTTAGTATATAGAATTTAAATGCAATAAACAGATAGTGCAGAAAGTTATATAAAAAAAATGTAAAAGAAGATGTTTAATTAAAGTGAATTTATTTCATTTAATTAATGGTGCTATTAAACATCATAGTATTTGTGTCTATGATCACTTAAGGTTTCAATAATTGATACTTGTATCATTAATATTAAATCTTCTATCTTCAAACTCAATTGTACTAAAAAATTGTACTTAAATTATAGAAAGTACAATTGTTCAAGTAAAAATAAGAAAACTGTTGGCTTACTGGTGAACGTTCGTTTTCACACTTATGTCGTTATTTGTGTGTAACAAAGAAGCAGTATAGTCGCAACAACGATTTGTCATTAGCGCAAACAGTGCGCATTTGTAAATATTCTCATTTGCCAGCGCGAGTTCAATGGTAAGTTTCGAACTCGAAGGTCAATTATAAATACAAATCCGAATGTACATACGGAGAAGAAGCAAAATAATGTAGCAACGGCGTTATCCTTATCAGAGGAGAAATATTCGCCTTATCATCATCTCATCTCGAGTCGGTTTATTTACATTTGTTTTAAAAAATGTAAGATGATTGACTCCGTGTCTATTGTTTTGGAAATTGTGTGAATAAAAATAAAGTAGTAATAATATTGCTTGATGTTATTGACCGAATAATAATAAATTTTAGCAGAGCTATGGGGCTGAAGAATAAACTGAAGACTCTGCGGCTGAAGGCGGAAAAAGTCGAGGATCCTGGTTTGGAGGATCTGGAAACCGAAGAGGAGAACAAAGAGCGATGGCAGTCAATTTACATTATTTATTTCACAATGTTCCTGATTTCGTTAGGGTTTAGTATTATTATCACCGGGGTTTGGCCTTATTTGGATAAAGTAAGTTTGTTTTGGAGAGCAAGTTTGTACCATTTTTTGAAATTGTTCAATTTTTGGTTTAGTTAGATCCGACAGCTGGAAAGGAGTTCATGGGTTACGTGGTTGCTGCGAACCCCTTTGCTCAAATGCTGTTTTCTCCTCTTGTGGGATGGTGGAGCAACAAACTGGGAACCATAAGACTACCCATGTTGACATCCTTGGCGCTCTTCACAGTGGCCAGTGCGATGTACTCTTCGTTGGAGCTATTTAGCGGTTACAGGAAGTATTGGATGTTGTGGACAAGGTTCTTAATTGGCGTGAGTTCAGGTAATTTTTAGATTTTAAAATGATTATAAACGTGTGTTTAATGTTGATTATTTTAGCTAATATCGCGGCTTGCAGATCGTACGTTTCGGCTGCGACAAAGTTCTCGGAAAGGACTAAAGCCGTTTCTATGATATCGTTGGCTCAGGTTCTCGGCTTTATAATTGGACCTGCCTTGCAAGCGGCTGTTGTTTTTCTGGGCGATGAAGGAGTTTGGCTATTTCCAAATAAATTGAAGCTAGATATGTACACAGCGTCCGGTTGGATTAACGTTTTCCTGTCGGTGGTGAACTTCTGCTTGTTCCTGCCTTATTTTTTCAAGGAGCACAAGATCGCCGGTAAAGAGGCGATGATGAAGCAGGGCGCCAAAAATGAGAAAGAGACGTGGCTGAAACCGGATTATTTGAGCGCCTGGACGCTTATCGGAGCGTTCTTCGTGCTCGTTTTCAATTTTATGCTGTTGGAGACTTTGGGCACATCCTTGACGATGGATCAGTTTGCGTGGAACAAGTCGGAGGCTATGTATTACATGGGCATACTTATGTCAATCGGCGGCATTCTGGCGATAATCTGCTTCGCAATGATCAATCCTTTGTGCCGTTGGTTCCCAGAGAACAAAGTTATGATTTGGGGCGGCTTCTTGTTCATGCTGCTTGGAAGGGCCGTTTACATTCCTTGGGGGGACGGTTACCCAGTCATGTACGACGACTCGAATCGTCTGATGAACTGTGAAAATAGCAGCTTAAATGTGATAAATGCTACAGAATTTTACGATTATACATTGAACATCACCGAAAGCGCCTGCGATGAATCCATTCTGGTTGGATGTCCGTCGAGTCAAGAGTGGTGTTTGTATACAAGGGTCATGACCCTATTCCAGTTCCTTTTCGGCTACCTCCTCACATGCCTTGGCTATCCGATCGGAGTGACGCTGATACAGACGATATTTTCAAAGATTTTAGGACCTAGACCACAGGTAAATAGTGCAAATTTTAAAAATATATTTAAAATAATATCTCTACTATTTCGTTTAGGGAGTTTGGATGGGTCTATTGACCGGCTCGGGGTGTTTATCAAGGGTCATGGGTCCCGTTTTCGTGACTCACATTTACACCATTTACGGAACAAACTGGACGTTCGGGTTCACCGCGCTCATGATGCTGGTGTCCATGATTTGGCTGATTTATTTCACCGATCGATTGCTTCCCAAAGAGATTGTCCGGGAGGAGGAGGAAGGGACAGAACTGAACGAAGTGAATAGCTTCGTGCAAATTCCTCTGACCGCCAAGACAGACGCATGATGCGATTTATTAGCTCAATTGTTTTGTAGTTCTCTTTTAATTAATCAATGATCTGTTACGCAAGTGTTTTCGTACTTATTTATTTTTTTTTACTTATCTTTAAGACTCACTCAGTTTTTGTTTTTTGTAAACTATAGCAAACAAACTATTTTAATACTTTTATATACATATAAATAGTGCAATAAACGTTATGTGATACCAAGCGCATTTTTTTTTAAACATATTTTTAAAGAAACTTGATGATATCGACTTTTATCATTTTGCTTAATGTAAATATCAATTTTTTGTGGAAGCGAATACAATGGTTTTGAGAGAAATCCAGCGAACGCTGTGATTGTGTTGAGTAACGAAAGTTTTCATTAATATTTACTCTGCTTAAATTCCATGTAGTTTATCTCTTTATTGTCACTGTGGATTGAATCAAACGCACGCATTGTGTCTGCCGCCGTTTAGCAGTTAGCTCTATGTATAGTTCAAAACAAATATACTTCGCTTGCACTTGATTTTATAATTACGTACACCGCACAGCATTCAGTTCTTGGATAGGAATGTCGTTTTTCGTGAGGAGCAGTAATGCGGGGTTGCGGGTGCAGACGGAAAAGGAGCAAAAAGAACGATTCGTGTCCCACTATATCGTCTATTTCACCCAGTTCAACGTCGTCTTCGCCTATAGCACTATCATCACCGGGATTTGGCCGTATTTAAATAAGGTACGGGATATATTTAGGCCGCGGCTCGTGCACGTCAAACAAGCATGAGAAAGTGTGGGATTAATTATAGTTGGATCCATCGGCGGACAAAAGCAATTTGGGATACTTGCTGGGATTGAGTGCCCTCGGACAGACGATCTTCGCACCGATCTTGGGATACTGGAGTAACTATTTAAAATCGACGCGCATTCCGTTTGTGGTCAGTCTGATAATCTGCCTGATCTCTTACATCATCCATGCCACCTTGGAGACATTTGATAATCATCGGAAGTATTGGTTCCTGTTTTCGAGATTCCTCGCCGGGACTGGAGGAGGTCGCTGCATTCAACCTTGGCACCTTGAATTTAACTAATGCTTCTACTATTTTAGCCTGTATAACGCTATGCCGCTCTCACGTATCAACCACGACGTTGATGAGGGAACGGAGGAAGGCCGTTTCTATTTTATCATCTTGCTCTACCATAGCCTTAGCCTTGGGACCGGCTCTTCAATTCGCAGTGGTTCCGCTCGGAGATGAAGGAGTTTGGCTGATTCGCAATAAGCTAAAGCTGGATATGTACACAGCCATCGGTTGGATTGTTTTCATCATCACAGTTATAAATATAATCCTTTTTCATCCGGCCATATTCAAAGAGCACAGCATGTTGAAGGAGGATAACGGCGACGACAACAACACGTACACTTCTAAAAACTACAAGTACTTGGCGTGGGTGTTCATCGTGATGAATTTCTGCGTCACGTTCAACTTCATGTTTACCAAACTGCTAGGCACTCCGATGGCGATGGACGAGTTCGCCATGACCCGACCCGAAGCAATTACCTTGAATTCTTTAGTCATGTGCGTAACAGCCGCAATATCCTTCATCTCAATCCTCCTTATAAACCCTATCTGTAAGCTGGTCTCTGAAATGAAACTGCTGATTTTTGGGATGGTCCTCCTGGTGGTTGGAAGGTTTTGCTTTTATCCTTTGGGCGGATCTTTGGTGGTTTTCGACGACACTGATTTAAACGTAAACGCCACTCGCATCGGATGTCCCAAGAGCCAGGATTGGTGCTCAACGGAGAGGCGAGTCCTCTTCCATCAGTTCATCATTGGAAACGTCTTGGAGAATATCGGGTACTCCTTTGCTATTACTTTAATCATGGCCATATTTTCAAAAGTACTAGGATCCAGGCAACAGGTAACCAAAACTCACATAATTATCTCAAATCACTTCAACTCTTCTTCATTTTTAGGGAACTTGGATGGGTTTTCTAACATCCATGGGGAGCATAGCGAGAATAACGTCTCCCATTTTCATATCAACTCTTTACAAAGTATACGGTCCAAGCGTGGTGGTAATCGTTACAAATTTGATTTTCTTGTTATTCGGAATAGCTCTAGTGAAATTAGCGCACGATTTCATCCTCGGTGAGGAAGCTGTTGAAGTAATCACGGCCACGATTCCCGAATCCTGTAAAGACACTTTACTCGAAGAGATTAAATAGAAATTTCAGATACTTTTTTTGTATTTAATTTACCATTATCATCGCTTCGTTAATCGATTACATATAATTTTTTTTTGGGCAAAATATAATTTATGAGGAGCAATAAAAATTATCAAAGGAGATTTGCGTGCCTACCGACAATTCTTAATCTTCGATTATGTTCGACTTATTATTAATTACAACACTCAATACCGTTGGATCCGTTTGTTTAATGTCCTTCCTGTTGATCCGCGATTTCATTAGAGTAGAGTATAATTGTTATGTCACGATTGTACGTAAGGTTTAAGAGCTTGGAATTAAATTAACGCTGCTAATGTGTGTTTGCCTATTTGAGTGTGTGTTTGCGTGAATGTGTGTTTTGATAACACAATTTATTGCAGGGGGCTTAAAGATAAATTCTATGCAATATGTCAAAAAATTAATCCACAATTTATTTATTTATATGCTTTGCTATTGTTATCTACATCAATTCTTTAATTAATGTTCTGCTTTGCCGGATCATTCGCTCCTCAGTAGCGCATAGAATAACATGATCCGGTTCATTTGATCCCCAATAAACGTATCGCTGGATAGTTTAGAAGCATGGATTATATAAAGAAGAAACTTAATAGTAGGGAGGCTAGCAAGAATCCTTTCAAGGATAACTTGGAGAGCGATGAGGAATACAAAGAAAGATGGTTCTCCATTTACGTAATCTATTTCACTACGTTCTTGATGTCCCTAGGCTTCAGCATCGTCGTCACAGGAGTCTGGCCCTATCTGGATAAGGTAAGAATTCAATTTGTTCCTATTATTTCATAGAGTTACGTAATTTTATTTTTAGTTGGATCCGACGGCTGGTAAACCTTTCATGGGTTACGTTGTTGGTGCCAATCCGTTCGGACAGATGCTCTTCTCTCCTCTTCTCGGATGGTGGAGTAACAAACTAGGTTCTATCCGTATGCCTTTGCTGGTGACATTGGCGGTTTTCGCTATTGCCAGCTCGGTTTATTCATCTTTGGAACTCTTCACGAGTTATCGCAAGTACTGGATGTTGGGAGCCAGGTTTCTAGTTGGAGTTAGCTCAGGTGATTTTGTCGTACAAAAAAAGCAAACGTCACTTATTAATTTACTTAAATTTCAGGAAATGTCGCTGCTTGCAGCTCGTACGTTTCCGCAGCAACCAGAGTATCGGAAAGGCGTAAAGCTGTTTCCATGGTGTCTCTAGCACAAGTCTTGGGTTTCGTTGTTGGACCAGCCGTTCAAGCTGCGGTCGTGCCATTCGGCGATGAAGGATTCTGGTTAATCCAAGATCGTTTGAGGCTCAACATGTACACGGTTGCAGGATGGTTTAACGTATTTTTGTCGGTCATCAATTTCTGCCTGTTCTTGCCGATGGTCTTCAACGAACATAAGATCGCCGCGAAAGAAGCCATGATGTTACAAGGCGTGAAAACAGAAAAGGAGACTTGGAAGTCCGTTAAAGTCGATAAAGCCGCAACTCTCACGCTGATCTTACTCAACTTCGTCCTAATCTTCAATTTCATGATCATGGAAACGTTAGGAACTTCCGTTGCGATGGATCAATTCGCTTGGACGAAAGGTCAGGCCATCTCTTTCATGGGAGTCCTCCTCTCGGTGGGAGCTCTACTCACTTGCGCTTGCTTCGTCATGATCAATCCGCTTTGCAAGAGATTCTCCGAAGCGCAGGTCATGATTTGGGGCGGATTTCTCTTGATGGCCATAGGAAGAATATGCTATTTACCGTGGGGAAGCGCACCTCCAACCACAATAACAGATATGGAGAAACTGGACATACTAAAAGAGTTGCAGATGTGCAAATTGGGTACAAACACGACGAATTGCGATCTGATTGGCGAACCGGTCGGTTGCCCTGTGCAAAGCCAACCCTGGTGCGCGGACGAGAACAAAATAGTCGTAGCCCAATTCGTTATAGGCAGCTTAATAGGAACTTTGGGATTCCCAGTTGGTTTAACGCTATTGCAAACAATATTTTCAAAATTGTTAGGCTCAAGACCTCAGGTTCGTAAAGTATTTTCAATATTGGTCCAATTTAATTCATGATGTTTGATGTTTTAGGGAACTTGGATGGGAATAATGACAGGATCGGGAAGTTTATCCAGGATCTTAGGACCGGTCCTCATGATGCAGATCTATACTAGTTATGGACCTTCGTGGACTTTCGGAGTAACATCATGCATGCTCATATTATCCGTCGTTTGGCTGTACTACATATCAGACAGTTTAGTGGTAGAGCCTAAGGAGACGAAGGACGTGGAGATGGAGGCGCTGAACGAAGAGAAGTCTGAAAAAATTGATGAGAAACTTGATAATAGTATCAAATAAATTATATTTATAAAATATGTACAAAATGATAATAATGTGTGTAAGATTTCGATATTGTATCGTGGGAATTAAATAAATCACAGTTTATTTATTTTTGATCTGAGGTATTTCTTCTGTTGATTTTCCAATGTTGATAGCCTCCTCAATCGTATCGGGTAGCTTCGTATTCAGTGTTTCAGGGAAGAGAAGTGATAAGAATGCTGAGATGGTTCCCATAATTCCAAATAGGACTAGAGGTAATGGTTTCCAAATTTGACTCTAAAATAAATCAAATTAGTTATTATATTGCAATAGTATTCATATATAATTATTGCACTTACGAGTAAAGGCATCTGCGGTGAGACCATGGATCCTATCCTTCCGAACATCGAGCAGGCTCCCATCAAGGAATGTCGCAAAGGTGTGGGGAAAATCTCGCTCGTTATTATGTAGATTACTGTGAAAGCTGCTGTCGCACCGAATTTCCCCAAAAGGTAAACAGTCAATTGCACCCAGTGATAATCAGTACCAGTGAAGATGAAAGTGAAGCAACTGACGCCAGTCATAAGGAACCATATGAATTGTGACGTCCTTCTTCCCCAACGATCCACTGTGAAGTAAGTCATCAAATATGCAGGTATTTCAACTAGAGAAGTGAGGATGAAATCCAAATAGGGATTTCCGTTTAACGCGACGGAATTTAACGTGAGACCGTAGAAGAGGAAAGCGCAGGTGATCCAGCAGATGCAACAGTTAATGAATCTGAGCAGAAGAGGTACTGATTTGAAGACCAGGAAGATGGGATCTTTGACCTTCTCCTCTTTGTTCTCCTCAATGATACGCAGTTTCTCCAAAGCGTCTTCGCTGATCGTCTTCTTGTTGAATTTGGCCGCTTTTCTTAAAATGATCTGCGCTTCTTCGATACGTCCTCTGCTAATCAACCATCTTATAGATTCTGGCGTGATCCAGAAGTAGGAAATAAGCAGCAGAGGTGGAATGTAAATTGCAAGAAGCAGAGGTCTAATAACAGGAAAACAGTTTTTAATTAATAATTGAAGAAAATCAACGTTTGCTAACTGTTTTACCTCCAAGACTGAGTTGCCCAAGCTACCAAAGCCACTAGGATTTCGCCTATTGCGTAACAGCAGCATATTATAGTTCCACTCAACACTCGCTTGGATGGTCCAACCAATTCGACGCCTACAATGCAATAATGTTAATCTATTGACAATCAAGTCTTCAGGATTTCTTTATTTACCTAAAATGAATCCGCACGCATATGTTCCCGCTCCGAAAGCTGCGTCCAAGAATTCGAAGGCTGCGAAGAAGATGTAGGATGGAGAAAAGGCTCGAATGATTCCGCAGGTTGCCGTTCCCAACATCCCAAGAACCAAAACGGTTCTTCTTCCAAATCTAAAATAACAAAATTCACATCAAAACTATTGTTCAACATTATTTTACTATTATATACCTATCCGAGCATAATCCTGATATGGTCAGGCCCACGAATTGGCCGATATTGTTGATCGTTCCTATGAGGGTGAGCTTCCAAACATTGTCCTCGCAATACAAGTCAAACTGAAATCATGAAATACGCTAAAGTAACACTGTTGTTTACTAATTGTTATTCATGTATTATCGCTTCAATTTTGGTCAAGGCTATCGGATTTTGTGTCCAAATTTTAAGACCTTGACTGTACTCTATATGCATATTGCAACGAAAATCAACAAAATAGAATATTTGTTTAGAATACGAATTAAATATTTATGTAAAAAATGAACCATTTGATAAGCTAAAAGATATTTGCAATAACAGTAAAATCAAGTATGAAAATAATATTTAATACTTAATTTAGAAAATGTATATGTTAGAGAACTTCAAAGATGATTATTACAAAATAATCACTCTTAATAGCTAGATACAATGCGCATTAAGACGTAAATCCTATAATTCATAAATCAAGGTTGTATAGAGAAAAAAAATAATGGTAGTAGCAGTCCTCTCCCACTGATTATAAAATCAAATAAGATCATAAAACAAACGGATTCTGCGAAATATCTGAGATATTGTTGTGATAACTTACATCTTGTACGATGGTGATCTCGGGTTCTCCGAACACGTAACTATCGCATTTTTCAACTGCTGTACCGAATTCTTCAGGTTTGCACTCCAAATTAGCCGTACTGTTCAGAACACTGAAGCGTTCGCATTTTGACGGTTTCTGCTCGTAGAAAGGAACTGCGTAACCGAGCCATTCCGGTTGAAATTCAGTTGAGCCGTTGTTATCGCACGAAGGAATTTCACATCTGAAATAAGAATATAATAATAAATAAAATATATTATTACTTTTTAATCAGGAATATTCTTTAACTCTTCGAGGGGCGGAGGGTCTTGCATTATCCCACCTTTTGAACATGTCTAGTGGGGCATTATTACAATTTTCTAGAAATTGTACAAGAAAGAGGAATTCCTATTTAATTTGGTTGGTAAGTCAAGGGATGAATCTTGATAGATCACAACATCCGATGTTGATTCAGTTGTCTAAAAATTTGCTGCACTTTAGAAATTGAATTTAGAAATTTAGGAATTTCTGGCCCTTCAAAGTATTAAAGTAAGTTATTTCTAGTTGTACATTTTGTTCCTAATTTTGACCAAAGATTACAGCTGTCATTTCGCTATCCTATAAAAATTTAACGAGTCCCTTATGTTGAGAAACAGTGTTATAAAGTATATTCTGTATGATCCTCAAGTAACAAACTCCAATACCTGATTTTGCACTATTTGTAGTAAGTAAATAAAGAAATGTTGGAATGTCTATTTTATTGTTATTGAATCAATTCAATTACATAGAAGTTATTTCTTTATTATTGTATAATCTGTCAATACGTCACTTTGATATTAAGTAAATTTGTTGGTATAGTTGTCTTGTAGGTAGGAAAATCAACAGTATTAATTTTATTAAATCTATGGTAGTAGGTCGAAATCAGGGTTCAGCAAACCTTTTTGCAAACAAAGAGACATTTTTAAGACATTGCTTGTTAAAAAAGAGTCTAGAGAGCCGCGCGTATCATTTTCACTAGTGAAATTAATTTTCTAACGTAGAATAAATTGAGAGCCGCAATTCTCATAGAAAGAGCCGCAGTTTACTGACCCCTAGGATATTGTAATTTTGGCTAGCTTTTCATTTATACATGAATTTATTCATATATAAACCATGAATTTAGAAAACCTCATTTGCTAGATAAATGATGCATAACTTGTATAGTAAGATGTAAATCAGAAATTATGTCCTGTCCGATAACCCGACAGATAAAATAAAAATGTACGTAATCTAGTGAAAAGTTTCGTTTTATTATCCACTACGAATAATCATTATATTACACAAAATAGTCTAAAGATTTTGGAGTCTGATATCAATTATTCTGTGGATCATTTTTATGAGAATACTCGATAATCTTCATATTGAGTCACAGTGGAATATTTAGTGTTTTCGTTGCAAACTTTATCAAGTAAACAAGAAATTCCTAAGCTTGTATTACTTTTACGAATTTGTTCTAATCAATATGTTTACATTATTGTTTTTTAAAGAATTTTTTGAAATTTTTTATCAAAAAATATATTAAATTAAAATGTTAGCATTTCTTTGATTACAAAACACATTTAGTATTTTTTACTTAATTATTATAAAAATAAGTAATTGTAATTTATAATTTAGACAGTACACTTTTCCAAGAAATACGTCAATTTCACTTTTCAAAAGAAAATTTCCCATGCAATTATTAACGAACGTAAAGGCTACAAATAAAGTGGTTAAGGAAGGTAAGTAATATTATTTCATCCTTGAAAACAATAATGTTATACAAATATTAGTAGCATAAATAACAAAAATAAAATGCGGTCTACCATAATATTCAAGGTACTGGAATACAAAAGAAAAATGGTGTTCGCGTTTCGGAAAGTCCAGTTTATTCCTGTTTTCGTAAACAATAACATATGCAGACTTATCGATGTTTCGTTGCTAATTATAAAAGACCTTGGTTTCAACAAGAATATGTTAATAATACCTTTTTTTTTTAATTTAATTTTTATTTAAGAAAGGAAATTAAAAAATTAAAGTTTGTTATAACAGTAAAAGATATTAATGTGTCTATTATAATCAGAACTGAAGCAATATTAAGTTGCAACAGAATATTTTGTTTGCTTTCGTAATTAAAATTAGAACTATTTTACGTAATCTCTAATGAAAACAGTTTTTTTTCTTTCATTGATAAAAAAAATAATTTGATCTGCAATTTTTGTTTTACAAATATGAAAATTCACGGACTGTTTGAAACCGGACTAATTGAGGAATTAAATAGCTATTCCCCGCACTAATCGAGGACTTTAAAACCGCACCAAAAGAAACTGCACAAAAAGTCACTTTAATTTATAAAGAGAAACAAAATAATGCACAAAATTATTTATTTCAATTAATATTTTGTTTATTATTCGAACCGTATTATTGTGAATCCACACTGATGTATATACAAAAATAAACCACACAAAAAGAAACTGACTGTGTAAAGAAAAAAAATGAACATCTTTGTATAAAAAAATAATTTTGTGTACAAATTTTATAAAATTTATTTTGCTCAATTAAAATTTAGTTTGCTTTCAAACCGTACTATCGAAAATCCGCACTGGCCGAATCCGTAATAGTTTAATTTAAAAAGAAATATTTTTAGAATTTGAACTTTAAAGTCAATAGTAAAAAAAATCGTTATGATTATGTTTTTAATTAACTTTGGAAGTATATGTTAATTTGACAAAACAATAGTGATTAGTTCATTCAATAAAAAGTACATTGAATTTGCATGAAACTTTTGTAGTTTTTATGAATTATTTGAACTTACAAATTGAGTCGTCTTTATAATTATTGGAATAAAATTATTGCTTGAAATAAATTTACTTATTTATCTATATGTTAATATGACTGTTTCGTTTATCGTTAATGATTTGCTAAAGAACGAGTTTAAACAAAAAATATTTTTAATAAGTTATTATTCACATTATGTATTTCGTCAATTTTACATATAAATTTGAACAGGTATCAACAGTTTTATAGTTATTACCTTCTTTTTTACAACAATACTTAAAATGCACATATTTTGAATAAAAGAATTAGATATTCCATACATTCTAGATATTTGTTGCCGTTTAAATAATTAGATATTCAAGAAATAAGTTAGACTAGTGTCATTGTTTTACTTAAGGAAATCAAGGTTCAATTTGTAATAATAAAAAAATGGATCATCTTACTGAATATTATCACTTGTAAACAAATTATAATTATTTTCAGTATCATTTAAGCACCCTTATAAATCTTTGGTTGTTAACATTTTTTCAGAAATAATTTCTTTAATTTCATCTTCATTTTCTTTATCTTAGTTTCTAATAAAGGTTTTCTAAATCTTTTACTAAAAAAACATCATTTTCCACATTCAATACATTTCTAACATTGTCTTCATTATCATTTTCATACCTATTGATTAAACCATCTGGATAGTTTCGTTTCTAATTTCTCGAATGTTATTTTCTTCATCTAGTCAAACATCATTTAAGCATTTCTTAGCAACTTCTTCCAAGTTTATTTTTTCAGAAAATTCCGGACTTTCGTATATCGAAGCTTCTCAAAACAAAAAGTGTGATCTCAAGTAATATATCTATTTGAAATCGAAAATAATTCAAAGAATATATATTTTGTTAAAATGACAGCTGTCACCTTGTAGCAATTTCGGAAACTTCGTTTATTTTGCAAAACAAACATTTCACATTGAAAATAATTCAAATAATACATATTTTGTTAAAATGCAAAAGAAATTGAAATATGCATCTCAAAATGCACAACAAGAGACTAATATCTTTTTTTATTAACCCTACATAATTAATCTTGAAATAGACTTAATCAAAATATTATTTGAGTATGAAAAAGAAAACACAATTTATAATGTTGTCTATTTAATAATGCAAATGTACTGGTTTTAACTGTAATAAAGAGCAATTAGCAAAAAGAGAAGATAGTTTGTCAAAAAGAAAACTTTTAATGACAGCTGTCACCTTGTGTCAGAGAAAGTGGTGACACATATTTAGAAATTTTGTCGCTATACAACTACAAACAAATAAATTGGATTTGCGCGGCAAAAATGTTGAGAAACGCTGCTAAAGAGGACAAAGTGAAGTGTGAAAAGTAATTGCAGTTATGATAAATAATTAAAGGTAATAATTATGCAAATTATTTTTTTAATGACTGATATTTTTCAAATGAATCCACTTAATTGTAAATTATTATTACAGGGTACGTAAGGTATTTGAGGACTGACTTATGTTCGCAAAAAAATTAATAAATACTACAAAAGAAATTAACTTTATTTTTGAATTTTTTTTTTATTGAAAACATCATATTTCTTTGTAAAATTATTCAATAAAACTACCGTCAGCATCAATAACTACCTTATTGTCAAGCATCAATTAAATGTTTATGATTCATAGCAGACATTACTCTGTCTATAACAGTTTTCAAGGAATTTTTAGTGTTATGGGGATGTTCATTGATTTCTTCCCCAAAGCAAAAATGCTAAACACGTAAAAATCCAAAGGATTGAGGTTCGGAGAGTTAAGAGGTCTTTTGTAAGTAACCGCATTGATTTACGAATTGCATTGGCTAAAAAGTTTGAGAAACGCTGGTTTGTTGAACTCCTTAAACAAAACCTGGCGTTATCGTTTTGTCGGAGCGTTTAGAATGTTTTTTTACGTTTGGACACTTCTGATTTGTTGCCATCTTTGTTCAGCAACTCCTTAAAACTTTATAAAGAAATGATCTAGGAACTTTTAGAAATCGCCATATTTTCAAGTCTCCATTATCAACTTTTAAAGCAACAATTACAACATGTCTTTTCATTTCTTTAGTCACTTACTTTTAAATTACTAGCCTGAAAAAGTAGAATTTATTAGAAAGTACTGACTTCTGGTAAATTCTACCAAGAAAAAAAGATGTCTTCAAATACCTTACCCTGTATATTGTAACGTAAGTTATATAAGACAAAATGTATATAAAGCTGCGGTCTTACTGCTCTTAAATTTACTAATTATTCTTATTGATTCATATTATTGAAATATTCAAATAATATGAATAAAAATAGATCTAAGTAAAATATTTGATAACAAAATATTGTTGTTCATTAGCAATTTCAAACTGACTTCCTGTTCCACATGAACTTGCAATTGTTACGACATAATCACTCAAATGACAATAATACTGATTACTTTGTTGACAAAATTTATTTATCTAAAAATTTTCACTTTTCAAAATAAACTCGACATGTTTGAAATGTCGTGTTATGACAAAAGGTTTGTCTGCTAAATAATTGTATTTTTTTTTAAATTTAAATTGCACAATAAAATTAATCTTTATAACAATAACAATAAAAAAATGAGAGATTATATTTTTTTAAGTATATTGTTTTATTTCTTTGCAGTTTATTGTACTTTGTTCTACTTAATTTTACTTCCTTTTAAATTACATTTTTTTATGAAATCATATTTTTTCCTTAATTCATTTATTGGATTCACTACGCTTAAACACAATTAGTTTCATTTAATTTGATGCAAAATTGAAACGCAAAAAAAAAATCCTAAATGTATTCTCACAATTCTTTTGAGTTTTATTTAATAAAATTGAAGAATAGTTTAAATAAAAACTCCGGATCTTAAATAAAACTTTCACTTTTAACTTTTTGCAACAAATTTGAATTAATTAATATCCATTTTTTTTTATTTGGCAATATTCTACTTTCGTTACTTTTAATTTAATTTATTTTAGTTCAATTTTATACCCAATAATAATAATTCATTATTTGTTATTTTATTTACCAAAAAACACAAGAAAAAAGTAATGAACTCTTTATTTTTTTTTAATCAAACTGAAGAAATATTACGATTTTTTTAAGAATTTTTGGCATTCAATATAAAAAATTGTGGTATAAAAAAAAAGAAGTAATTGCGCAGATCGTTTTATGACGTTGTTCTCAAAATCTTATCGCAGATTTGTAATTTGCCGACTAATGTTAAAATTTAATGACTTAAAGACGAGGGACAAAAAAAAATCGATTTTCGAAGTAATCCTGCGTTGAAACAACAGGATCACCTTCATTCCAACAGCAAATATTAACACATCGTCATATTGTTATAAGATAATTCTGGTAAAATAAATATTTTCATTTAGACCGAGATTCGCTGTGTAAAAAAACTGGAAAATAGAATTATTTTCATTTCCACCGACATTCACTGCAAATGAAATATTGTTTTTCATTTATCCTACCTGTAATTCACGTCTTTTGCGCTGAAGACGAAGGCGATGTGAACGGCCGAGTGAAAAATAACTGCGATACTGAAAAGGCCGAAGACCAGTTTCTGGTAATTCCCAAACTCTCCGATCTGTAAGAGGATGGTATCAAGAGTTGCGTCCACCTTCGTCATTGTTCTTTGTATATTAGTTGTTTCTTGCTTAGTTGGTGAGGAAGTACGTAACTTTCGAACTGTTCAACTATACTCTCATCGTCGCGCGTTTCGCGATGTATCAAGTGGAAGTAATTTTTTGAGACTGATTCCGTTCGACAATATTTCAGTCATATAAGTCCAGCTCCACGTGACCTACACTCGGCTTTTCACTTTATTACGATTCCAATACGCTCAATGGGACGCGATGATGAGCCTTAGCCACATCACAACATATATTGTTGTTTTATATATGTTTTATTAAAAACAACATTGTTTTTTTTATAGTACTCAGAATGTACTCGTGTAATGATTGTTTTTTAATTGTTTCTGCTTTGAGGAAACATCAAAATCTCGTGTGTTACGCAAACTAAAATTTGCTAATAACGCTACAAAAATTGTTGATTTCTTGTGGAATTTCAAGCGTTAACAGAAATCTCAAATATTTACAACTTAATCCATTACTGCAGCTGATCGAGAGGCAACGATTATTATCGTTTATAATTGTTTCATTAGATTGCATTTTTTTTATTAACAATATTTTTGTTTTGTCGCAATAAAAACAATTATCTCGAAATCGACGTACGCAAACTTTTAGATACGTTTGTATCACAATTAATAAATATTTACTATTCAAATAATGAAACAAAATAAAGATTTATCAAACATACTATGAGATATTGACCCTTCAAGTTATCTTAATTTACAAAATTTAAATTCAAATTTCCATTATCACCTTTATTTAATTTATTGACATAGTATTCCATAAATAAAAATTTGGTACGCAAAAATGAAAATTTAAAATGTACATAAAATAATCATAAAAATGATATGATTTTCTATTAGGAGTTGACAAACTTTTTAGTGTTTTACTTTATTTTACCTCATTTTTTATTCATTTGAAATGATTGCATAGTCCTCGCTTAGTCCGGTTTCAAACAATTAATTTGGCGAAATCTAGTACCCGCACTATACGAGTTAATGATTTGATTTTGATTTTTATATACAGTGAAACCTCGCTTAAAATTTTAAGAAAATGATTCGCTTAACGAGCGACGTTTCGCATAACGAATGACGATGAGAAACTTGTGTACACATATTATGTATTTTTTAATATGTTTCACTATACGAGAAAAAATCCGGAAATTTTGGAACGGATTAAACGTTAAGCGAGGTTTCACTGTACTAAATTAAGTTCAGTAAAAAAAAGTAGCTATAATATTATTATCAAATCTTGCATTCCACTTGGAATTCTTCAGTTATCATTAAAAAATGTTATCTGGAAATACTTTAAATGAGCAAAAAAAAGGTAAAAACATATTTAAATATGGTTTCTAACAATAAATTATAATGTGCTGTGTAAAAATATATTATTTGAATAAAAATGTACACATAATCACCGATTTGTGTTGATTATTTAATGAGTCGGAAGTGCAAAATATACTAGTGTGTTATTTAAAAGCAATTATTTGCTTTGGCCGAAATAATTAGTGTGTCGTTAAATCGAAAAAAGAACGCGTGCGAATCCGTCCTCGCTGATTCTCGAAAATATAATTATGTTTTAAGCTGTTTATGTTCTGTTTACCGACGATAGAAATCTTAAAGTACGACTTGTTTCGATCAGGTGTTAAATACAAAGAATCGCCTTTCACTCTAAATTACTGTACTTTTCCAATTATTCAACAAATTAATGTTATTTGGAACAATAAAGTTTGTTTATTTCAATATTTATAATATAAATTTGCAAAACCAAACTAGAACAAAAATTATTAAGATTTGAAGTAAAACCATTAAAAAAAATTAAATAATCAAATAGCAAATGATTTTTAGATCAAATTTATAATTTTATTTTGTTTGAAAAAAAATGAAAAATTGTTTTTGAATTTAGTTTAATTAAAAATATATTTTAGTAAATTAGAATGTCACAAATAAAACTTCTGAAGTTATAAAATTATAGTATAATTCCTAAGAAAATATTCTATAAGAAATATTATTTATTATGAGTAAAATTCTTTAAAATGTTTTTTTAGTAATTTTAAAGACAAAGAAACACCTTTCACTTCAAACACGAAAAATGGATTTATTTTGTTTGTTTTTCTATTTCATTATAAAATTAAACCCGGTTTAACAACAACAAAAAATATGTATTTAATAATATACATTAATTGAAACTTATATAACGTATCAACAAATTTATTTTAAATATACTTAGAATATGTAATGTAATTTGTATTCTCAAATAATGATTTTGAATTTATATAAAAACAATTTATTTCATTATAAACAAAACAATATTGGAACATAGTGCAGACGGATAAATATAGAACCTCGCTTAACAATCATAATCAGTTCCAAAATTTCCGGATTTTTACTCGTATAGTGAAACAATTTTCCCCATATAAACTAATTTGCGAGTCATTTTTCTTGCAATTTATTTTGCTGGTTAAGCGAAATGCTCGTTATGCGAGGTTAGACTGTATATGAAACTAAATAACCAATCCATTTAAAAAAGTCTATCAATTTTGGAACGAATTTATGATCCTATGAAATGAAGTTATATTATTCAAATGCCGTTTGGTCAATTTATAACTTAAAAATGTGTATGTTTTAGTAGTTGCTACTGATATTATTTTCATTTTATGCTTTTTGTTGTATTTCTTTATATTTAACTTTTATTAATGATGATATTATATATCTATTTTTTTTAAGTTTAGATTCAACAAATAAAATGGTAATAAACTAATTAGAAGTAATGAAAAAGTTATTTTTTAAATTTACCTTTGTTTTCGTATTTTTTTTATGGAAAACATAACTACGTAAGAAAAATTATTATTAATTATAATGAAGCACATATTTCAGTTTTTAATTACTGTTTACAATAAAGCACGTATATTATTAAGGAACAATGGAAACAATGTAAATCGAAATCAATAAGTTTGTTAACAATAATTTTCAAGAAAACACGATATTATTATTATTTTTTAGTTTTTAAATAAATTTAATATTTTCGCGAAAAATTAGTTCAAAAAGTAAATCAGATTTAATTTTATATCTAATTTAGGCATTTATTTAATAAATTGCAAATGACCTTAAAAAATTCTAAACACCTCTAAATATTTAAAAAAAAATATTATTTATTGAATAATATGTATGTTTTTTTTGCTATATATTAAAAATTTCAATATAGTTAATAAAAAAACATGAAAAATAATCAATACTCATAATTTATGATAAAAAAAGACATTGATTTTTTTCTTTTATGATTTTTAATCATTCATAATCTGCCACAATTATAACAATGAGTTGAACGGTTTTTTGACATAGACAAAAAAAAGAAAATAAAAACAGAAAAAACTAAATAAATAGGCATGGAGCGGAACAATTTCCCATCGGAAATCTTTCTAAATAGAAATATAAATTTAACTAAAAAAATTAATCCAAAGACAATATTAACCCAACAAAAAAATGATTTTGACAACACTATGAAAATTAAATAAAAATAATCACTCTAATGGACAAGAACGAACTTTTAGTTTTAAAAGGGGAGAGTGACTGTGTTGTGTCTCTTTAGTATGTGAGGGGGTGTCACTGTTGTCTAGCAGGGATAACGCAAGACTGTTGGTATGGTTTTCCAGTCTGTTCTGGTAACGGGAACTTGGGGATTTCACTCTTAACAGTGTTCATGTGCAGTATCGTTTCGTTCGTCACGTACCAGGGGGCCTGCACTAGGGTCCACTGGCACTTGGACTGGAAGCGTTGCAGGAATTACTGGCTTGATTTTAAGAAATACTTTTATTTGTGTTCTTCTTCAAATATTTATATTTAAAGGGCGGAAATAATTATTGTATTAAGTTTTTTTTATTTAGTAAAGAAAATATGACATAAATAAAGTTTTAAATTTAAAAAATAAAGAAATACTTTGTCATCTATTTTCGTGGGCGCCGGTTCGAATCCTAGTCAAGCCAGGTGGTCTGTGAGCCCTCTCGGTGCTTGCAGCAATAGGGTCATCGTTTATCACACATGGACAGTGAAATGAATGAAGTTCAGCATATGGACCTTCAGTCAAGTCGATGGACAATGACAGTGTTAAGGATTCACAGCAGATTCACAGTCAAAGAAAATATTGCAATGGCAGAGCATCAATATACTACTGAAGTTAACCTACAGGACGACAGCCAACAGACAAATTAAAAATCATCATAATGGTAACTATCCACCGGGAAAGATTATCTATTTAATGTCAACCGCGATCTTAAATTTACTCAATGTTTACATTGATGAACAGATTGTGAATAAGATTATACGACATAAAAAGAAATTTATTTCTTAAAATTATCTATTTCCCTTTTACAATAACAAATAATGTTCAAACAAAAGCATAAATTAAATAAAGTTGCAATTTAAATAAAACTAAAATGAAATATAAATAAAATTCCATTAATTGGCCTTAAAATTAGTTGAAAAAAATGTCTATTTTTTCTTATATCACCTTACTCAATAAGTTAGTAGGATGACATATACATGGAGTCTCTATCTAAAAATCCATTACAGTGGTTTTAGTGACGCTACTTTTGTAATTTTTATAATAATGGAAAAATCTGAATTTTGTGTGTTGGTAAAACATAACTCTTCTCCGTCGAGACGTGGTTTGCTGATTTTAAACGCGGTCGTACAGACACAAATGATGATTAACGCCCAAATTCGGCAATTGTTGCAGAAAACATAAAAAAGTCCTCAAAATGGTTTTGGCCGATCGTAAATCCATGTTGCGTAAGATAGTTGACACCCTGAAGATATCAGAAGGCAGTGTATTCACCATTTTGCATGAACATTTGATCACGAGTAAGCTTTATTCGAAATGGGTGCCGCGTTCAAGTTCAAAGTGGACCAAAAACAACAACGAGTTGCTAGTAGCTGTTCAAGCGATATTAAAAGGATTTTTTCATGCGGTATGTAACAATGGATGAAACCTGAATCCACCACTACACTCAAGAGTCAAATCGGTCGTCAGATGAGTAGACAGCAAAAGCTGAAAACCATATTTTGAGGCCAAAGAAAAATCGTTCTACAAGAAAGGTATCGAAATGTTAAAGAAGCATTGATATTAATGTGTCACTCTTCAAGGAGACTATGTCCACAAAGTCAAATATTGCCCAAAAGTTGTTGTTTTATTGGTCATCCTACGAACATATTTTATCAAAAAAAATATTTTGACAAAAATTGAAATTTATATAACACTAAATTATTATAATTAAGCTTTGTCGATTTGCAAATCACAATTTTGGCGTTTTCTTCTATCAACTACGGTATTTATAAAATTGAAGGCAAAAAAAAAATATTTTTTTCTACAAATCTATAATTTTGGTTAAAAAATACGGTAATAAATTTAATTACAATAAAAACTGTTTATTTATTAAATAACTTGTACATTAATAAAGTTACTATAAGCCTAACATGATGTTATTTATTATTTAATTTCAAACTAATAACAATAAAATAGAGCAAAACTGAACAAACATAAACGTTAATTATTATTATCGAGATATCAGTTTTTCTTTGAGATGTTTCCAAATCAAAGTCCAATTTATTAATAAACTGAAGAGAGGAAAGCACAAGAGATGCGCTTAGCAAAACATCTCAATAACTTTCATCTTGTCCACCCAAAAAGAAAGAGTAATATATCAAGCAAATAAACAACAACAAAAAACTGAAATCTTCTAAAGCCTCGAGCGTTATCATAACACTATTTTCATTTAATTTTTTTTATCAGTTACATCATTGGATCACGCTATGCCCAAGAAGTAAACTAAAAATGAGCTATCATTTGTTTAAATTAAACTTAATTACGCAACCGCCGATCGTACTAAATGCGTTTTTTTTTTGCAAATCACAACCAAATAATTATAGACACTTCAAAATAAATAATGTAAATTTTTTACAAAAAAAAAACGTAAACATTTTAAAGTAAAATTGTCAAGATAATATTTTGTACTTGACATTAAAAATAGGACAATTTTTTAATAATATCAACTACTTCATAGTAGTAATATCCAAAATTTATCATTGTCTAATAAACAATGTTATAATAAGTATTTTATCATTAATAATCATTGAATTTATATATATTAATTTGGATTAAATTAAGTTTTTTTTTTGTCAAAATTTGCATTGAAAATGTTCGATTCAGTTAGTAACAATTATTTACATAAAATTATTTTTTTAACATTAATTATATTCAAAGTGATTTGCATTTTTTTTAGAATAAAAATTATTGTTTCAAAATTAATATTTATTGCAACAGTAAAATTACAAAATTGTAACAAAATCAACAGAATAATGATATAAAAAGGCTGCAAAGGCTATTTACCATAGGTCTTTCTGCCCTAAAATGAATATTATATTGTAACATTTTCCAATATAATAATAATTTTAATTAAATGTTTGAAAAGAAGTAGAACAGATAGAAAGATTTTAATAAAGGTGTGAAGTAAGATATTTTTAAGTACACCTATCCCCCAATTTACACATTAGATTATATCTTTTTGAATGTAAATCGAAAAGTATGCAAAAAACAATCGCAAAATTTCCTTGTTTATTAATTATGCAAATGCAGAAAAATAATCAGTATAACCAGTATATATTCAACATTTACTTTTACTTTTTTTAAACAATTTTTATTTCCTCGATTAGTCCGGAAACTTAATTACACACACTTTGCGAGTTATTGCTGTATTATATATTTTTTAATGACATTAGTATAATAAATTTACTATTAGAAATGGTTTATTTTTTTAAAGGAATTACAACTTAATGTTAATAATAACGTGGCAGAACTAAATTTGTTTTTTTTTTATTTAATGAGGTATACAATATGAATTAGATACAGTCATTTGGTTAGCTGTTATACATGAAATTTAATTTTTGTATGTATTAGGTTGTGTAATAAGTTCTCGCTTTTTTTTTATTTATTTTTTTCCTGCAAATTTATCTTTTATTAAATAAAGTATATACAGGTAAACGTCGTTTTACGCCGGGGTTTTGTTCCTACAAAAGCTGTCTTAATTCGAATTGGCGTAAAATGAACCCATATTTACAGTAAGGTAACTATAGAATTTAGTTCTATATAAGTGTAAAATCAGCAATTAATAAGCGTTATTTCACAGTGGCGTTATTGTGTATAGGCGTAAATCGAACCGGCGTAAAACGACGTTTACCTGCATTCGCAAGTATTTTTCTTGCTCTACAAATCTATCTGATGTAAAAATCTGGGAAATATTGGAGAAGAACACGATTGTCGACTAGGAATGCTATATCGCAGAAGCAATTCTGCAGAAAAGGGCCCATCGACGTGGTCAAGTCATCTTTCTTCCCCAACGAATTATCACCTTTTCCGTTCTATGTCGAATCAAACGAAGGGCGTTATTTTCGCCGACGATGAAGATTGAAAAATGGTTAAAATGTCTGAAATTGATTGAAATTAATTAATTCGGAAAATTGAAACAGATAGGTTTGTAGAGCGTATGCATATATATACTTTACCTAACAAAAGACAAATTTCCAGGATTTTTTTTTTTAAATCGCTCTAACTTCTTACACAACCCATTACTTATTTCCTCGATTAGTCCGGATACACAAATACCCGCACTATGCGAAGTATTTCTGTGTATTATATTTTATACGATTTTTTTTTAATGGCATTACTATAATAAATTTACAATTAGAAATGTTTTATTTTTTCAATCAAATATAATTTAATATTAATACTAACGTGGCAGAATTACATTTATCTTTTTATTATTTAATGATGTATACATACATATGAATTAGATAGAGTAATTTGTTATATTATAATTTACATTAAATTTCATTTTTATGTGGTTTATATGGGAGGTATTGCTGTATATTATATTTTATATGATTTTTTAATCAAATTACGATTAGAAATGGTTTACTTTTTAAAGAAATTACAACTTAATATTAATAATAACATGGCAGAACTCAATTTGTTTATTTTTTGTTTCTTCTTTAATGAGGTATACAATATGAATTAGATACAGTCATTTGGTTAGCTGTTATATAATAATTTACATGAAATTTTATTTTTGTGCGGTTTATTTTTGTATTTACTTATTTCCTCGATTAGTACGGGAACACAAGTACCCGCACTATGCATGGTATTGCTATATATATTATACGTTTTTTTAATGACATTACTATAATAAAATTACAGTTAGAAATGGTTTATTTTTAAAGAAATCACAACTAAATGTTAATAATAAAGTGGCAGAATTGAATTTATATTTTTGCAATATAACGCAAAAATTTAATTTAAATTGTAAATATGCTTATTATGTTACATCAAACATTTAATTATTGATTAAATATGATTAAATAATCGATTAAAACTAAAAAAATTGATTGTAATTTTTCATTGATTAATAATACTTCTTTATTCATTATAATAACAATTTAATTATGTCACATTGAAGATATAGTAAATTTTGTATATTTTAAATAATTAAAATCGATAAAAAAATAATTGTTTGTGATTATTCTAGCAATGTAACGTTCTTGTAATTAAATAAAAATGATTAAATGAAATAAATAATCGAACATATTGTAGAAACAAACCTTCATTTATTTATCATTGATAAAAATTTATAAATATTTCAAGGGAATATTCACAAGACGTTTCGTTTTGTTACGTTTTTTTTTATATCCTTGGCAGAAGGACGCACCGATTAAGCATTATTATAATCATTTTCTTTATGCATTATTTCACGTGTGCGGATTAGGCCAATTGCGGATTGCGCGATTAACGTAATCCGTTTTAATTCGGCTTGAATTAGATTATCCTGTGCATTGTCGAATTAAGTAACCTATTTGCACGGAATTAGGACGTTGGCATTGCTAATTCCGGCTCGCGCTCTTCCCACAGCCGCATTTAATAAAAAATGAAAGAAAAAATAATAATACTATAGAAAACCCAAAATTAAACTCATTGAGACTGTGCGAGATACGAAAAATAATTTATAATACTGTAATTATCATACATGAAACATGAAACGATAGTTCGAAGTTCGATTCGTTTTTGATAACCGCACAACGATATAAAAGCAAATCCTCAGACGCAGACGCCGAAACGCGTTCATGCAATTAGTATAGTCGACACAATGGAATTTTCTAATTGGTTTGCGTTTATTGGAATTATTAGTTTTTATTATATTTATGCATAGTATCTAATAATTTTTTTATTTAAATTTCTTATTCAATTGTTATCTAATTCTAATTACAGATAATATTGCATCAGAAATGAAAATGATTAGGCAACTTTTTTTTTTGCTAAATATATGAATCATATTTTATGTAAGTTCAAAAGTTATTAATACATTACATTTGAAAAGTTTCTTTAAACTTAAAACTTGTTTTTCTTCATCAGTTAACTTTCTTAAAGATATTTCTAAATATTTGTTTCAGTCGTAATATGCAAATTTGTGAAACACAAAAAAAAATCAAAATTACTAATAAGAAATATTTGTAATATCCGATATTAATTAGTCTTAAAAATATTTGTATTAATTTAAGTAAGTGATGATTATAATTCTATTAGACTTTGTTGATGCTATTTGCATTAAGCACATAAAAGTGCATAATGCGAGTTTTAAAACCAGGAAAAAGGATTTTTTTTATTAATTAAATTTTCATAACAATATATATGAAGCTACAGAATATGTGTATATAATACGTTTAAAATTATAATTATAACATGTTTAAATCATTAGTTTTTAAATATTTTAATATATTACATCTGCATTATTGATTAAACTTTAATTACTATAAAGCTTTTATGTCATAATCTCTATTTTTGTCGGCAATTATCTGCCTATAGACTCTGATTATAAACTAGTTTTGTTATAATGGCTGTATATGTCTATTGTACCCATAGTACAAATATTTTTGTACCATTTTTGGTACATAATGTGCACCAAAGTATATAAAGCTGCCTACTTGTGCAGCTGTCAGTGAACATACTTGACTGACCTAACCTATGTTTCAGCTGTTCGGTTTTCTTTGTTTTCAATGATGTTTGTGTACGGCAATGGAAGATGATAAAGTGTGTCCACAATGCAAAAAGACTTTGGATAATTCCAGCAAGAGGTTGGTACAGGATGCATGTGGACACAAGAAATGCAGACAATGTCTGCTGTCCGATGAGGAGGAATGCAAACTGTGTCATCCTGCTGTTATAACCCTGAATGTGAGCAGTGCTGAAGCCTCCCCTGATGTTCCTAGTCATATAATTATTAACAAGAAAACAGAGGGGTTCACATGTACAATATGTAAGAAGAATTACAGGACTTCATCCCATATGAAGGACCACTTCTACTGTGCTGGAGGTACTATAATTAATCATTATACAATAATTTACATGTTCCCAGATTTGAGAAGTGTGTTTTGTAAATTATTATATAATGATCAAGAAGGTATTTGAATAAATTTGAATAAAAAACATTTTGATGCAGGAGAGAAACCTTACAAATGTGTTAAATGTGCTAAGGAATTCACTTCGAAGTATCTTCATCAAACTCATCTGCTAAGTCATGAGGATTCGAAACCCTTTAATTGTGATAAATGCCACAAGGGCTTCTATGACAGGGGGAAATTTAACAGGCACAAACTGGTACACAGTAGCGGTAGGCCGTACGTTTGCGCTCACTGCGGGAATTGTTTTAAGAACAAGGATAATCTGCAGACGCATAGTAAAATCCATAACAAAGTCAAACCGTTCAGTTGCACTGAGTGCGATGCGAAATTCAATCACGTTTCGAATTTGAAGAAGCACCAACAAACGCATATGAGTGAGTTTTTTTAACATTATTTAAAAGCAAAATTAATATTAAATTAATTGCAGCTGAAAAAACGCATATGTGCGATTTATGCGGGAAAAGATTCAAACTTAAATGGGGTTTGAGCGTACATAGGAAGATACATTTGAAGGAAAGGCTGAACGAGTGCAAGACCTGCGGAAAAGCTTTCACGCATATGAAAGACTTGACTAGACACCTGAGAACGCACGAAGATTTGTACGAGTTTGTCTGCGGTCTTTGCCAAACTGTATTCAAGCGGAAGGATAATCTAAGCAGACACTCGAAGAACGCTCATCCCGGATCCGGTTTGAAGATAGAGAAGCGTTTAAAGCAGGATAATCAAATCAAGGATACGCCGAACGCCATCAACGTTATAACCGTTTCGCCATCTTTCGCGAAGACCGAAAATAAGAAAGAGCCAAGTCCGGTTTCTGTAATCAATGCAACTCCGGATCTTACAAACGTCGATCTAACTACTACTTTACAAAAGTAATTTAACTTTAAATCGTTAGCTTCAGTTAATTGAGATTGTTATTTTAGCGATGGAGTGAATAAATACGAGAAAATCTTGTTACCGAATCCGTCGCGCGCCGTTGTTTCGAAGGAGACCGAAGACTATCTATTTTGCCAGAAGATCTTTGCTCCTTTTAAAGATCCTCTGCATTACGAGACGTCTTTCGATAACAAGCAGCACGCTGTGATTAAGAACATCAAGTTCAAGCTGCCGGCTAAGTACACGAATCTTAAGAACTGCTCGGACACGTTGCTCAAAGACGAAGGGTCTCCGGAGAAACAAAGCGTTATAGTCAATTCGAATGTTCATTGGAGACGGAGGACCGCCGAATATTTCAATTCCAAGGAGAACGAGAAACTATGAGTAAGAAGGTATTTACAACGTGCATTTTATTTAAATATACAACAAATTATATTTATATATTTACTTATATTTACGTACAATTTTATAACAATGTTAATTAAATTTAATGTTTATTTATTTTTTTTTTCCTAAAAAAAAATACATTTCTAAAATGTTCTAATTGGATTGCCTTTTTCTGGAAAACGTTATTTCCTAACTAAATTGTACAATTATATTTATATATTTCTTAAGAATGCCAAAAACCCTAAAGAGACAGTAAAGTTTAACATAACAAAACACTATAAAATAGGTATAAATATAAATTTGTAGATGGCTTAGAAAGCACAAAATATATACAAAATATTTCATATATATTATTAAGAATACTTATTCCATTCCCTAAACTATACTTTAAAATAAAAAAAAACCTGATTAGGTAATAAAGTCTTAATTAATATTATAATTCGATGGCGTAAAATGAAATTAAAATTGTCAAGAAACAAACCATTTAATATTTCCATTGATTATGATTTCAATTAAAGTTTCATGTTGATAATAAATGTAAATACTTTCACACATTTCGAAATAATAGTTCATAGCATATTGTGTAGAAAAATCTAAAACGATGAATATCAAATTATTATATTATAATTTCTCAAATCACGTTCTATGAATATTGAACGTATTAAAATGCCGATTTAAAAGCTTTTTTTTATTTCATATATTCATTGGTCTTTGATAAATAGTATTAAAAATTGATTTTCTCTGATATTTGGGTTAGTTTCTCGGCTAAGTTACTTAAATGATCGCCATCTTTTGGCAGGTTTGGTAAGCTGGTGCTTAACAAATTAAATACAGTGGATTCCGCTTAATCGGGACAGAACGGGACTAGTATATTTGTCTCAATTAAGCGGCTGGCCCAATTATTCGATGTTCCATTTGCAAATACGGTTCTGTTTCCGTTTTTTAGGTTTTTTTTCCTAATAAGCGGCTCGGTGTCCCAATTAAGCGGAATCGACTGTAATTTTAAACATTTGGTTTTAATTATTGTTAATGGGCCGTGATAATACAACAAAAAATCTTAAGAATAAATTTAATTTCTTATTTTGTTCTTTTATTTACGTTCGTTAGGTCAATAATTAATAATAAAAGTCAATCATTAGCATTTATAAAACTAATATATTTTGAGCTTCTTGTGGATAATTGTATTAAAAGTTCACTGATAATTATTTGAAATATTAATTTAAGACAAATCATATTAAATTAGATCCGAAACTTGTAAATAAACTAAAAATTAGAGTAGCGATTGAAAACAAATTGTTATTATTATGCGATTTTACCGATGTTGCTTATCGAATAGAAGTTTTAATCGATAATTGTAACCTGTAACCTTTCATGCGATCCTCTTTCAATGCAATAAACAATAACATTGACCGCCTTTCAATTCGCACGAGTTATTTATGTATTGGATTTATTTGTTTGTCATTCTATGTCGTATTTGAAAGGCAAATTAGAAGAAGAAACAAAAGTGATCACTGTTTGAACCTGTAATTTCTGGCTACGGCCATTTGCACGACAACAATATCGGCCTCCGCTTGTTTTGTACTTTTAATGGAACTATAGTCGTTGGCATTGTAGTAATCATCGACGGTCACGGTCTTGGCACCGCCGAAGTTGTCCAAGATCAGTATGTTCTTGATATTGATTTTGGCTATGTAGAAGTTGTGAACTGCAAGACAAAGTTAATCGTTTACATATATTTGATTGTTCTATTTGGAACGCACCTTTCATCCACTCCTCCATGATAGGATGTCTGATGAACAGATCATTCTTAGCCATTTTGTATTCATCGGTGGTTTCATCCAACTTAAAATAACGTTGAAAAGTAATTTATAATTTCATAATTCTGCTGAATGTTACCTTTGAAAGTTCACCAGAGATGATGAGCCTTCCACAGCGTGGATCTTGAGGATCGTAGTTCACGCTATTGCAGTAACTAATCTCTGCCAAAGAAGCCATTATAGTAGTCCTATTATCTTGCTGAAAAAAAGAAACTAATAGAATCAAATTCATCAAAATAGTTTTTTTATTACCAAGACGTCTCTTCCGGTTAAATCCAAGTTGGTCATGAGTAAATAGGGTACTCCAGTACCTTTACCAAGTGGCCCATCGCTAACAGATTTCAGATTTACGAATGGAAAAGAATTCACCGAGGGTAACGTTGATATAGTAGATATGGCAATCCAATCTTTACAAAATACCAGATTTAACATTTTCACGTTCAAGTTTTAGTTCCGAAGAACTTACCCACATTGTTTATGATGTACCTTGCCATCTGGGCCGTCTTCGACGGATCCGGTATGTCTTTCGCATAGACCGAAACGCACAGAAGAATACAAGAAAAAAGTAAGGATTTCATTGCTTATTGAAGAACTGCTGAAATGACAATGCAGATACTTTGTGCACTCTTGTATATATATGTACACTTAAAAACAAATGCGCGTACGTACGTATTTATATCCACTCGATGGAAGAAATAGAATATATATACATCCTAAACTGTGCATAAACACGTATTTGCAGCGGGAAATTTACGCGTATTTACAATGCGAATAAATGGTTCTATATTTATAGCTGTATAAACGCAAACAAAAGTTAATGAATTTGTTTACAAAATAAAGTTCACTTATCATGTACAAACGATCGCCCGAAATTGCGGATCGTCGTGAGTCAAAAATTCCTTATTCTATCTATAACTTGTAAACATAACATTGAGTCTAGATTGAGTAGGGAACGGGAATAGAAAATCTATTCCTGCTACGGCAGTAATCTGCAAAAGCGGACGCCGGTCAAGCGGCATAGAGTATATGCAGCCTTTGTCTCGTAATTGGAACGAATGTTGCACCAACTAAAATAGAAATATGAATTCGTGTACGGTAAATCAATTTTACTCCATTTGGCAAACACCGTGTTGTTGGATGCTGATCCACATTAAAAGGAATACAGAGATTGCATGCTTTTCATGCGTCATGTGTATATTGATTATTTTGATTTTTTTTTATTATAGCAGACTCAGCGCGCAATTTTTGGTCAAGTTACTTGGATATTTAAAAAAAACGAAATAAGCTATTAACAATACGTCAAGTAAATGTAAAGTTGTTATTTGACAACTTGTGCAAGTATTTATTATATATAAAATGACTACTAACAATTTAATATTATAACAATAAAACTAGTATTACTCGTATCATTTTATACATCAAAAAAAGAGAACTATAAAACTATCAGGATTCGAATCCGGTTACAAAATGTAGGAGTTTTTTTTTTAATTTAGGGTCATTGAGTAAATAATTTAAAATGCAAATAATTATTATGTTTGCGTTTACTAGAATAACAATTTTTTAGCGGATATAATATTGAATTCGAAGCGGTCTGCAAATCTCAGATAAATAATATTTCAAAACTTATATACTTAAGGTAGCTATTTAAAGTTTGAAACCACAACTGGATTTTGCGGAATCTATCTTTGATTTGAAGCCTGTTTTGGATATTTTCACTTCAACGACAATATCGGAGCTCTCGTCTTTTATACTCTCAATAGAATTGCTATAATTGTTAGCTTTGAAGTAATTATCGACACTCACGATCTGGACGGGTCCGTACGAGTCCAATAGCAATATTTTCTCGATATTGAGTTTGGCTATGTAGAAGTGGTGAGAGGTTTGATTCTCCATCCAATACTTCATGACAGGATGCCTTATGATTAAATCTTCCTTCGCCACTTGAAATTCATGGGACCCATTGACCAACTTAAAATAACGTTAGAATATGTCGTAACCTCGTGTTGTTGCTAACTGTTACCTTTGATACTCTTCCAACGAGCATCAGCCTTCCGCAGCGTGGATCTTGAGGATCCCATGTCTGGTTCTTGCAGTAATCGACCTCTGCTAAAGAGGCCACTATAGTAGTCCTATTATCGTTCTGAAATGAAACTAATCAAATCTAATAAAATCAAATAGTATTGTATTACCAATAGGTCTTTTGCGGATATATCTAAGTCTGTCAAGAGCAAATATGGTGTTCCAGCACCTTTACCGAGTGGTCCATCGCTGACGGACTTTATATTTGCGAATGGAAAGGTCTCCACTCCACTCGGGAAATGTGGAAATAGTAGAAATGGCAATCCAGTCTTTTAAAACATCAAATTTTACATCTTCATTTTTAAATTTTGATTTCGAAGTACTCACCGACAGTGTTTATGATGTATCTGGCCATCTCAGCTAACTTAGAAGGATCGGGCGGATTAGACGCATACACCGAAATGCACAGAAGGCAAAAAACTATAGAGACTTTCATTGCTTACTGAAGAACTGCTGTGATGATTATGCAGAAGCTTCGTATCCCGCTGTATATATATATTTGATGGAAAACCGAAAAAAAATAATGTTTATGGAATTAAGTTCGACTTTACTTATCACGTATTTTTCCTTTAGCGCGAACTTGGTCGACAAACAAGTCGCACGCTGCAAAAATGTGAATCTGCGGAATCTTCCTTCATTCACGAAGAGGGCTTTCTTGAGAACATTAAGACTCTTGTATTTATTAGTGCTGACATTGACCTGTAAAATTCCCCATACCGAAAAGTCGAAATGAAGTGTCTCTCAGCCATTGTTGGTTTTCGAATGCTTTGGGTGATGATGCTGAATCTTCTTGAAAATAGCATTTTGTAATACTATTAGCTTCGTTATAACGTGTTATGATTCAAGACATGAAAGATTTATTCACATTGAGGTGTTCGAGGCTCTAGCAATAGGCAATTTGGTTTTCCGGTTAGTCCAAATACAGGACTATCTCATTATTACGTTTGAATTTCTTGTAAATAATAAAATCAGCTATCATTAGACGAAATATGGACACATCATTGCCAGCGGTCTTAATTTGGTTGCAGTTCAATTGGGCCATCCTGCATATTGTAAATTCAAATTATGAAATGAATATTAGAAAAATAAGTCTCGTGTGTTTTTCTAAGATATTATGTTTTCCTGTTTAGTTTTGAGCAGCATTTTTCAACCTTTTTACACCTACGGACCGGCTAAAATATGAAAAATATTTCGCTGACCGTTATTATAGAAAAAAAAACTCATATTTTTTTTAATAAATTAATCTAATTCATGTTGTCGCGGACCAGGTAGAAAAATTTCTGAGAACCACTGATTTAGACCGTCGTTTGTTTAATTATATCCGGTAATATTTAATGAGCAATCAATCGGTGTTTAAAGTTTAATGGTTTTAATTTCTATCTGCAATTTATTGCTCAAAAGTAATTTCATTTTTAAAACTGCAAAATTTCAGCAAAATTTTCATAAAAATACGTTCGTTCCAATTATTAAAAAAAAAGGATATTTACTGGATTTTTCTTGATCTGTATCCCCTTTTGCAGATAATAATTTCGTAATTTCTATTCCCGTTTATTATTCAGTATACATGTTTACGAGTTAAAGATAGATTATTCAATTTGGGAAAAACCAGAAAAAAGTAAGGGAACTTGGACTTCATTCCATAAAGAAAATCTATATATAATATTTTGTGCAATTGTGCGAAAATAATGATGAAATTTGTAATAGTTTGCTTCTCTATACGTTGTCGAAAGGAATTGTTTCAATGAAATTCTTTAACGGTGTAGCATAGTTGCTTTTGGAAATTGATAAACAATAGTCCATGAGTATAGGTGCTGGAATACCATATATTCTGTTATCCGAATTAGATAATAATTAGACCAATGTTTTGAGTTGGGTCTCCGCGGAAAAAATTCTGATATATTGAGTGCGCCGCAAACAGAAAAAGTTTGGGAAGCCCTGGTCTATGGGATTCAAAATTATGTATATTTATTATAAAATATAATTCGTATATACTATATGGGTGAAACTTTTCCAATAAAGAAATAAAATGTATTTTAAATTTCAAAGAAAATGTTGCTCGTATCATAAAATCATATAACAAAAAGTTCGAAGTTCAGACCAAATAAAAATAATAATGGACGATCGCCATTTCATTTTATGGCAAAAATAATCTTAACAATCTTAAATTGAATAGAAAATGTACAATTTTTGTATTCCAGTAAAATTGATGCACGAATTACTATTATTATATTCATTAATATTTTTTTGCGAGAAATGAGAAATTTTTATCGCCACGCAATTTTTAAATTGCGATTTCTTTAAATTTGACCCAAAAATATATTCGTTCCAATTATGAAAAAAGGCTATTTACCGGATTTTTCTTGATCTGCTTCCCCTTTTGCAGATATAATTTCGTAATTACTATTTCCGTTTATTATTCAATGTACATGTTTACGATATATTTGGGAAAACGCAAGTGATCTTGGACTTCATTTCATAAAGAAAATCTATATATAATAGTTATATGTATTATTATGCAATTATGCGAAAATAATAATGAAATCTATACACATTTTCTTCTTCATAGGTTAGTTGTCGAAAGGCAATTGTTTGCAGTGTTTCATTGAAATCTTCAATTCTATAGTGTAGTTACTCTTGGAAATTGATAAATCTATGACAATAAAATGTATTAAAACAAAAATGCATATATTTAAAACAATACTAGGAAAAATGTAAATATTGTTTATATCTGGATTAAATCGAAATTATATTTGATAATTTAATACATGAATGCGATTGTCTGTTATAAAAAAATCAATTCTAACATGGACCACTTCAAACAATTAAAAATATCTTCGGTTCATCTTCAAAGATTTAGAAAACCTAGATGTCCTGTAATAGAGAATTGATTGAAGTAATTTTCACATCATATTAGAAATATGATTTGTCTTCAATTTGCTATAGAAAAGACCGCTTCAAATTCAATATAATGTCCACTCAAACAAAATTACTTTAATAAACGCAAATAATTACTTACATTTGAATTATTCGTCTAATGAACTTAAGTAAAATAAAATCCTACGTTTCATAACGCATGTTGTTAATGAAAATTGGTCTGTAGCTACATGGTGTTATGTACATTACCTGCCATTTTTCAGTGTTAAAGTTCCTTCTATATTTGGGAGTAACAATTAATTATATGTTAATTATATGTTAAGTTTTAAGGAGCACGTTACTGCAGCTTAATTAGTTGGTTCTAAGTTAATAGCACTTCTTATGAAAACATGGGATTTGGAAGAAAATAGTCAGCGATGCCATACGCATTAGGTATATGGCAGGACGAGTGTGGAACAAAGGAAGAGTGCACAATGAATTTGTGCTCTGAAAACAGCGCCAACATTAGTAGTTTTGGTAAATTCGGGCAATTTCCTGTAGATTTAAGAATGAAAGAAACATTAAGTATAAGACAAATAATATGGAGGAAAATGAAAAAAATAAATAAAAAAAGACGTCAATATAAAACACAATATAAAGTTTGATAAGTATGAAGAAATTATTATTTGTAATATAATTATTGTGGGATAAAAAATTGATAAAATAACGGTCATTCAAGGAGCAATATATCCAAAAGATAACTAAATTTTAGATTTTAACGTAGGAGATGAAATGCCCACGAATCTATGATATATACAGATGGTTCAAAATGCGACATGGTTGTTGGAACCATTTTGTGATATATTTAGAAGGAAATGAAATTTATAAAAAAAATTGGCAAATCATTGCAGTCTTCCAAGCTGAGCTCCTAGCAATTATTAGATGAATAATTCTGTCTGGTAGCAGGTCAGTGTTAGATGCATTAAAATTTATGAACGAACTAACTAAGCTACTATTGAAAACAAGGGAATTGGTTTCGGTTTTCGCTACATTGAATAAAAGCCAATGTAGGCCAATATACCAAAGAAAGCATCTGTCGCTGAAATTATTGATGATAAAGAAATTGAAATTATTATTAAGAAATTTTCTGGCAGAGTAATTAAAAATTATATAAATGTTAGAATGGGAACAACAAATTCATTCCTTTAATTTCTAAATAGATGGAAAGCGTTGAACTGTCACATCAGTTCAACTTAGTATAGGAAATTTGAGGTGCATAAAAAAAGATTAGGCCAAACGGATACGTTTCTTTGCGACTGCGGAGAGGATGCAGTAGAACATTGATGGTTCAAATGCAAACATAATAAAGAATGGAGAAACATCGCTGATAGAAAAATGGTGTAGAAGCAAAAAAATCTAGACAAATTATGTCGTAATCACAATCTGTTCATCAATGTGAACATTGAGTAAATTTAAGATCCTGGTGGATAGTTACCATTATGATGATTTTGAACATTAATAATTACTGAAATCTATATAATCAATCTAGTTTCAGCCCGTTTGTTGTTTCAATGTTGTCGTGTAGACCAATAGCCAGTGACTATCATCCTCCAGATGTTGGTACTTTATCCTCTACCATATCTATATGAAGATATTCGTGTTTTTGTTTATTTTTAACGAACCTTAATAATATTTTTTAGCCATTTAGATTGGAACCTTTGTATGTTCAATTTACTGGCCGCACCCCACAATTGGATACCATACGTCCATACTGGTTTCAGTATTATTTTGTATATAAGTAATTAATTTCCACTGAAAATTCCGACCTTTTCCCTAGAAGCCAGTAGAATTTTCTAAACTAAGCAATAGATTTTGTTGCTTTGGGAAGATTGTGTCCATTAAGTCTTAAAGTTGAACAGGTGTCTTTATTTATCCTGAATGTGATATGCACGGATTTCATTTCGTTAATTGCTATTCTATTTTCCTGTAGATATTCAGATGTTACTACTGGATCTCATCTGGTGCTAAGATTGCTGTATCATCAGCGAATGTTGCAATCGTAGTATTGCTAGCTTTAAGAATATCTGCTATGTATAGAAGGTAAAGCAGTGGTCCTAAAACACTTCCCTGCGACACCCCTGATTCTATTGGATATAAATCGGTGTATTCGACTTCTATTTTTACCTGAAACATTCTATTATCGAGGTATGATTTTATTATTTTAAAATAATTATATGGCAAGTTCTTCTTTGTTTTGTATAGTAGTCCGAGATGTCAAACTTTGTCAAATGCTTGCGATATGTCTAAAAAGGTAGCCGAGTAGTATCTTTTACTTTGCAGGTCTTGGTAGATGGTATTTACTATTCTGTTTACTTGTTCTATTGTGCCGTTTTTGCAACGAAAGCCAATCTGATGATCTGGTATCAGCTTAGTTGACGCTTAATTTCCCCTTATTAAGTCATAGAATGGCGTCTTCTTTAGCTTTATTTGACTACTAATATATGTTCTAATTTACTTTGGGCTTATTGGTTTCATTGGCATGGACATTTGAAACGGAGAAGATAAATAAGCTTCAATTTCCTTGTTTTCTTCCATTAAGACTTGCGCTGGAAGTGATTTGAAGATTATTCTAAAATTATCTGCAAACATTTCTTCCCCAATTTCCATCAGCTTTGCATATAAGATGGATTCTATTCTGAGGTTGTTTGAGCTTTCCACAAAGAATAATCTATTGCGTCAGATTTAGTAAGTACTGTTTTACTGCTTCATTTTTGATGTTTTTAAGGAGCCTCTTCAATTTAGGTGTAGCTCTATTTAACGTTGTCGTCTAAGTCTGCATTTTTCTGAAAACAAACGTTTAAAGTGGACAAATGTTATACGTTACCTGTTTTGTGTGTTCCGGAGTGGAGTGCCGCAGATGTTTGTATTGTCTGCGTTAGGTGCTCCACAGAGAAAATAAATAACAATATTCAAATTAAAAAAAATATAGTTAGAGATAACAAAATTTGGCAATAAATTATTGTTAATTGTAAACCGACGAATGAATAAGTTATATATACTGGGTAAAATGATGTTACTTGATGATAAAAAAAATAAATTTATGACATACAAACCTCGTTCTTGGTAAAAGTATTTTTTAAGATAGAAAGGAGAGAGAATATATAATTGATTAAGTCAGATTTTAAAATGTATACATATTACTTTATTATTCGTAACAGTGAACCACATAGATGGCATACACAGTAATAAATCTGGCATTAAAAATATATAGTATATTTATATACTTCACAAATGTAATAGAAGGAAAACGGAAACGCACATCGAACGTAAGTAAGTAAACGCAAAGTATAATAACTCGAAATCGAAAGTACACAAGAGTCGCTCGAGATCTCTCCTCTAAAGCATCGAATATACTTATACAATTTTACATCGTGTATATATTATATAAATATCATTACAATATAACATTTAGCACATTTAATATTTCTGCCACCCCCATATCCTCCGTCGCGACGACTTTAACAATTGTTTGAAAAATGCTTCACCTATATCAACCGTAAATGTTTCAACAACGTTTCTTCTAAACAACATGCCATTACTATACAAAAAACAAACAAAAAAACAGATGCTCTTCTGCAAGAATGAAACACCACTCATTTATATATGTGTATGTATATATATATAACAAAGTACAGACAAATGCACTCCAGTAATGAAGCAAGTTATCAGCTAATCCTAGGAAACAAAAACGAAAAACAGCGGTTCTCCTTCTCGATTACACAAAAGAATAAAAACCTCAAACCAATTAACAAATAAAGAATCTTCACCGCCCACAATACATAATTTAATAACACATTTTACATAATTCCAGACTAGATAAACAAATCGTTGCAATATACTTTTGATTATAAATTACATTTCAAACTCAACGAAATAATTAAATAACTGTTTTTTTTTTCGGGGTTCTCTATGCGCACTTAAACAAAGAACATTAAAAAATAAAACGATTTTATGTATGTATATATATATAGAGAGAGTGCTTAAAAACAATGTTCAAACAAATGAATAAACTATTTCCGCAATGCTTGCTCCGATCGCTTGTGATGTTCGATTAACACAGTCTTTGCTATTTAAAAAAATATATGTATATTAATACTGGTTTCCCAACTTTTTTTTCTATCTTTTGATAATAATACATTTCAGAAACACGTTGATATACTCTTATTAAATACTTTCGGTTGGTTTTAGATATTATAAATGATTTCTTCATTTAAAATATATTTATATATAAAAATGGCAAACATTGGGAAATTTATTGAAATCGAGAAAATAACAGCTAATGCACGCTATATATATATCTTTTTTTCATCTCGTTATTATTATATTTTGCTTTCTTTTAACAATCACACGTCTGTTCTCAGCTTCTAGTTTCATTTTTGTTTGGACAGTTAGTTAAATCACATGGCACGATAGGGACCTTGCATTTTCAGGTATTGTATGACCATCGAGGGTCCCCCGATCACAATTTCTGAAGGTATTTGGGTTAGCGGGCAGTTCTCGATGCTCATGATCTGTAAACTTCGGCATAGGGCCAACTCAAAGGGCAAATTATGCAAGGAAGGATTATCGTTTAGGTAGATGCTCTCCAGGTTCTCCAACGTTCCAATTTCAACCGGCACGAATGAGAGGTTATTCTCTCCAACACTCAGGTATACCAAATTCGACAGATGACCTATCGCCCTAGGAAGGCAATTCAATTGATTTGACTGCAGCACCAATCGCTGCAGCTCTTTCAGCATGCCGATCTCTTTTGGCAGCTGCTCCAGCCTGTTCTCTTCCAGATCTAGCACCCTGAGTTTCCTAAGGTGGCCGATCATCGGAGGGATGCGCCTTAGAAGGTTATTAGATAAGACTAGTACCTCAAGGCTCTGTAAACACTGAATGTTATCCGGTAGTTTGGCCAGCTGATTCGTGCCCAGATTGAGTTCAACCATATTGACCCAAGTGCACACATCGATCGGCAGCGTTGTCAACTGATTCTCCTTCATGTTCAGCTTCGTCAGATTCTTCGCCCTGGTGAAGATGCCGTATGGTATTTTCGAAATCTGGTTGTGTTCCAGATTGATGGAATCGACGTTGTCGAATTGGCAAGGTCCGCCGGTTGGGTAACTGGTGAAATTATTTCTGGACAACGTGATGCTCCTCAGATTACCTAGACTAGATAGCAATCCTTCGGGTAAAAGGTTAATCGCATTTCCCTCGACATTAAAATCGTCCATGTTCTTGCAATTGCTTAGAGAGGAGGGAACAGTGGATAATCGGTTATACCTTAAACCTAGTCTGGTCAACTGCTGCAACTGTCCTATACTTTCTGGGATATCAAGTAACTCATTGTGTTGCAAATCTAGTGTTGATAAGTTAATACAAAAACCCAGTTCGTCAGGTAAATGCTCCAAGTGGTTGTGAGACACGTCGAAAGTTATTAAATTAACTAATTTCCCAATACCCGACGGCAGCTCCTTGATTTTATTCTCGCGTAAACTGAGCATAGTTAAGGACGTCAGTCTTCTAATTTCGTCACCTACATATCGGATTCTGTTGAACCTTAAAAACAGTGTAGTCAAGCTAAGCTTGTAAATCACATCAGGTATATCATTCAATTTGTTATGCCTCAAATCAAGCAACCTAAGCAATCTCAGACTTTCCAATGAGTCTGGTAAACTAGTCAGAGAGTTCTCACTCAGCCCAAGTGTATGCAAGTTAACTAAACAGCCAATCTCAGAAGGAAGTGATACTATTTTATTACCATACAAATAGAGCTCAGATAAATGTGTTAAATCTCTCACTGTTGCTGGTATTGATGTTATATTGGACTTGCTCAAGTCCAACCTCTTGACACCATCCTCCTTGCATCTTATGAACTCTTTAATCACATCCAGGTCAGCATGGACTGGCTTGTTCTTCTTCACAGTTGGCTTTGGCTTATTTGACTCTGGATGCTTCACTGTCACCATCTTTGGCCGGGACACATCTGGTGCACCACTCAGGGAACCTGTGGAGAACTTCTTATGTTTGACCTCTATGGTCCCTGATGACTCTGCTTCTGGCATATCGGTATCCAATAAGAGACTGGTGCAACTCGAAATAGATTGGTTCATCACTGGACTCTTCTCTTGTTCTGAGCTCCCTCACACTCTTTTATTCTTTAAAAGGCCAACATGAGAATATGAACACGTAAACGACATATGCTTACAACGATTTCTTACCTCTGGCATTGCTCGGGCCACGGCTATTTATACGCACGCAATTTACATGCAACTCAGAACCCAACAATTGTTTTATTAAAAATTCGTTTTTTGCAAGAAAGCGATGCACCCGCCCATGTCTTGCAAATTTATGCATTTTCCAGACAGACAATAACATAGAAAACTGTAGTGTTGTTTATTACAAACACCCACCGCCATCTACAATATGAAAACATTATGATAAATTCAAAGAAAAACACAAAATATGTTGCTAACTAATCAAACAATAAAAGCAGTAATAATTCTATCAATCAATATTTGTTAGTAGATACAAAATTAGACAATATTATCATTTTTTTCGATTGTAGCATAAAATTACAGGCAACACAATATACATCTGAACTGGTTCAAGCAAATCACAACTTTTGTTTTAGATGCAACTTCATTATAGGTGATTGTAGGCATGCATTAAGAAAGTGATCAATAAACTCAAATACAATGAAATTGATCTTAGGAGGTGGGATAAGTGGTCTGTCCACTGCATATTACTTATCCAAAAAATGTCCCAAAGAATTGTTAACAATCATAGAGGCTTCAGATCACATTGGAGGTTGGATCAAATCAAGGAAGTTACCTGATGGCACAATATTTGAGCAAGGACCAAGGACTCTGAGACCTAAAGGATTGCCTGGGGCCAATACACTGCAGTTAATTGAGGACCTGAATTTAAGTGAAAGAATAAGACCCATCACAATGGACCATTCTGCTGCAAAGAATAGAATGATTTTTGCTAATGGAGAGTTACACATGTTACCCTCATCCCTTAGCAGCATCTTTCAATTGAAGAAACCATTCTCCAGACCATTGATTGTTAGTCTTTTATTTGAAGGACTTCAGCCCAGTATTGCAGTCAGCGATGAATCTATTTACAACTTTACTTATAGGAGGTTTGGTCCAGAGGTGGCTGATTACTTGATAAGTCCCATGATCTGTGGTATATGTGCAGGCAATGCCAAAGAAATCAGTGTTAAATTTTTGATGGAACCTTTATTTGCTAAAGAACAGAAATATGGGAGTATTACAAAAGGATTCCTGAAGACATTGCAGGATAAAAAGGAAGAATTACCTAAAAGTGACTTATTAGAAAAGTCAACTAATGAAAAGTGGAGTATATACTCATTCAAGGAAGGTTTGGAGGAGTTACCTAAAGCCCTGCACCAAAAGGCTTTAGAAAATGGTAACAATATAGTACATAATGAATGTACAGGAATTGATTTTGATGACAAAATCAGATTAACATTTAAGAGTGGAGATGGATTGATTGGAAATCATTTGTTTAGTACTATACCAGCTCAAAAACTATCACCATTGTTGACTAAACAGCATCCCAAACTAAGCGCATTATTATCAAATATTGAAACTGTCTCTGTGGGTGTTGTCAATTTAAAATTCAACAAGAAACTCCTGAAACAAGAAGGATTCGGTTTCCTGGTAGCTCCCAAGGAAAATCTTCCTATTTTAGGTGTTATTTATGATAGCTGTTGCTTCCCAAGTGGCGAAAATACAACCATCACCGTCATGATGGGTGGTCACTGGTTTAATAAACATTTCCCAGCAGAAACCAAAGAGGAAAAATTTCTGGAAATAGCACTTGATCAAATCAGGAACATACTAGACATCACAGAGGTACCAGACGCTTTTAAAGTGAACGTCTTGAAAGACTGCATTCCACAATACAATGTTGGACATTCAGAGAATTTGGAAAACATTAATGCCTACATAAAAGAAAATAACTTGAGACTGTCCTTGTGTGGTTCATCCTATTATGGCATAGGTGTTAATGACGTTATATTATCTGCTAAAAACGCAGTTGACAAATTGTAAAAAAAATATATATATTTATTAAATAACTTAAAGGAACTTCTTCATTACTTAAATTTCTCCACATCTCAATTCTGTACTGCTTCCTTCCCTAGAATCATAAATTTGTATCAGTTAAATGTGTTGAATATAATACAATAGGTGATAGCGAACATCATGCAAAGCAATATTAGTTGTATAAAAAAATTGCATACCTTAGAATAATTTAGTTTGCACTAAATTAGGGAGCCAGGCAATTATATATATATATTATATAAATCAAACAATCAATAAAAAAATATTTTTACTCAACATACTATAAAATCATACAATATAAATATTTAAAAAAAAATCCAGTATAACTAGTGAATTAAGTACTAATCAAAGCATGCACTGGCACACTATTTAGCTGCTAAATTACCTGCATATTTAACTTCATCGAAGGCCTTTCTGGCTTTCTTAAGCTCCTCATTCATTGTAAGCAAATCTTTGACCCTTGCATATTTTCTGGCATCTTTACGAACCAAAAACACTATATCCTCAACTTGCACTCGACCTGTTCTACCAATTTCCATGGCTCTAGTAAAATCAATACACATTACTTTACTTACAAACTATGAGTGTTTTGAGACCTACTTGTGTGTCATTTCTGTTATAAATTCAATAACTAAATCTTCAATTATGTCTACACTTTCTGTGTAAGGATTTTGATCATCCCCAAAGCCATACATCATGCATCGTAACTCCTTGCTGAACAGCCTTTTTCTACCCACACTGCAGAGCAGCGTGTTATCTCCATTTTCCATATCATCTTCAAACTAAGAAATTATATTGTTATTGCACTCAAAATAAATAAAAAAAAAACACTAAATTTACCTGCTCAAATCCTTCTCCTTCAGCCATTTTTAACGTTTTTAAAGAAACTTGTTAATAAATGTTAAAATTACACGAACTACTATTTTTTCGATAGTTAATACTTTAAATACTGTTAGAAAAAAATGTAAATACTGAGATCTATCAAGATTAGAATCTATAACCATTTCCAAGCATACCAACATAAATACCAACCTAATTATCTTAACATCAACATTTATGTAAATTAAAGAAAAACCATCTACAGTGTATGCTTAGTTGCATAACTTCCCACGTTGTTGGAGCTCAAGAAATAATTGTTATTTTAATTACATTTCTCATTGAATAATAATTTAATATATATTAAAATTCGTGAAATGTAAATTCGTAAATTGATAATTCAGTTGCCATAGTTATAATGTAATTAATAAATTAATCCCTTAGAAAATTAATGATTTACTATGATCTCAATAAGCACCTAATACATTTGTATCAAAAACATAAAAATAGTCGAGTATTACAAACTAGTTGTTCGTAAGTCGAATTTGTTCGTAAGTGGGGGGAATTTTAAAAATTTCAAAATATACTTATCTTACCACACTGTATCATGGATTTTACTTTTATATGGGTTAAATTCCGTATTACTGACTAAAAAAATTTGAAAAAATAGATTAAAATAAACAAAATACTTACTTACAAATACTTTTCAATGTAGATATCAAAATTATTCAATAAAAAACGACAAAGAAACAAATGCTACAAAACAGATAGTACATCTTCAAAAATATTATATTTTATTAAAGAAATTATCAATTTTTGTTTGTACAGTTAATCACTATATATTTCCTTGTAGCAAGTTAAAGCTTTTAGAATTTTGTTCGTAAGTCGGGGGATGCCTGTATATCTAACATACTTAGTAGTCATAGTTACGTAAAAATCAATAATCAAACAATAGCAATTGATACTGAAACAAAAACAAACAAAATTAATTACTATTTTTTGTAATTTTTTGTCGTGTCCCAGGGATGGAATTCTAGACACAGTGGAATATTGTCTGGTGTTCTCGTTGTGGAGTCTCAGTTGTAGGAATTAAATAATTCAATTGGTTTTACATAACTTTATTATAATAATTGAGGTCCTTTTCCAGGACAATGTAGTTACTTTGGTAGGTTGACTAAGACTAATTCTAAATACTTATTCTACTTACAAAGGTGCTAGCAGCAATAGGGTCATCGTTCATCACAGATGGACAGTTAAATGAATGATATCCAGCATATATACATTCAGCCAAGTCGATGGACAATGACAGTGTTAAGGATAGCAGAAGATTCACAGTCAAAGCATCAATATACAGTTGTGTCCAACCATTATTATTATAATTGTTTATATTAATACAGTGTATTACCGAACTAGAGTCATCTACGGCGTCTCTTAGTCCCACTCCCACTCCCGTATTAATAAGAATTAACTTTGTAAGTAGAATAAGTATTTAGAATTTATCTCAGTAAAACCTTAATATGATGATCATAGTCTCATAAAAACTTAAGATGAGAATAAGTCTTAATCAATCTTTTAAAGTATCTACATTGTCTTGGAAAGGACCTCATACTTAATTCCTACAACTGAGACTCCACAACGACAACACTAGACAATAGTTCACTGTGTCCAGAATTCCATCCCTGGGACACGACAATACTACTGAAGTTCACCTATAAGACGATTGCCAAGAAACAAATGAAAATCATATCATCATAATGGTAACTATCAACCGGGAAAGATTATCCATTTCATGTCTACCGCTATCTTAAATTTACTCAATGTTCACATTGATTAATAGATTGTGAATAATATTATACGACATAAAAAACATTAAAAAAATATTCAGAATTTTATTAAAAGTATTACATTTTGTTATTATAATTCATCTCAACTAATTTATAAAATGTTCAAACTTCAAAAGTTTTTGTTACAAAATAAATGTATTAATGTTCTAGTTTTGTAACAACCAATTATCAAAATCAGTTTACTTAATAAATCATGAACTTAATTAAATCACATGGAATCAATTATCAATAATCATTGGATTTAATGTCAATTAACCGAAGCATAACTCGTATATTTTTTTAAATTATAACATGAAAAATTTCATTTTAAAATTAATTTAATTAGATTTATTTTTATTAAAATTAGACAAAAATTCTCGATATTTAACAAAATTTGAATATAAACGATGGCAGAAAAACTCAGTTCAAATTGATGACAAAAGAAATAAAATATACAGAGGAACTTGGAAATTTCCCGATTTTTACTCGTATAATGAAACATATTCAAAAATACACATAATATGTGTACACAAGTTTTAAAAATGATGTAGAAGGCGCGCGAGGTGCTCGTTAAGCGTTCCACTGTAATTATTACATACTATAAAATTAAAGAAATACTTCGCATAGTGCGGTTTCGATAATTGTGGATTTACTATAGTTTGAAAATTTTAAAACAAACTAAATTTTAATTGATTAAAATAAATATAAATTTGTTAGTCTATTGTCTCTGGTCTCTTTTTGTGATTTTTATTTCTCGGGGTTTTCATATAGTGTCTTGTATATAGTGTTTTTTTATTCTTTTATTTGTAAATTTATCATTCTGAATGTTATAATATTTTTTTGGAACCTGAAATGAGTGCAATCTAATACTTTTTTTAAAACTGAAATTAAAGGACAAAGAATAGTTTAATCAGTAGAACTTGAATTCCTTGGTATTTTCATTTTTGATTCTTTACGATGGAAATGTAAATCTTTGCAGAGGGAGAGGAAATGAAACCACTAATAATATCGTCTGTGAATCTATTGGCAATCAGAAAAGAAGGCAAATAGAGGAGAGAGAAAGAGATGGAAGGAAGGAAAGAAAGAAACAGGAGATCATGTACAAATTGGAGGGGTCAAGTATTTAAACGATCGCGGGAACTTCCACCTGGGGGCTCCGCTAATCTGCCCTTTTGTGCACCATCTGTGCACGCTTCACTTACCTCAATGATTGTTGGACACGATATTTATATAACAGTAAGATATATCTCCTAAATACAAAAGCCATCCCCCTCCTGCTCGATGGCGATATTAAAGATCTTCCTCGTTCTCGTTCGAGATGAACTCCCAACAACCATTCCAAGCAAAAACACACCCTCCTCCCCCAACATCAATTCGCTCTCAACGCATCAAATTCAGTGCATTTATTTACAGTTTTAAATACATATTAAATAAGATATTAATTCAACATTGACTAGCTATAAATATATATAAACATTGCGTCTACGGAAAGTGCTTAAGTGTATATTATAATTATTCATGGTGCAATCTTCTGGTCGGGGTTGCTCGGAGGTTCAGGTGCGTTCTTTTGCGTCTCTTCGTTAACCGGGGGTGGCGCTCTCAGGTAGGGTTGAGAGAGGAACGAAGTGTGGTAGCAACTGGTTTCCATGCAGATTGGACACAGGGTGCCGGGCAGAGCACCCAGGAACTTCCTGCGATAAAACACGAATATTACAATGGTAGCATATTAATTAAATGATAATTATCGCAATTACACATTCATTTCGGATGGGCCATTAAAATTATCGTTATTTGCTCATCGCATGCGATCCGTACACAAATCATTCGTGTTGAAAGCTCGGTAAATTGTATATCTCAATTGCGACATTAAAGTAATTGTAGTATACCAGTGGTATTCAAACTATATTCCGCGTAATCTCTCGTAACTCGAAATAAAACATAATTTTATTGGACATGAAGATGGATGGACATCTTACATATACGCCATCCCACAACAACAAGCCACCTATTTGTATTACTTTGTACATTAATAAAGATTAAGTTAAATATAAAAAAAATGAAAAAAGCATTGAAGAAGAAAAACAAGCCATAGCTTGTAACCTGAAGATGTGATTATATCCTGCCCGAAGACACTAAACAGGAGATTTTAGTATTAGAGGGTACAAAGAAAAGAAGTAATAATTTAGAATCATTATGTAATGCTATAAAGATGATTAAACTCCGTTTGGTAACAAGAAATAGTTTTTTCTATTTCTGAAAATTTGATTTGATGTCTACAATTCTTTTTAATTAAAGAAGAAAATACGTTTGTAAAAATACTTTGTCACTATTTTTTGTGAAAATTTTGAAGAAAATTGTAGATTCCAAAACCGTTGGTTTTTATATAAACCCTAATTCATACTGAATATACCAACTTCTCTATCAATGAGACCGGATATAAAAAACTTCGATATTTTATGTAAAAATTTAATATATTTCAACTATTATATGATTAGTAAATAACTTATGAGTCCTATTTAACTTTTATTATATAAAATACTTAATAAAATGTAAATTTCTGAACAATTTTTTAGAGGTTCAATAAACAATTATAATCTTAAGGGTGGACACAATTAATTAAAACCATCAATCCATCAAAATAAAAACTGTTGTACACAAGATAGATCAATTTTAATTAATAGTATTGTTGCATTTTACCTGTATTGATGATCAAGTTGTGCCTTCTCTATCCTCTTGTCTTTGGCTCTCCGATTCTGAAACCAGATCTTGATCTGTGTCTCGGATAGCTGCAGGGATTCGGCCAACTCGCACCTGCGACCTCTGCTTATGTACTCGGATCTTTGGTACTCGATCTCCAGATGCAGAGTCTGCTCGCTGCTGAAGGTAGTTCTCTGCCTTCGAGGTCTTCCTTCCTTCCGCCTTCGACGAGCCACTGAGGATCATACGGTTTTAAAGATCAAGAAGGGTTACCATGAACAACAGAAAAGAAAAATATGAAGAAAAAAAACAGGCTAATGAAAGCGGAGAGCGTAATTGAGCGTGTCCGAAATAAAATAGGTGCGTCATCTGGTGTTACAATCAGGGCTTCTCCTTGTTTCCGTCAATCTGAACATGTGGCTGTGACGGAGGACCGACCGTTCCATCCGGACTATTTCACACGACCGATGCCGCACAACCCTCCGGTTATGGTGATGATGATGATGATCATCTAAATCGACGAAGCTGCTGAACACCTACCCCCGTGACGAATCAACCATAATTCCCAATTTCCTGTGCTACCGTCCAATTGGAAATATTAATATGAATCATAATTTCGTTCATTAGGCTTCATCGCAAGTTGTTCGGAGCTTTCATCCATTTATAATCTTCTGAACTTATTCCATATGCTTAATATACGCGACGCGAAATCAATTTCAAACTGTTTCATATTCGACGGAATGCGTAATCGAAATTTAATGATATACATAATCTCATCATTAAGTAATTATTTTAGTTGATTAATTATTATTTATTTAAACTTATTTATATAAAACTTATATAATTTATTTATAAATATTTTGGTTACAATCTACTTAGTAAGAAAAATGAGAGGATAAACGTATGTGATAATATTCATAAGTTAAACATTTTGAGTAATATTATACACTTATTTCATATAATAACAGTAATGAACTTAATTTGGATCATTGAGAAATTAAAAGTTTAGAAAATTACTGATTTGAACAGATACAGTGGTGCCTCACACAACGAACTTAGTTCGTTCCAGGAGCAAGTTCGTTATGCGAAAAGTTCGTTATGTGAAACGCGTTTTCCCATAACAATACATGTTAAAAAAAATAATTCGTTCTGTAGCATAAAATATGGTAAGATGACATAAAAAAAAGATAAATTTTTTGTTATTATTTTTATTTAGATACATCTAAAAACATAATGAAAAAAATACACATTTTACGACTTCGTTGTAATGATGAACGATTGCTGCGACACGTGCGTAAGTTAAGTTACTGCTCAGTGACTAACGACTGCCTGCGCGGAAGGATGCAATAAATCGGCAGTGATCGTGTGAAGTGGGCGACTTCGTTGTGTGAAGCGATTCGTTGTGTGAAGCGAAGTTCGTTGTATGAATCGTGAAATGAACGAAAAGGAAGTTCGTTGTGTGCAGCGTTCGCTGTGCGAGGCGTTCGTTATGCGAGGCACCACTGTATATATAAATATCTCGTATAGTGCGGATAATCGTTTTCGTCAATATCTCGGACTGTTTACAACTGTATAAAAATAAATTGCACACAATGAGATTTTAATGTATATTTTATATATATAAAAAAAAAATATGTACTAATTTTAATAATTAATTCTTATTTTGGTAATTAAAATTTTCAAAGCGGGTTGATAAACAGTGCTGTACAGTAGACGACTTGTCATCATTGTACTTTCGTACGTAAATTCGACACAATATGAGATTTTCAAACCGGACTGTTTAAAGCCGCACTATCCGAGGCATTGCTTTACATTAAACGACTGGTTATCATTGTATGTTCGTGCTGAAGTGTGTACGTTAATTCGATTAGATCGAATTAGATGTAAAAAAGATGCATTGTTATAGTTAATATTTTAAATTTTAAGTAAATGCAAAGTGTATTATGACATTTTATTATTTGTATACATTTGCAAGTTGGCATTTACGTTAAATGATTTTTTTATTAAATCACGATGATGCGAATTTGTAAATGCAAAATATATTATACAATAATTTGCTAAAATGTTTTGATCAATGTTGTCAGTACTTCAATATGATTTTAAAAGAAATTGTAACATTATTGTACGTTTGTACGGATAATTGTACGTTAATTCGGTTAGGTAAAAATATATAATAAAGGAAATGTATTGATCTTTAAATATTTAAGTAAAGGCTGACTGAATTTGACATTTAATTATAACACATTGTCATTTGCTGACGTAAATTTGAATTTTAGAATTTGCATAAAATTATTCTTTATAAAATCACGATGATGCTGATTGTTAACTATAAATAAGTGAGATTTAAAAAAAAATAATTATACGTTAATATGGTGTAAATATATATTAATGTACAAATAAACAAACATAAGATATGTATTGATCATTAAATATTTAAGACTTTAAGTAAAGACTGAATGTATTTTGATATTTGACATTGTTATTTGTTGACGTAAATTTGTAATTTATAATTTACATTTAATAAATCTTTATAAAATCACGATAATGCGGATAGATAAATGCAAAATATATTATTCAATCATTTGTTAAAACGTATAGAACAAAGATGTCTGCACCTAAATTTGATTAGAATAGAAATTGTACCATCATTGTACGTTCGTTCGGATAATTGCACGTAAATTCGGTCAGGTGGAAATATATAATAATGTACGTATAAACAAACATACGTAATGTATTGATTTTTAAATATTTAAGACTTTAACTAAATGCTGACTACATTTTGACATTTATTAATAACATTTTGTTATTTGCTGAGGTAAATTTTGTTATATTATTCAATCATTTAGTAAAACAAGACTGCACGTCAGTCTCATGTCAATAGAAATTAGGAAATACAATATATAATAATGTACGTATTAAAAAACATAACAAACTAAAAAAGGTTTTTATTGATCTTTATATATTTAATACTTTAAGTAAGTGTTAACTGTATTATGTCATTAAATTATGATATACTGTTATTGTTGACAAAATCACGATGATGTAAATCTTTTAATGCAAAATATATTACCCAATGATTAGGCGAAACGTGTGAACAATGATGATCGCAATAATTATTGTCGAATTGCACACAAGCGCGGTAAATTAGATTTGGCGCCCATCGAGATGCAAGTAATGTCCATTAGTTAGTCCAATTACAATTGTCGCTATGTAAATTTGCGTGTTTAGGCGGCGGTGGTTATCGTGTGGGAGGGCGGCAGCAGTGCGGGGGTTGATGGGGGACGGAGAAGGGCGGTGGAGGAAGAGCAAAACACATGGCTTTGTCACACCCCCACCAAGCGGATCCTCTCTCCGACAAACTTGATGGCGCTGCGTATTTGGAATTGTTCAACTGTGCCGTTGTAATCTCATCATAATAATATTTTACATTTCATATTGTGATGGACTTACTCCACCTCCCCTATTTCCCCCACACCACACTACCTCTTGCACCGCATCAAGTGCTATTACTCTCTCTCTCGAAGCCAAAATACCCACTTGAGTGTAAATTAACCGCATCCCAAATGTTAGTAGAAGACAAAACAAAAATATGCTACAAAATGAAGACACGGAAATGGAAACAAACGATTTTTGTTTTTATTCGAAAGTTTCTTATTTGTTTATGGATGATATTTGTTGGCGGAGGATTGGGTTTGGATAATCCGCGAGAGGGCTTTTGCTTGGACGAAAAATGGATATTGTTGTGGCGTCGGTGCAAATCCGTGGAATCGCATTAAAACCGCCGCTCGGATACAAATAAACGCGAAGCATGTTTAAAACTATTATTTAATAACAAGCCGATTAGAGAGGATGGGGCGGATCGGGTAAGGAGACGTACGAGCGGAAGAGAATTTTGCGATTTTGCCCCAAAAAGTCCAATCAAACTTATTCAACAATGCAACGTTCATTGAAAATCAAAAAGACAAAGCGAACATTTTTATATCCAAAAAAAAATCTAAATTAACAGAAACCGGTAACAGATGTTGGTTCCCTTTTAATACAGAATTCAACTCATGGGATGCAGGAAAGGTGTGATATTTTCGATAATTAATTATGATGCAACCCTCGTAATTAAATTAATGAATAAAGTCCTAATTACAAATTTATCGTAATGTGTAAATATCTCAATAAACCATCATTTTTTTTTTATTAGATAATACATTCAATATCTAATTACAGCAATACCTCGTATAGTCTGGGTAATAGGTTCCGTCAATGTTCTGGACTGTTTTAAACCGGACTAATCGAGGACTTTTAAACCACACAAAAGGAGATAAGTGTATATACGAAAAAAGTAACAACATCAACAAATCAATTAACTCTAAAAGTAATGTTTGTAGTATTTTTTTTTAGAATTTTTCAATTAAAATATAGTTAGTTTTGAAATTTTCAAACTGTACTGAATCCGTGCTAAACAGGGGTTTGCTTTTTTAAGAAATTTATATAATAACCTGATTTATGCAACAAAAAAAAAACGGGTTTTGAGATTAGACTTTTAATACAAAGATTAATTATTTCATTAAAAATACTCCATATAATTTGAGGACCATTACGTTTATTCATTGAGCTTTCAGTAACAAGTGAAAGTTTATTCAATTTCTGGATTTTTTTTATGGACAACAAGGATCTGTTTGAACAATTGATCTGTAAACATTATTTCCTTTTAAAATCATATTTTCTGAGAAATTAGTCATTTAATGTTCTTGATTTTTATGTAATGTTGTAGAATTTTTTAAGTTTTGTTTTCTGAGATTTTATATTGATTTAGTTTTTAATTTTGTATGTCTGTAATAAAAAGAAAATTCGTTGTAAAAATCCTTCCTACTTATTTTATTTTTGTAAAAATTCGAAAACCGGTTTAACCCTAATGCTAATCCAAGCAACATTATGCGAGAGATGGCTGTATTTACATTTTTATAGCACATCATTTCAATTTAAGTAAAATTAAAGTAATTTTTATTTAACAACTTTATAGTTATTATCATTAAACTTTTATATTATAATAATATATAACTATATACTTTATTTTATATAGAAAGATTTTAGTAATTTTTTTTTGGAATTCCATAGATTTAGTCTAACGATTTTAAGAGCCTTCATTGAATCATTAAAAGTACAGTCTAAACTCTGTTAAAACCTCAATTCATCAAGTTGTTTATCGATCAGCAATTTCACAAGATATAAAAGATTGGAGAGTTCAAATTACATGTATTACATCCATATTATGTTATAAATTTATGTTTCGCTTATAGCAAATTATTGTTTTTAATTAATCGTTTGGCTACGATTTAGTCAAGCAAAGCATCAAATAATGATTCACAATACGACGGAATAATGAAATTGATGTAAAATTTATTGAAAAATATTTATTTAAAATCGTTTTTGTTTTAACCTAATTCTTGAAACTATACATTACATATACATTACTATAATTATATTTTTCAATGTATTTTTAGCTTCTTTTAACAGTATTTGGTTTTTATAAACGTAGAGCAACTTGTATGATTCTCCCATCGAGTATGAAATAATTAACTTAATTAAATTGCATCTTCTGTAATTTATTTACAATTTCTGTAGTATTTTAAAATGACAAGTTATATCAATTTTTTTATAAGATAAGAATAGTAAAGAATACAAACAATTTGTTTCCAGACCTATTCTTTACTTATTCTTGTATGTTTAAGTGCAGATTTACAAAAGATAATTAAATGATAAATTACCAGTTTTTGTTGTATAACTTGATTTCATAGTATTACCTTAAACTGTGTATATGTTACGGTAAAAGTACGTAGTTCCGTAAATCTATATATTTACCGGTATATGTACACGTTTACCAGCTTTGTTGGTAAATGTGAGTTCAACTTATTTTACTAAAGTTCTGTGCAATTCAAAGTGCCTTTATAGCACTCCTTGTTGTAATAAATCAACCAAAATGGTAAATGTGTATATTTACCGATTTTGTACTTTAACCCTAACAAAATATATATAAAATTTCATAGCTACAAATTTCAAATACTACTAAAATAAATCAAGTAGAATACAATCAATTGACAAGTTATTTGATTGTATTGTATAATTATATAAAAATTACTAAATATAAATTACATGTTTTTAATAATAATAAACATAATAATTATTATAATAGTTACTCAAAAAAAATTTATGAAAAAACATGCATGATGTATGAAATTTAAATATAATATAATTTTATTTTGTTAAATTAATAAATAGAATAATTTCAAAATGTTATTGATGTGAAATTAATACGAAATTCGTAATAAACTGTTTAACGGAATTAATTCAAAATCAATATGCTCCCATTTTACCATTTAAATAATAAACTGTATTAATATTGTATAGAGTTTAATATTAATATTGTATTGTATAGAGTTGTATAGAGTTAATACTGAATGGTTTAATGTTATTCAATTTGTTCACGCTTGAAGCATCGAATCGAATTTATTGAAATCTATTGCATTTCAATATGAATACTCAAATAATAATTGTATGTAAATATGTACATTGTTAAAATTGAATTATTTCATGAATGTTTGTAATAATATAATATACAATAGCAATTAATAATATCTAATTTAAATTTTATTTTTATTATTATATTAGGGTTTTATTTTGTATTTTATTAATGTAATAAATGTTATTATTATTAGTTATATTAAAAAAAATAATTAAAATTATGATTTAAAATGATTCTTAATATAATAATGCAAAACATATTATTCATAATGAATAGGAAAGAAACGAGTAAATTAATGATTTGAACAGAAATTGTACAACTGTCAATCACTGTACGTTCTTACAGATATTTCCGTTAAGTTAAGCTAAGTAAAATTATCGATGCCTAAATATATCACAATTAATTTGTGTATATATTGTGAAAGGTGATATTTCAACCGTCTTTAGATAAAAGTTTAGTTCGGATTTGTATAAGTTTAGTACCCTTATAAAGATGAAAGAAAATAATGTGCACTTTAGACTTTGATACTTTTATTTTACTGGAAAGCCAAAAATGCCACTAAAGCAATAATTAAGATATATTCTGCCTGCGGAGAAATTATAGAAGAATAACCCTCATTAAATGGCACTTATCGTGAATGAGCATAGATATTAAAAATATTAAAAACAACTATCGACGAATGTTTTTGAAGCTTGTTATGTGAGTTTTGCATAGTTTGCATCAGCCCTTATATTTCTTTTACTACTCATAAAAAATTGTTGGAGTCGGACAGTTATATTTATCTACTCGTAGTATTCACGAGTTTACAACTTACATCATTGTACTTTCGTACGGATATTTGTACGTTAATTCGGTCCGAGCCACAAATAATAGTCTAATAAACAGTTAAGATATATGAGTTTTGCACAATTTAACGGACAAAAAAAGTTGTATTTGTATACTCGTAGTATTCACCAGTCTATGCACTTTCATCATTGTACGTTCGTACGGATATTTGTATGTTAATTCGGTGCGGGCCAAAACTAATACTATACGCATTAACAAAACTATTATCTACGCAATAACTCTCATTTTTTTGATTGCACTATTACAGCGAATATTTCTACTTCATAATTTCCAAATACTTTTTTTTAAGACAATTTTCATTAATCAATCAAAATTATTGAGTCTGAAGGCAAAAAGAAGTTATTTTGGTTTAATTAATAAATAGTTTATTGGAAATAATCGTTTGTTTTTTTTATGATGTAATTTCATTATGTAATTATTTCTATAGGAAATTTTATTTTACATTTTATAATTTAAAATATTTCTTGTAAACTATTGAAATAACAACGATATCTGCACGTCAAACTGATATGAATATAAATCCTATATAATAGACGACTGGTCATCATTGTACGTTCGTACGAATATTTGTACGTTAATTGGGTCAAATCAAATCAATTAATCAATCAAAATTTCTGAGTATTAAGGCAAAAACAAGTTATTTTGGGGTAATTAAAGATAATCGTTTTGTGTTTATTATGAAATTTCATTATGTAATGATTTCTAAAACAAATTTATCGTAATAATTGTAGAATTATCAATATAATATAATAATCTATGGAGTGGAGCTACTAAAAGGATGACTAGTTCATATATATTTTTAATATAATAGATTAAGTAAATATTGTGGTTGACTTACAAAATGCAGATAATCCAGCAGCAGCTGCAGCACTAAGATGAGCATCGGCCGCGTTTGGAATGAGGAATTGAAGAGGACTGGCCAATACTGGTACCGGAGCGATGATGTTATTATTGTTGTTAGCAACAAGATGTTCACTACTTTTGGTGGATTCGCGGGGTTCCTGCCCTTTGGTCTCCAGGTGACCGTAGAGTCGCTGGAAGAAGTCGCGCGGCGACGAGGGTTGAGTAATCTTCTGTGGATTTGTGGTCATCGTGCGGCCGATGGGGAAGCAGTAAGCATTGTGCCTAAATGCGAATTGTAAACTCTCCCTCTTTGTGTGCGTGGCGCGTGCTAATTTTCAGTAGGGGCGGTCTTTCGGCCATCCAAACTGGGCGGTACTATCAAGACTGGCCAATCCGAACGTTGCAAACGATCCACCTCCCAGGATAATTGTGCACCCCCTCTGCACGCGGGGGATGCTATAATGCGATTCCATTTAGGCCGGACGTGTTTACGCGAGTAAGTGGATACGATACGATCCGATCGTGTGCCCTGATTTGCAACTACATCAGGAAGTGAGCTACTACCGCTGCATTGACAGGACGTAGGGGTGAGACGATCATAATTGAATGCTTGACCATTCAAAGGGTTCCTTAATATACCCCAACGACATATTGATATAATAAATCAAAACGGCATTCCGTCTCACTTAACAGATTTGAAACCTATAATTAATCTAACAAAAAAAAATGTACCGAAGTCTTACTGCTTGTTTACAAATTTACGTGTTACATCTGTCGAGTAAATCCCTAATTATGTTAACGATATTTTTTTTTATTTTACATATGAATTTTATCAGTCAATAAACATTTTCTGTAGCTATAATTTATTATTTTATGTACAACAAATATGTACAAATTTAACAAATTAATATAGACAGCAATACCTCGATTAGAAAATTTCAAAAGAAATTAAATTTTAATACAAAAAAATAAAAATAAATTCTAAAAAAATAGTACATAACCAAACGTTTTGATAATTTGGTTCATTTTGAATTATGTAATCGAATGTATAATTTATAAATAAAAATAATAAGAGTACAGTACAGTAGCAATATCTTGCATAATAACTAATCCGGATTCTTTGAAACTGGATTAATCGAGGAACTAAATACGTACAAAAACAAAGCGAACAACAAGAGACAAGAAAAATTTTGTATACTCTTTATTTTGGAATGTATTTTCAATTTATCACAAAATATATAAATGTTTTATTATTTGACATGTTTCAACAATATGGGCATTGTTTCTGATTTGTAGTCGAACTCGAAGGCCGGTTCACTATTCTTGCTAACCCAAACAGAACCATTATTTCCCTCTTTCAAAACCTTGATCAAACTATCGCCCAGGATTTCAGCACTGAAAAATAATTAAATCATCATCATATTACATCCATTTTGGGTTTGCTCACGATTGATAGATCAATTCCATATCATTAATAAATTGTCTGTAGTATTCCTGCAAATTTTTCCAAATTTCGGTATCCGTTGCTCCTGGACAAATAGCCATGATCTTCACTTGGGTATGCTGATAATGAGCCATCGTTCCCATAGCTTGAGTGTATGCTACCACTCCGTGCTTTGATGCAGAATAATAGGGAAGCATATGGTATGGAAACAGGCCAGCAACCGAAGCTATATTAATTATGACACCCTCTTTGCCCTGCCTATGCTTTGGAAGGAAATCGAAGAAAGCAAAATTAGATATTTGAATTGTCGCCAGCTGAAATATTTGATTTATTAATCATACATAATTTATATGCAATCAATGCAAACCAGATTTATTTTGATGACCAACTCGATATTGCCAGCAATTCCGGCGTTGTTCACTACAATATCCAGATTTCCGAAATGATCCACAGTCTTTTGAAATGCATCTAATAGAATAAATAAATGTTGTGTGAAATTACGTTCATAGTTAATAACAAATAAATTATATCATTTAATGAGTAAGTATTAAATTTGCATAATAAATCATTAAAAATTAAAAATAATTTGTGTTGACAATGAGTAAAATTTAACATATTGACAATTATTGCAATTTATGATATATAAATTAGTTCAATAATTAATGTAAACTTAATTTGAGTGTTTAATAGTGTGAACTGTAAGTTTTTTCAAAATAACAAAACTATTCCATGAAATGGCACAGGTAGAGTTTATCGTCATTTAAAGTAAATATTTATTAATTTTGGAAAATGTTTTATATATGTTTTTTCTTGACAATAGTAAATTTAAATTTCGTGTTTAATAGTTGGAAATGCACGTTTTTATATGATAAAACTATTCCATGAAATATCACTTTAAAGTATATATTTGATAATTTGGAATAAGAAAATTATTAAAAGTTAAAAATTATAGATTGATATAATCAATAACAGTTTAATAATGAAAGAAAACTTCATAAGTACAATAAATTTGTGCGAGGATCGACTGGATTCACTATATTGCGGTTTATAAATTTCAAAACAAACTAAATTTTAATTGAGATAAATAAAGATACATTTTATTTTTTTTTACGTAGATGATCTTTTTTTATTTTCACAATTAAATCTCTTTTTTAAGGATTCGTTTCTCAATTAGTCTAGTTTCAAACAGTCCGGTATGTTGAAAGAAAACTGAATAATTCTTCGCTTATTGCGGTTTTGATTGGTGCGCATTCACTATAGTCCGGTTTATAAATTTTAAAACAAACTAAATTTTAATTGAGCTAAATAAAGATACATTCTAATTCTTTTTTACGTAGATGATCATTTTTATTTTCACAGTTAAATCTCTTTTTTTACAGATTCGTTTTTCAATTAGCTCAGTTTCAAACACTTAATAAGTACAAACATTCCCCGCAAAGTGCGGTTTCGATTGGTGCGGATTCACTATAGTCCGGTTTATAAATTTCTTTTTTATTTTCATAGTTAAATCTATTTTTTTTACGCATTCGTTTCTCGTTTAGTCCAGTTTCAAACAGTCCGTTATGTTGGCGGCTTACTCGCACTATGCGAGGTATTGCTGTATATTTATGTATATAGAATTGTTGATTTTATCATTTATTTTAATTAAATACGCCAATCATTTATTATTATTTAATATGCTTTAAAATTTCTTAAATACTTGAAAATATATAATATATTTTTTTAATAGTTAATATTGTATTAAATTTCTGTTGAATGTTTAAACTTTCTACATCAACGAAATATATATTTCTTGTATTGAAAATCGAATAATTATATCTATTTTTCATAGGAATAATATAAAATGATTAACATCTAAAATATTCTGATTTAAAGATTTATTAAGAATTATGTTGATATTAACATATTAAAATTTTATTCAAATAATTTTATTGATTTGTTTTTCAATAAAATTTGAACTTTATTATTTAATATTTTAATGTTAATGTATAATTAAGTTTATTTTTGGAAAGATAATAATGATGTAATGTATTGACTTTACAACTAGCAAAATTGGTTACAAAATTTGCATGAAAATAGACTTTTTTTTTGTTTGTTTCAAATTTTTATAAAATAGTTTTTTTATATATCAATAGTTTTTATTACTATTATTTGATATTTTAAGTTTTTTTTTATCAAAAATAATGATTTAATGTTACTTACCTTTGACTTTTTCGAAATCTGTTACATCTACTTTCAAGAAGAGCGTCTTGTTAGGACCGAATTCCTTTTCCAGAGAAGCCTGAAATTTCTCAGCCTGTGCATCGCTAATATCTAATAATGCAACACCCTAAAAAAAGAAATTTTAAATTATTAATTTGCCCAATTTTCTGCTCCAATTCAACTAACTTTGGCTTTGTTTGCGAGCAACGATCTGACAAGGACTCTTCCAATCCCGCCGAGCGCGCCTGTTACAATCGCTACTGTACCTTCTACTTCGAACATCATAGCAGAACTGTGCTGAACTTGAATTGTTGCAATCTATTTAAAGCGAATCGTCTGCCTTAATTTATTTTGCTTAATGCATAATGTTTGTTTTATACATTACATTTGTGTATAATGCATAGGATAGGAATATTAAATGAGTTTAATACATATAATAATGATCTTGCATAAAACAATCGCCAAACTTGAAGGACAAACTATTATATTTATAGACAATATTCTTTGTCCAGAAAAGAAAATAGATTAATCATTGTGATTATTCAAATAACGCATTTTTTGAGTAAAAATAATAAATTTTATGCAGGGTCATGTCATGCTATGATGCACATAAAAAAATACATATACTTTTGGTAATGGTAATGGTAATTTTTCTAATTTCTTTTCTCAATTTTTAAAAATTTAATTTTAAAACATGAAAGTTTAGATAAAAATATCTATATTATGGATCAAACCTTGCAGAATACAAATTTGTTTGCTTGTGATTAGTATTAACTTATATACATTAAATAATATAGATTTTTTTACTCATCAATTAACGTTATAAATTAAAAAAATACAAATATTAATTTAATTAACGAATAAACAAGTGATATTAAATTTGATTATATTCTATTTATATGACATGATCTCATTTTATAAAAACAATTATTGCTAATAACATAAACAGTTGTTGTACATAATGTAAAATATATGCGCCATAAGGAAGCAGTATTATACTAAATAAAGGCTATAAAATACGTTTATTTAAATGTAACATAATGCCTGATTTAATTGTTTACAAAAAAAAACAGTTTATTTTTGTAATTACCAAATTGTATTTTCATATTTTTTTGGTGCATTCATATTTGTTCACAGATTTTTTTATTGACTTTTTTCATGATTTGTATTTGAATGATTTCAAGTACGACGCAAATCGAATCAGCGTAAAATTAACCCATATTTACAGGACCTACCTCCCTAGGGCTAACCCAATATATGTGAAAAATACTGTTTGCAATGAAGGAGCTGTTGTGGATGTACAACAGAGTGTCAACGATGATCCATTTGTGTCTGCTCGTCGACGTACAACTTGTTAAAACGGAATTCAGACTAAGGCATATGCCAATAACTTCGGCGATTAATTTGAAAAAATCATATTTCGCTTTTCCTCCCCGTTCTTCCGATTTAACGGTACTTGATTTCTTTGTGCGGCGATGGTTTACCAGAATAAACCACAAACAATAAAGCACTAAAGAAACACCAAATAATAGAAATACAAAATTTAAAAAAAAACTCAATGCAATAATATAAATATCATAAATCAAAATAATCAACTGAATATCTCTTTGATATTAACCATCTTTCAGCCCTATTTATTCTAATTTATAAATAATAATAATAACTTTGGTAGAAAAATTACTTGGGTTTTTAGTCTTTTGGACCAAATTAGGGCCAATAAAAATTAAGAACATAAATAACTTAATTAACAGAATAGAATGTTTTTTATTGCTCTACATGTTATGTTGTAGATTTTTTTAAATTTATTATTTAGAGGTGAAAATACGCCGTCACAGTGCCCTTGCATGACATTTTGCATAAGATAGGGGCAGATATGTCCGCCGTACGAGGAAATTTAACTTTCCTTTTATTATATTTATTTATACTAACACAAATTAAATCACAAACCAATGAAATATTTTGCTCGTATATATTTTTTAAAAGATTTGTTTTGTTATAATCGGCAATGTTTCTGATTTGTAGTCAAATTCGAAGACAGGTTCACTGTTCTTGATAATCCAAATGGAACCATTGTTTCCCTCTTTCAAAACCTTGATGAAACTCTCGCCTATGATTTCAACTCTGAAAGATTATTAAATCATCAACTATTCGTCATCGAATCTTCGTACGGTTTTATTTACGGTTGATAGGTGAACTCAATATCGTTGATAAACTGTTTGTAGTATTCCTGCATACCTGTCCAAATTTCGGTATCCGTTCCTCCTGGACAGAGAGCCATGACCTTCACTTGGGTGTGCTGGTAATGAGCATTAGCTCCTAAAGCTTGAGTGTACGCAACCACTCCGTGTTTGGATGCTGAATAATCGGGAAACATATGGAATGGATACAAACCAGCAATCGAAGCTATATTAATTATGACACCCTCCTTGCCCTTCCTATGCTTCGGAAGGAAATCGAAGAAAGCATAATTTGATATTTGGATTGTTGCCAGCTGAAAATGTAAATAGTTGAAATACAATCAAATTATTGAAATAATAATTAAATTGTATTAATTATCAAACATTATAATTCATTTACATTCAATACAGACCAAATTTATTTTGATGACCATCTCGATATTTCCAAGAATTCCGGCGTTGTTCACTACAATATCCAAATTTCCAAAATGATCCACACATTTTTTAAATGCATCTAAACGTAATTAAAAAATGCAATTAATAATATGAATAATGCAAAACTAGTACTTAAAATTATATGCATTTTTACATAATAGAATATTTAAATTCGAATAATTTTATGTGTCATGAAGTTGATGATAATTAATAGAATTCAGAGCAAGGTTTTTAATAATTGGAAATCATATTAAAACTTGACACGTGTAAGAAATAATTCAATATAGTGGAACCTCGCTTAACGAGATTAATCCGTTCCAAAAATCACAAATAACATGTCTCAACACAAGTTAGGAAATTTTGTGATCACAAACAACACTAAGATGCAACTAGAATGACTTGTATCATATATTAGTTGTATCAATTCGGGGACTTGGTGGAAGTCTCTTTATACTTTTATATAAAAAAGTGTGTTTATATATTTAAAAAATGGTTGGACATAATACATTTGTGTTTTGCATTTACAGCAAAAACAAATTATATTTGTAAAGTATAGTTCGCTTTAAACAAAGATAACAAAGAAAATCGAAGATGGTTAATATATTCAAAAATGCACATAATATGTATACACAAGCTTTAACATACAAACATTTGTGTTTTGCATTTACAGCAAAAACAAATTATATTTGTAAAGTATAGTCCGCTTTAAACAAAGATAACAAAGAAAATCGAAGATGGTTAATATATTAAAAAATGCAAATAATATGTATACACAAGCTTTAAAAATGATGTAGAAGGCGCACAATCCAGGACTTCTCTTCTCATCATCACTCGTTGTGCGAAACGTCGCTCTTTAAGCGAGTCATTTTTCGTACAATTGA